ACATACAAGACTGGGAGGAAGGAAAGGAGGAAGCAGACCTATACCTTCTAGAGATTCTACAGCACCAGGTGAAGTGGAGTTCTGACAACTCCACCCCCTGCTGCAATCTACCAATCAGATCCCAGTAGGCAGACTAATAAGCTGATCTGTCTACTACGGGCTATTTTTGTCCCGCCTATTCGGAGACCTAATAAGCTCCATTCGGAAACAATAGGATGCTGTCAGGCAGCCAATGACAGTAAAGTAGGCAACTTCACATAAAGTTTAATCACAATTTTTGAGATGTTGACCAATAATCTGATTAGATAGAACACATTTCATCAGACAGACACATTAAAGTTACAAAAAAAAGTTACAGACCCACGAATTCTATAATTGTTTTTATATATATTTTCTCTGTAAGAAAGATCCAGTGATTTACCTTGTTCTCTTATTTTTGTTGTCTTTGCTCATCATCTCCTAGCTTTACACATATGCATTGTGATAGGGATATAACAGATACGGTGATGCCATGTTTTCTGCATTCTAGTTATATCAATAACTTTGTTTTGCATTCCATTAGTAAAGGCATATGCACAGTTAACTTGGTTTGCCCTTCGGTAAATCCCCAGTCGGGTTTTTGCTCACTTGTACCATTACAGAGAGAACCTATTCCAAGGAATATCAGACTAATCCCAAACATAATGGCAGTCCAGAGCTGAAATGCCAGCAAGTTCTCTATGCATGAGGGATACATCAACCCCAGATGATAATTTTGGCCTTCTTTGGGCCTTATTAGCAAGATGTAGCGGATATCCCTATAGGCACAGTGAGCATGGGAATCATGTCTGGATTACCCTTTGAACTTGGGGAGAGTCAAGTTCATGCATTGCAACAAAAGCAGAGAATATGAGGACTCTGAGAATGGATAAAAGCTTAGAGAAACTCAATTGATTGCCCTTCAGTAAATCTACGCCCAGGTCTCAAAATAGTGTTTGCCTCCTTTTGCCATTACAGAAAGAACTTATTGCAAAGCATATTAGACAGATACCACCCTTCCAAAACCAAAATGCCAGCAAGTTCTCAATGCATTAACTTGACTTTTCCTACGTTAAAAGGGTAATGCAGGGGGCAGAGTCTGGACGTTGAACGAAGCAGACGTGTCTGCCATGAGCGGACAAAAAGCGGAGGCAATATGGCCCAAAGTTTCACACGGGTGCATCACCCATGTCGGGGGGTGCCCTGCTGACTCGACGGACACTACCCCGGGGTCCGTCAGGGCCGAGAGCACGAAAATCCAGGCACGGCCTACAGGGGCAGGGGAGAGGCGGCCGCTCTCCTTGGCACCGAGGCCCTCCAGAGACCCAACTTCAGCCTACCCCACCGGACCAGTGGGGGATATCCCGGACCCCACTGGACACACTGGCCGGGGTGAACGGCGGACACACTGGCCACACGACAGCCAGGGGCAATGGCCTAAACAGCACTACCAAGATGGCCACCTACAACGGAACTCGAGAGCAGAGCGCCCAGAACAAGCCATCCCCACCAACACGGGAGACTTTCGACTGGCTCTGTAAAAGTTTCTGGGGAATACTGCACAACAAAGGAGCTACTTACAGCTGTGCAGAAACCCTGGTGGCCTTGTGGATCGGACCGGCGAAAAGACACAGCCACTACAGGCACACACCAAGAGAATCAAAATCGGCAGTCCGGCGGCGCAGATACCTGCAGTCCACAAAGCGGGAAAAAGCACAATGTTTCCGAGACGCAGGTACCCGCCGGCGACCACACAAAAGTGAGCCCTCCCTACAAGCAGCACCAACAAAGGCCTCACCAAGCCATCTTCCCTGCGCTTGGCACAGTACGACCCAGCTCCCTACGACCAAAGCCACAAAGCGAGAGACCGAGCGGCTGCACAGCCAGCGACCTCCCCACAGACTGGGTATTGGGTGACGAAAGGCGATGACCTTAAATGCCTGATGGCATACCGCGGCGATGCTGCTGGCACAGAGGACATTGCAGACCATATTCAATGTGGTGGACTCCTGCTCCTAATCGACTAATATAATCTGACGTAAATTTTTACAATTATCTAAGGCGAAAGCACAACCTAACAGATTACTAATTAAGCTCATATGCACTGTTAGATTATAAAGCGATGCTACTTTAATTAGAAGCATGACTTAGCAATGTTTCTTGTTCTTCAGAGCCCTGCAGCCCATGTAGGTACAGCATAACATGTCTATCACTAGCCCAGCAGGTCCTATACAAGTAAGACTCACGATCACTCTATTGTCACAGAAAACTAGACATGCAAGAGTCTTACATTATGCTTTGTTTTTACCATATGCACGAAAAGTTAACCCTGTTTATTCCCATATTACTTGAAAACTAGCTCAGTTACAATCTTATACATGTCTCAGGGAACTACTGATTGCCCAATCTATATGCATGACCTTAATTAACTATTGCTTGTCTCACGTACTCAATCTCCATATAAGCTACTCGCAATAGAACTGACCTTGCATATTAATATTAAAAGGTGCAAGTATTCCTGTGTACCCCACTGTTATAACTGTCGTTGAAATGTATGTGGAATGCCTTAGGGTACCACATACGCGTTGTTATATCTTTTTGCACTACAAAAATAAATAATTTTTTTAAAAAGGGTAATGCAGACGTGGACCCCTTAGTTAGACATGTGCAATTGTTTCGGTCCGAATATAAATTAGGACGAATTTCAGAAATTCGGACGCTTCCGAATGACCAAATTGCCGAAGTGCCAAACCGAACTGAATTGCCGAAGTACAGAATTTGAGGTGTCGAAGTGCTTCGGATTTCGGAAAAGTGGCAAAACAAGAGAGGGAGGGGAAATTAAGGGAATCTAACCCTGACCCTACTAGGGTTAGGGGTGGGGTTGGGGGTAAGGTTAGGCTTAGGGAATAGCTGAAGTCCCAAACCGAACTTTTACCATGCACATCCCTACCCTTGATCTTGATAAAGTAATGCTTATTAAAGTGGACTCCTTTCTCACCTTTGGCATGCAAAACTCAAAGCCTTCAAAAACTGTCTTCTGGAGGGTTGCAGCATATTTATTAGCAGCAGTGAGAGCTTCACTTTGGTGCAGTAGGTTCTGTACCCAACTTGAAATTTAGGAACCTCAGCTTCTCTTTTAATGCATTCCTATCAGATTTTGTAAATTGGGTTGAGATGTTGGATATTGCTTCGTGTTGAAGCATTTTTGCACACACTTTTTTTTGTAGGCCATTTTTTGAGGATTTACTTTTAGCCATGATACATTCCTATGCTCACCTCTTCAGGAGCCAATAGAAGTGGATCATGTGAGCATTTTCAGCAAAGCAAAAAGGAGACTGAAAGCTTTCCCCAAACTTTAACAACCAATGACACGGTGTGGTGTATCAGAAAGCAGTGGTGGCAAGATGCATTGTCCAAAATTACTGTACCCAAAGCAGACGCCTCAGGAGAAAGTAACTGCAGCATCCAGAAAATAATGATGCAGCACCTAGGGGATTGCCATCCCCCTGACATACATGAGAACCTCAGTCAGAGTACTCTTTGGAGTAATCTTAAGTTCAGCACACTAGTAGCTTTTATTACCTTGTGTAAATGTTTCTCTCCCATATAACAATCCATCCCACACTAAAGAAAAACAGCTGTGTACAAATATCTAGGATATAATTTTTCTCCAGAAAACACTTGCATTTTTCTATTTAAGCCAAACATTTGCTTGTGACCCTTCATGTAATGACCAAACTTTATTTAAAAAAAAAAAAAAAAGTTAATATTTAAACGATTGTTTTGAAAAATAAGATATTTGGTTTAGTGTAGCAATTAATGTGAAGTATGAACAACCTCAAAATACACAACTAAACTGATGTCTTGAAATTATAAATTTGATATATAGGTTTTCCCATAGTTTTTTGTATATTTGGTGTGCTGGCTACTATAGCCATTACTGCCACCCAGAAGTAGAAAAGGTTTGTGAAGATAACGCATCTGTGGGTTTTAATATTGTATTGCAGAGACATGTTACAGTGCTTTTAACCATCTCCATGTTTCCTCTATTCATTTTTAATAGCTTGTAGAGATTCCTAAGAATAGCCTCTTTTTTTTTTTTTTTGTAAGAGATTTTAGACCAAGCATTTGGTTTGCTCTGTGCTCAAGTATTTGAGTCTAGTGTATCTCTCTGTTCTTGTTCTGTTTCTGTAGCTCTTTCTATTCCCCCGGAAAGCAGAGAACCGCTGACCATGTCACCTTCAGCACTTCCGAGCTTACTGCCTTACTCCTCAACCTACGCTGTTAAGACCATCTGTTGCCAACCTGGATTGCTCCCACCAATTACAAGCTCTCTCTCCCTCTCCTCGATTGCCTTTACTTCCTGATAATGACTGACTTCCCTCAGACTACATTTTATCGCTTTCTCCCACTCTTACCCCCAGACCAACTATTGGAAACCAACCCGACTAGCTAAAGGACTCCTCCATTTCTGCCTACTACTACTCTGCTACATAGAAACCTCTGCGCTCAAGATGCCTCTACGGTAGATCTCATCTGCCAGCCACAGCTCCCCAGCTTCATGGAACACAAGACATCAGCCAATCTCCTCAGATGCCCACCAGCAGTTCAAAAATTACATCTTCAGGTAAGATCTATTCCAGGGCACAGCTTAGCGGACAGGCCCTTGAATCTGCTGCAAACCTCAGTCTATATAGTTTACTTACATTTCTGATTACATGGGCCCATGCTGTTCTTTTTTCAGAGTATAGTGAAGAAAGAAATATCAGTAAATCTAACTAACTATTCTTTTGAGAAATTGCATAATTCAGATTGATTTATTCAGTAGGAAACAAAAACCCTGCCATGTCCTCTTTTATTTGTGCATAGGGATTTGGGAGGTGCAGGTAACTTTTTTCTTCTGTCCTTGTGAGTAATCCAGAATTACAATGATTTCAATGGATTTTAAATTAAAAAAAAATATGCAAAATAAAAAGAGACTATAAAAGCAGATTTGGAATGTATTACCTGGCTACAAAATATCAAATAGTAATTTTTCACAGCAGTGTTTTAATACATTCAGCTAATTTGTAGAACTAATTTTATTATACAAACATTATACAGAGATTGTAAAAATAAAAGGCACACAAATTAAAATGATATTTTGCTTTCAATGTCTATTTACTTTTTGTCAGTGAAATATGATTACCAAAGAGCAAAACAAAGGGGAAACAATTAAAATAAAAATCCACAGTGTGCATGGACATTACTCTTCAAACAGGACTACATGAATAACTGCTGTCATTTTCCAACCATAGAGATTAGCCTACACAACTTTAAAATCAAACTAATGGCTGATTTTTTTTTTATTTTTTTTTAAGTGACCTTTCAATTCTATTGCCAGCTTAAAAAAGTAATGTAAAATATTTTATACCTGGATTTTAAACATTTAACATGTGTAAACCTGTGTGTAAATTATACATTCATATATACAGATATGTACACACACAATATATACACACACGTTTATGCAATTTAACATTTGGAAATGGAAAGGAAAATGCGTACAAATCAGGTAGTTCTGAATTCTCCCCTAGAAACCATGTCTTTCAGATCCTTAGAAAAAAGAGTACTTGCACTGCAATACTTATTACAAATATACACCACCAGTGTGCATCTCAGAAGCCCCTTTTGTTTTTTTCATTACCAAACATTAGGTAAATAAGTGTTGATGCTTTCTAGTCTACATGACGCTCATTAAATGGACATTAAGGAAGCAACTATGGTATAAAATATACATAATGTATTAATGTTTCTATTTATTAACCAAAATATTGCAGAAGGAGGCAATATTTTGTAGCAATAATATGTATTGCTGGACATCACATTACTGGCAAATATATGAAAACAAAAACTAAAATAAAAAACAAATACTCGCTCCCTCCAAATGTGTGTACATGTACACACATATTCCACTTACATGTTAAACTATTAATTGTATTTTTACATTTACTAAAATGTTTCTTTAAAGAACCCTGCTACTGTATTTGTTTTTTTTTTCTTTAACAAAAGTACCAAAAAACAGTTTAAAGTGAGCACAACATACAATACATTAGGACCAATATACAACTTTGTTTTGTATTGTTTGTTATATACACAAAGATTGTGCGCAGTTCTGACAGTCAGGTATTGTACGTTTTAACTGAAATCAGTCTCAGTCTTTGGCACAATAATATGATTTAGTGATTGGTACAAGAATCAAGGTCTGAAAAATTAGACACAAATTAAATATTTTCCAATGTGGATATATAAGTATATATAAATATATACACACATATATATGCACTTTTCTAGATATATAAGTATATATATATTTATATGAGATATTTCAATGCCTATGTTTAACATGCACATGGGCGTGTTTACTTGTAACATTAAATATCTTCCCCAGGTGAGATAAAATTTGGTAACTTTCTTTTTATTCTTATTGGGAATGCAAATCCCCAGCTAGTTACCTTTGTCTAACAATCCTAAAAAGATGCAATTGTGGCATCAGTTACAATGTTCCCTCAGTTCATACAACCATTCAGTTGTTGTTCAAAACATGCAATCCCAAAATAAGGTATACATATTGCTGGGGTTAACTCTGTCAAGCTCGGAACCATGAATTAAGAAATATACGCACTAGTGACTAGTTCATAGGCAATAAACATCAAATATTTAAAATAATTAAAAACAAAAAGAAAAATCTATTCATGATGTTCGATCGGTTCCCTTCCTCTTTCTAATGGAAGAATATCCAATCCGTTGTAGCAGCAAGAGTAAATGTATCCCCTTTAAAGTATTTTATAAAGCTGCTTTTATACATTTGCAAAGCTCAAGCGAATCTACCAGCCAATCAAATTGGCTTTTGCTTTCTCAGTCAGTTTCCGTACTCTTCCTCTACTTGAAGTTCCAAAAGTCAATGAAGTGTCTTCAAACAGCAGCTGCCTTTGCTCCTCCTCTGAGTCTTCTTCGTTGTAAAATGCGGTCCTCCTTCCCTGATTTCTAGTTCTGATTTGTAATGCAGAATGATCATCCTCTGCATTCTCTGGCATTTCCTCCACTGGTTCAGACATTTTGCATTTACTTCTGGTTTGTCTATTTACATTTCCATGATTCACAGGTTCTTCATCAACATGTGGTTGTGGCGGAGGCAACACCTCAGAAAGCTCAATTTTTACTTTTGGTTTTCTACCCCTTTTCTTTTTTGGTACCTCATTCTCAGTCTTGACATTTGGTTCTGCATTGGAATTGTTTGTGGATGATGTAGGTTGCTCCTTAACCTTTGTTGTGTTTTCCACAATAGGTGGAGGAGTGTTTTGTAGTATAAGCTGGTGCTCCTCTTTCCTAGGATATTTTGGTTTTCTTCCTCTTTTCTTGGGTATTACCTGTACTACAGCATTAGTTTCGATGTTGTTATTGTTGTGCATTATCTTGGGTTTACGGCCAGGACGACCCTTTACGACTGGTTTGATAGGTGGACTACTGTGCCCGTTGACGTGAACGCTTTCTGGAGGCATTACTTGGGCTTTCCTCTCTGCTAAAATGCATTGAAAATGACAAAAAACATGTTGGAAATATATAACATTTGAAATATACATATAGATAGGAAAAAGTTCAACGCTTAATACTGCAATATTTTAAAATTATATTTATAAGTGTTTGTTCTCGTATACTGATCATTAAAAACAAAACAAACATATATTCAGCTGATATCCAACTAGCTACTTCCAGAGTTCTTCATAACTTTACTTACATTACAGGGCTTGGTTTTGGGTCTGGCAACAAAAGGCAGTTGTTTAGGGTTAGTTACGTAAGAATGCAAAACGGCTTTGTTTTATTAACTACACAACTAGGGTACTTTAATGGGATGCTGTTACTTCTGTGATCAAATCTGAATACTGCCTTATCAGACCAGGATAGCAAAAAAAAATAAAAAAAAATAAAAAAATCAACAGCAGCAACTGCCTATTCCAATTGGGATTAAACATAAATATAGCTGCAGCTTGTCCTTGCTAGCAGATTCACAGGGGAATGCCAGATAATATGTATTAAACTAACCCCTTTAAAAGGATAACTATAGGGTCAGGAACATAAACATTTATTCCTGACCCTATAGTGCAAAACCACCATTTAGGTGGCTTTCCCCCCCTTAGTCCCATTATAAAAGTTTAAAACTCACTTTATTTCAGCGCCACTAGCTCCGCCCCCTTTGTGACCTCAAAATGGATGATTTTTAGGCAATCCAATAGAAAAGCATTGGATTGGATAAAATAGTTACGGGGCGGGGCCAAATGTCGTTTTGGCCAATCAGGACCTTCTCATAGTGATGCATTGAATCAATGCATCTCTATGAGGAAAATTCAGCGTCTCCATGCAGAGCGTGGAGACGCTGAATGGCAGGGCTGCTTACTGTGCAGCCCTGAGCCAGGAAGCCAATCCAGTGGCCATCTAAGGAGTGGCCACTTGGAGGTGTCCCTAGGGGCCTGAAGATGAAAATGCCTGAAGGGAGCTATTATACTCACCAGAACAATTACAGTAAGCTGTAGTTGTTCGGGTGACTATAGTGTCCCTTTAAATGAAGGCTCAGAGTGTTATCCTCACCCCTGTTTTAAAACAATCTTTACACATGAACACTCCTTTATTATATGTAAAGCACTATCCCAAGTGTTAATCATTTCTTTGTGACTCAATGTCTCTGTGAGATATTTCTCTATTATACATGGTAGCTACTATCCTTGCATGTTATGATATCAACATATCAAAATGTTACACTGGAATATTTGCCATCAGTATAGATTTTCAAGTTAAAAAAAAAAAAAAAAAATACCTACCCATTACTTCCACTGCATGTTTTCTGAAACCTATTTTAGTTTAAAAGTTACTTGAAAAGAACTCAACCCAGGATTTTAGCATTTTAGTTTTTGCTATGCCACAAGCGTTGATTTCTTTACAAAAACTGTTTAAATTAATTGTATTCGCTCAATGTTTCATAGACAAAACACAAAAACATTTAAAATAAATAAAACTAGTAGCTCAAACAAATACAGTCCACAAGGATGCCACCAGTTTTCTTTATCTGGTTTTTAGAGGTCACTAAAAACACTGGTTTAGTTTATCTCAGATACTTAGAAGAGAAAAACAAAGGAAAGGTTAATAGTTACCCTGTGGAGTGCAAACTGCTGCCTTCATCCTACGTTTGACTGGTTTATCTTTGTTCAGATTTTCTTTGGGTGGTATGTTCTTGTTCAGCTGGCTGGTGCTTGGTTGATTCGAGATGGATGTCGTAGTCTGACTCTTAGGATATCTTATGGAGTTTTCCACCACTATAAAAAATAGACTATTATTTTATAAAGAGATTCCAGGCTTCCATGTTTTGGCGTAATGCGAGTTAGATTACAGTTAGCTGTGCTTGGCAAGTTATTTTTTTATTAATCTTCTGTAGTGTGAAATAAATAACTGGCACCATAAACATACACTTGTCCCACCCCCTCCCTCATAACCAGCAGGGTATTTTGTATTAAATTCGGATAATACTACAAGTGTTTGTCATTTTGCAAGGTTAAATTAAACATTTATGTCTACTGAGTTGACGAGAGCTCAAAGCAGAGGCTTTAAAGGGACACTATAGTCACCAGAACAACTACAGCTTATTGAATTTGTTCTGGTGAGTAGAATCATTACCTTCAGGCTTTTTGCTGTAAACACTGTCTTTTCAGAGAAAATGCAGTGTTTACATTACAGCCTAGTGATCACTTCACTGGCTGCTCTTCAGATGGCTGTTAGAGATCCTTCCTGGGTCATGGCTGCCTAAAATGCATCCAAACATTCAGTATCTCCCCCTCTGCATGCAGACATTGCAATTTCCTCATAGAGATTCATGGATTCAATTAATCTCTATGAGGAGATGCTGATTGGCCAGGGCTGTGTTTGAATCATGCTGGCTCTGCTCCTGATCTGCCTCTTTGTCAGTCTCAGCCAATCCTATGGGGATGCACTGTGATTGGATCAGGCTACCAATTCTGATGATGTCAGCAGACAGCTTGTTTTCTGAGGCAAACAGCATGCAGAGTTACAGCTTCAGGCTTGAACACAGTAATATTTTGCTATATTTACAGAGGCACGAGGGGCCCAGGGGGACTAGATGGTGGTTTTAACACTATAGGGTCAGGAATACATGTTTGTGTTCCTGACCCTATAGTGATCCTTTAAGGACTGGGGATTTAGAGAAAATGCAGTTCCCAATATTTTTACATTTGTTTGTGAATATAATTAATACATTATATTTAAAATTTCATTAAAAATAATCAACTTGGATATTTGTGTCCCTTTATTAACTGATAATACCTTCAATGTGCACAAATAGAAATGCAATTTCTCTCCACTTCCTCCTAAAGAAGTCATACCTGATTTTCCTTGCAGAATAGGACTATTTGACTTTGTCATTGGTAGTTTAGGCTTTGAAGATGTAGATGGCTGCTCAGCTACAACGGGTTCCATATGACGCCTGTACCGCCTTCTCCGAGTTACTGGACTGGATTCTCCTAACTTGCCGTTCACCTGAGCAGCTTTATGAGACACTGAACGAAGCGGTGTTGATCCAGGAGACAAGACAGTTTCTGGCTTTGGATGGTGTCTTATATATTTTCTCTTTCTTTCAGGACTGGAAATATCAAAGTACAATAATTAGGTTATTCTACAAAACTACAAACAAAGAAATGCACCTGTGAAATCCAATATGTTGCTTAGAAGCCATTAGTAGCATGGGTTTATTCACACACAACTGAAGGCTTTATTACAACTAACCAAACTAAGTAACAGATTATAACCTCCTATACATCCTCTTTATGTAGACTGATGCACCCATAATGTGCAGAGGATTCATATACCACAATCTGATCGGTCATATATGGTTTATCATAATAGTTCTCATATATACTAAGCATCCAAAGGGCCATTACGTATTAAAAAAAAAAAAGAAAAAGAAAAAGAAAAAAACAATCATGCAGTGTCTGGTGTAGAGCTTCAATTCAACCCAATCTTTTAGGATAAAACTAAGACATATTGAGAATCAAAAATGTTGCAAGGATAAACTACATTATTTGTATGATGTTCATCTTTTAATTCAATATCTTCATTGTGCAAATAAACTAATCAAAGTAACCAAATTTAAAATGAGATGGATAGGAAAAATGTTTGATTAATGTCAAGACATCCAATTACAGAAATAAAATGAAAGACTGTGAAAAAGTTTCTTTAACACTTCTCAGGGAAAAAAATTATTTAAAGTAAGCCTGACTTGACAAGTTCACTAAGTCATAATATCTCTTTATGGACTGAAAACATTTATCAGAGTGACAAAGTATTCGGTTGTATAGTGTAGGAAGATATTAAGTAAATGGTCCCATCTTATTAAAAGTTACACTAGTGCAATGACTATCCCTTGCCTACATCCTGCCCTGTACTTTCCCAAGCAGACTGAACCTTCCCAGTGAAGTAAAGATGTCAAAAAGGAATATCAGTCACTCTGTTCAAATATCACTCTACCAAGCACGAGATGCTCTGCACATGAACATAAATTAAAACTACAACAAATATCTTTATATACATGCTTATTAAAGTCAAGGAATTTTATTTGTGAAATTGTGTGTGTGTATATATATATATATATATATATATATATATATATATATATATATATATATATATATTCATTTTATTTTTAATTCTTTTTTTTTTAAATCCACTCACACTATATTTTTTAAACCTTACTTTAGTCAAGTATTTTATACCGTCACTTATTTCAGAGTATTACTACTTTTATTATATCAATTGTTTATAATTCATCTCATGTAGTTTTTATATTTAGACAGCATTAGAGTCTTTTTACCCCCCTTTCATATCATCATAATAATATTTCCTTTACACCCTAAATAGTAGCTCCTGGAGACCAAACTATAATTTTAGTTTTTTTTATAAAGTTAAAATGATGCTTTAACTCAGTTATATTTCTCCTGATCTATCGAAGGGGCTCAGTTTGTGTAACCTGTAAAACCAAGTTGCTAACTCTCTTATACAATTCTACAAATGCTTGTACAGCCTTGTACAAACGAGTGTGCATTATTTAATGAAAAATCTTAATTGTTCTCACGTGCATTTGAAATGCAACTAAATTACACTCTACAAATTTGTAAAAGAAAGTAGGGGAGTTGAATAAAATTACTCTTTTCTCACTTATTTAGAGAGCTTGGTATGTCAGTAGATCATTTCCAATTGACTGTCAGTTGAAACTGAAAAAATAAACATATTCCAGCACAGTACAAACCTGTGCTGCATCATTGTGGATGCCTGAAAATATTTACAGAAGACTCCACAGCCTCACAGGACCTCCCATAGACCCTTATCTGGAATATTAGGCAAGTATATCAGACTTGCAAGTATGTCTGTTTAGCACATTTTAGGAAAATACATCTCTCTGCCTACGCTACCCTTTAGGCCCACATAGAATCAGAAAAGTTAACTAGGTGTCTATGCATAATACGCAAATATCCCTCTACAAGACGATTACTCTGTATCAGCTTCTGGAGACAGCAAGTAGTTTTAACATTGTAACTAGTTTCTCCCCCCCCCCACCCAAATTGCAAATCTTCGCTCATTAAATAGGCAAAGTTTGGGTGTACTCAGTAATGGCTAGAAATAAGCAGGGTAACCAGACTTGGTATGCTTTGGGAATAACTATAACTTGGGTGACAGCATTCACTTGGAACCAAGTTTGTAGAGTTTAAGGAATGCCTGCAGAAGATAGACAGCAGTCACCAATTGTCTTACAAACCTCAGTAACCCATGAATTTGAATGCTTATTTCAATGGAGAGCATACAGTTACCTTGATCCAGGGCTACTGCTTGATGAAATGTGTCTGTTCCTTTTCTTCCTGCGTTTGGTTATGGTGCTGCGTTTGTGAAATCTTAGAGCCGACCTGTAATCTGATAATATGGTGCCCACACGCTCTTCAAAAAATGCTGACAGTCGTAAACTCATACTGTAGATCTTAAAGGGAGAAAAATGTAAAAAAAAATTATGTTCGCAAGATCAAGCCTTAATTTAACCACCATTACACAAATACATAAAGTAGAAGTGCCAGTTTAACACCAGTATCATTTTATTAAGCGTATTCCGAGATAATGTGGTCAAGACAAAGCGCAAACACACAACTCTAAACACTAGGATATAAGGGATGTAGCAATCGGGAATAAATGTCTTTCAACTTTTAAATGGGTTTGCAAAGGATCCATCTTCTGATATATTTTATGGACTCCACACAAAGCTCACTAACTTTAAGCTTCTGTGTGCCACAATGCTTTCAGACTACTCCCTCAACCTCTCCCCCCCTCCCGGCCACCTGCGGGAACATTGACGTCATTCCAGCCCCGGCATCATTACAGAGCACGAGGGAGCAGAGAGGAGCTACAGGCAGAGTACTGCTCCTCCGCACACAGGAAGAGAGCAGCCCACTGGACCCCAGGAAAGACCTACTCAGCTCTCCCAAAGGTAGGGAGGCTGAGTGGGTTTCAATTAAAACAAAAATGTGTGTGTGTGTATGTGTGTGTGTTTGTGAGCGAGCCCGTCAGTGTGTGTGACCAAGCCAGTCACAGTGTGTGTGTGAGCGAGCCAGTGTTTCTGTATGTGTTTGTGTGTGTGTGCGTGCAAGCCTGTTGTCAGCGTAAGAGTGTGTGTGTGTGAGCCTGTCAAGACAGTGTGTGTGAGCGAGCCTGTCAGAGAGTGTGTGTATGTATGTGTGTGTGACAAACTCGCACCCACACACTGTCTTGGCAGGCGCTCACACACCGTCTTGGCAGACTCAAAATCACTGTCTTGACAGGCTCTCACACACTCTTACGCTGACAATAGGTTTGCACGCACACACTGACAGACTCGCACACACAAACTCTGACAGGCGCTCAGAGTTTGTGCGTGGAAGCTTGTTGTCAGCGTGAGTGTGTGTGCAAGCCTGTCAAGAGTTTATGTGTGCAAGCAAGCCTGTTGTCAGCGTGAGAGTGTGTGTGAGCCTGTCAGAGTGTGCGTGCATGTTTAGGTACCTGCCCCCTCCAATTGCATGAGGAAGGTGTTTACTCCCCTTTCTTCCCATTTTCCCACGCTGTGCCAGTTTCACCATGGCTGAGATGATCAATCTTTATGATCTCAGCTAAGCCAATGCTTTCCCTTGGGAAAGCATTGGGAGGATTTTATGCATGTGCAGCAAATGTACCAATCCGCATCTCCTCATAGAGATGCATTACATTAATCAATCTCTATGAGGAACATTCAGCGCCTCCATGCAGAGCTTTGAGACACTGAAACTGGGTGCTGCATGTGGTGCAGCAGTGACCCAGGACTCTAGTGGCCATCTGAGTGACTGTCACTAGGGTGTTACTAAGCAGAAATGTAAACACTGCCTCACAGAAAGGGCAGTGTTTACACTGAAACGCCTGCACAGACAGGCTATAGACACCAGAACAACTACATCAAGCTGTAGTGGTTCTGGTGACTATAGTGTCCTTTTAAGAATTGCACTTTCTCGTTGAAAATGACTGGCTCCTAACTTATTTAGCTGGCTTCTATATTTCAAACAATTTTGTCAAGCCCTGCAGTAACCTAATAGGGACTGAATACTCTTCGTTTGTCACAATTCAGTTGCTTTAATACATTGGGTTATTTATAAACTGTTAATTCCATTACTTCAACTGAACTAGCACTTTTTTAAATCACATGCTGTTCAATAGTATGTTGAAATCAGCCAAAACTCCATAACTTGGCTGATTCAGCTATTCAGAAAAAACTAAAATGCAAAAGGATTCCCTAATGAAAACCAGGAGAAATGTATCCATAATTTGAAGTCCCCTAATTTACATAGCACCACCTCCAGCTCCCCTTAACCCACACCCTACATTCCTGCCTGAAACCCTAAATCTTAACAGCATACTTTTTTCGTGTAACATGGAAATTTAAACACAATTCACTTGGGCTTTTTTCAAGTGAATTTTACTGCAGCAAAGAGATCTATTTTACAATACCAATAATAAATATGGCTTAACTCTGTTACCATTTGGTGAATACAATGAAACACAGTAATTTTAGCAGCCAAATGCAGAAGAATTGAAATGAATGAAATAAGCTGAATTTTCAAACATTAATTTGCCATTTATTAAATAGACCCGGGAGTTACTAATTTCTTGCAATTTGTGCATACCATTATTACAAGACAACGGCAAGAAGCAAAAATGTCATTACAATAAAAAAGCATTGAGATAATTCAAACTATTCATATGCAATACAGAAACTGATCAGCTATACACATATAAAACACGTGTTCAATCATGTATGTATTCTTAGAACTTCAATTTGTAATTAAATGATAATGCACCTTTGATCTTTTGCTTGGTGTGTAAGATTTGGAATTACTAAAAATAAGCCTCACGTCCTTGCAAAGCTCCATAGGGGACTCGTAGTTACCAGCCTCTAAAGTTTCTCGCACTGTTCCAAAATCCATTGGAGTGTCAATAATGTCTCTGTAATCCTAAAAATTGGAGTAAAGAAAGCAAATGTTTATTTGCAATGAAACAAAATTCCAGTTTGTAATATTATTTGGGAACCATACAAAAAAAAAATGCGAAAACCTTGTTACAGTAGAAAAGGAAGGGAGATCAGACAAAAATGTATACACAAAGAAGTTGAATACCAAGTAAGAAGTCTGAGTCGTAATATTAGACTGGCCACTCACAGAATACTCAAGTAGATCCACTGGCTGTCGGAATGGTTCAGAATCTTCACATTGAAAAATTAGATTTAACAACTCCTGGCACTGAGTCTTCCAAGAAAGCAAATCATATGATTGGGCCCTGCTCCGCAGCTTGCGCTTAGGCTGGTATTCCTTAATGCACACATATATAAAAAATTATGTACAAGTCAAAAGCTTTAAATTTCACACTTAAGCACCTCACATTAGAGATTTACACGTTTTACATGAAAGACCAAAAAAAAAGTGTGTAATGGTTAACTTCAATATTAGTCTCTAGAGCAGCGATGGCAAACCCTGAAAGCTGATGCTCTTTCCTGCAGGGCCGGTGCTATCCAGAGATCTCCCTCACCGGTCTGCAGGCACATTGCCGGCAGGGGAGGGAGAGGAGACCTGGAAGCTCTAGCTTGCAGCTCCGCCAGGTCTCCTCTCGTAAGCACAGAGCGATGTCGCGTTTACAATGGCAACGCTCCGTTCTCGCAAGAGTGAACTCTAGCCCAGGAGCTGCAGGCTCCCCACTAGAACCGCCAGGAATTCGCCACCGGACCACCAGGGCTTCACAATCGATGTCCCCTCTTCCTGGGCAAAGGCAAGAAGAGAGGGGGGATATAAAGCATACTTTTTTTAATAAAAAAAACAAACATTATTTGTTTTAATCAGCCTCACACAAACCTCCCCCTACTGTGCCTCCATACACATACTGCACCCCACTGTACCACCATGCACACACTGCTCCCCACTGTACCACCATGCACACACTGCTCCCCACTGTACCACTATGCACACACTGCTCCCCACTGTACCACCATGCACACACTGCTCCCCACTGTACCACCATGCACACACTGTTCCCACTGTACCACCATGCACACACTGTTCCCCACTGTACCACCATGCACACACTGTTCCCCACTGTACCACCATGCACACACTGTTCCCCACTGTACCACCATGCACACACTGTTCCCCACTGTACCACCATGCACACACTGCGCTCCCATGCACACACTGCACTCCTATTTCGGACAACCGTATGAGTTTTTTCTAAACGTAAACCTCAGTATTTAGGTTTAATTGTCATGTTGGCACTTTGAGGGAAAAAAGTTGGTTTGTATTGCGGTTTGGGCACTCTGGCTCCACATGTTCGCTATCACTCCTCTAAAGCATGGGTGTCCAACCTTTTGGCTTTCCTGAGCCACATTGAGCGAACAGGAATTGTCTTGTGCCACACATCAAATATATAATAGAGATAATGTATATAAGTAATAAAACTTTAAAAGCGCTCTTCTTAATTGATATTTCAATTGTTTATTAGAGAACACCCTTATTATCCTTACGTGGGATTGCCATATTTAAGAACAAATTAGGGAGCTATCTACTAAATACACATGCATATACATATGCAGACACACAATCACAGACCTATGCACACAATCATACATGCACACACAAACATTATCACAGATGTAGACACAGACTCCCCCCTACACACACACAATCAGACCTATTCACAGTCACATACATATGCACAAATAATCACAGATATACACAAACCCACATAATCACAGACACCCACACCCAAACACACGTACAATCAGACCTATTCACACAGTCGCATACATACACACAATCACAGATATACACACACACACACACACACACACACAATTACATACACAGATCCACACACAAAATCACTGACATACACACACATTTAGTACTTAAAATGTCCACCCAGCCTTCCTGCTTTGCTCTGGGAGGACTGGAGTGGATCCTCGCTCCCTGGTGTCTTGCGGTTTCTGCTGGGCTGGGATCTATGTGCTCTTCCTGCACAGGTCCCTCACGCGCCCTGTAGTGATGCCAAGATGACCTCATATAAAGGCCGCCGGCTCACTGCAAAGAGGGAGCTTATATAAAGGGCTCCCTCTCATCCTCGCCACCTTGCAGCCTGGAAGGCAACCAGGCCGAACATGCCTGGTCTACAGTATAAGCAGTTCATATGTTAACGTTTAGCTTATTTAATTAAAGTTTTTAAAATAAAGCACATAATGGTGCATTCAATTCAAACGTTGTAGAATAGATTTAAGTAGCTTTTTTTTCATACCATGGATAAAAAAATATTTGATAATTTTTTTTTCTAAAAGATTGAAGGACTTTAATTGGAAGTTTTACAGCTTGGACGTTTTACCTTTTTAAAATACTGTTATTAACAATTATTTATCACTTATATAATGCTCCTACAGAGGACTAACGAGATACATTCACATAAAACATTGTTTACCTTTCTTTTTCTTGTGGAAGTTCCAGGTACATCTGTGTCTTTCTCTTCTTCCTTTTAAATGCAAGCTTGTGTTAAATACATAAACAAATGTTCTAAACTATAATTAGCAAATGCAATAAAGTTAATTTATATGTATCATGGTTTTCTTCTTTTATTTGGCATTTTAACTTAAATTCTATTCTATTTGTAATTAAAGGGTTAGTTTTAAATCCTTGCATGTCAAAATGCACAATCCGGTATAGATCTTATTTTCAACTCCGCTATACCATGCTTTCTTTTGCCATCATTTACATGTGTTCAAGAATGATTAACTTAGATAAAGATCAGTAATGAAACACATTCAATGTGACTGCATTATAAAAATCATATACTATACATGGGAATATCAATAAGGAAACTGTGGGTATGTTTAGGAATTGAACAACTCGATTGCCAGATCAAATTAGTTTCAGGGAAGGCTCCTAGTATGCTGCATGTCCTATGCAACAGCCACTGTATAGTTTAGATACAGTTTTTAGCTAAGGCACCATAATTCCTGTTTTTGGACATTATGGCCTCAATTTAATAAGCTTTCCAACCATTTAGTACTGTTGGAAAAACTTGCAAAATTATTTATCTACAAAAGTCACCATTAAAGTTTATGAAATTTTTTTGTAATGTAGATAAATCATTAGAAAATGTTTCCAACAGTAATTAATCATTTGGAAAGCTTCTTAAATCAATGTTGCTAACAAACGCCCATAAAAAAGGTTACACAGTTACATTGTTGTCTAGGTTGCAAAAAAGACTAAAGTCCACCAAATTCAACCTTGAAACCCATTCTCCCTTACGCTGTTGATCCCAAAAATTTGCAAAAAATGAAATTGCCATTTCCAATTATTCCACAAAAAGGGAAAAGAATCTATCTTAACGCCATAATGGCAATCAGATTTCTCATTGGATCAACAACCTGCTTAAATACATATGAATTATATCCTTGAATATTCTGTTAATGCGAAAAAGCATCCATGCCTTTTAAAAATATATACCGTATTTTTCGCTCCATAAGACGCACCTAGTTTTTAGAGGAGGAAACCCAGAAAAAAAAAATATTCTGAACTGTTCCATAGTGTTTCTTACTATGGGACAGTTTGTTCAGAATATTTTTTTTAAAGGAATTCTTTGTTCCTTACCACCCACTCCCCTCTCCTGTCCCATAATAATCTTTAAACCCCCTCCCCTGTCCCATAATAATCTTTAAACCCCCTCCCCTGTCCCATAGTGATTGATAACCCCTCCTCCCCTTGTCCCATAGTGTTCTCATCCTCCCCTTGTCCCATAGTGTCCCCCCTTCCCCCTTCGTGTCTTCCTCTCTTCCCCCTTCGTGTCCTCCTTCGTGTCCCTGTGTCCTCCCCCCTTCCCTTGGTAGTCCCCCTTCCCCTTGTCCCATAGTGTCGTCCCCCCTTCCCCTTGTCCCATAGTGTCGTCCCCCCTTCCCCTTGTCCCATAGTGTCGTCCCCCCTTCCCCTTGTCCCATAGTGTCCCCCCTTCCCCTTGTCCCATAATTACTTACCTGTCTTGTAGCGTGGGCCGACTTCACAGCGCGCTCCGCGGTACAGGAACTTCAATTTCAGGTTCCGGTTTCCGGCGGGACTGAAAGGAAGTGTGCACACTGAGTGTGCACTTCCTTTCAGTCCCGCCGGAAACCGGAACCTAAAATTGAAGTTCCTGTACCGTGGAGCGCGCTGTGCTGCCTGCCAACGCTACAAGACAAGTAAGTAAAGCTTCACATTCGCTCCATAGGACGCACAGACATTTCCCCTCACTTTTGAGGGGGAAAAAAAGTGCGTCTTATGGAGCGAAAAATACGGTATATATATATATATTTGTAGAAAGTATTCAACGTTTATCATTTATTGCATTACAGTTTTTTACCCTATCAACATTCCTGTAAAGACACATTTTTTTGCATAGGGTAATTTCTCCTATGTGCCTTGAAAATTAATCTCTATGGGTGTAGCAGTTTTGTTATTAACTCCTTCACTACCAAGCCCTTTTTGATGGAAGAAATATTCACACATTTATTTGAAGCAAGGGATTGATAGTTAACATATAAACATATCACAACACAACAATTTTGTGTATAGATTGCTTTGCAGACAAACAAACTTACATTAAAGTCATACAATTTTTATTTACTTATTTATTCATCCTCCATAAAAATATTTGGGACATGAAGGAATATTTTGAACATGTTAATTTCATATTTGGGAAAGAGCGCAGGTAACTTTTTTTGATTTTTGTTCATGTATTGAGGCTAATGCTGCCACCCAGAAGTAGTGGGAGTTTGGGCACATGGCTTTATTTTGCATGGTTGTATTTGCTTTTGTACTACAATCCATGTTACAGTGCTGCCGGCTGCTCCTCCCTCAATAAGTTTTAACCCTCTCTGCATGGGCGTCCACAGGGGGGTACAAGGGGGATTTTGCAGCTTGTGCTGCTATTTTTAGTTTGTGTGATAATAAACTGCAATACCAGTGCCGGCCAGTAGGTGGCTCTGTGAATGGAGAAAGGCAGGGATAGGAAGTTACAGCTTATCCCTGCTTCTCTCTCATGACTGAAACCGGAAGGTGAATTGTTAGTTTAGGACTCACCTAAGAGGTTTTGCCTTGACATGGTAAGTGAGCTAACACTTGAATTGCCATTGGAGTGATACAAAAAACTCAAGTTATTTAAATGTACATAGGGATTTGGGACAGTGTGCAGGTAACATTTATGTGTTTTTTTTTTGTACTATGTATTGTGGCTGATGAGTACTTGAGTCATTGCTGCCACAAGTGGAGTAGTGGAAGTTTGAGAGCAGGGCTTAATTTAGCATTTTTATATTTTACTCGGGGTCTAAAAAGTTAGTATAAAAGCAAAAAAACGGTTTTCTCAAGTACAGCTGACAATTTCCTAAATAAAAATGCCTTCTAAATAAAAATGCCTTCTAAATAAACTGCTTATAGATATTCGAAAGAAACTGAAGGCATTACTAGCAGTCTGCTTTGCTGAACATGACAAAAGAATGTAAAAGGAATGTCTGCATTTAGCACAAAATAAAGTTATTCAAAACTGCTATTGCAATCTTTAACAATCTCTGGACTGTTACACTCACATTAACAGTGAAATGGTCAGAGCCCATTCACTAAGGAATAATATGGCCCATTAAAACTTTCTGTATTTGGAAGTAGAGGGTGTGCTAATATTTTCAGCAAAATTTTTAGACATTATATCAGTGACTAGGCAACCTTCGACAATCAAGATTTTGTGGTCTACATCACCCACAATGCTCTTACAACCATATTGCTGGAATTGCATCATGGGAAATGTAGTCTACAACATCTTGCGTGTTGAAGGTAGCCTACCTTTGGACTAGTGGCTTATGGCAGGGATAGGCATTCCCCTACAGGCTCGTAATCATATCTAGATTATAAATAAGGACGAGTGAGGCTTTATCGACTAGGTTTCATACTATAAAATAAATACATTTCCCAACCAAGATTTGGGAGGAGGCCTATCCCTGGCTGACCTCCACACTCTCCACCAGACAGACTGGTCATACATATGCCAATGGTGTGATGGTGTTCAACTCAAACCATTGCTCCCTGACACTACCACCAAATCAAGTCCAACTATACACCCACCCCCTTCAAACATCTCTCTCACACTTCGAGTCACTCTGCACATCCCAACAGCATGCAAGAAGAGGCATCTCCTCGCTCAATAACATGCTACTAAGGGAAGACCTTAAGGTTTACCGCAAAGTGGGAGAGGGAGGTGAAGCGCTAACTGACCAAGAGTGGGATAAAATTGACATACTCACACACAAATGCTCCATCAGCTCGAAATTCCAAGAAACAAACTACAAGATACTATCCAATTGGTACAGGACCACAGACACACTGCATCACATTAACACCGACATCCCGGGTAACTGCTGGAGATGTGGTGCAGAGGACGGCGCTATGCTCCACATATGGTAGACTTGCCCAGTTAAAACCCCCTTTTGGACGATGGTGAACTCCAAGCTCCGAGAGATCATGGACCCTGACCTACCTCTCCAGCCTCTCCCCATGCTCCTACACCACACAGACATGACCATTAAGACATACAAGAAATCCCTGACCAAACCTTTACGGACAGCGGAAACTAACAGGGGCGCCATCCTTCCAACAATGAATAGACAGGGTGGGAGAGATATACTCCATGGAATCGTTGACTGCAATACTACACGGTCATTCAGACAGCTGTACAAAGACCTGGACCCCATGGCTGTTGTACACAACTGCCAACAGTGCAGGCAGCTAAACCTCCTCTACCCTCCCCCTCCCTTCACCTCTACCCTCCCCCTCTCTTACCCATATTTTTTTTTCTTTTCTCTCTCTTCTCCCTCCCTCACTCTCTCCTCCTCCTTACCCTACTTACGTCCCCTCTCAACCTAACCCGGACATGCCTGCTGACCTCCCCCCTTACTTAACTCACCCAGACAAAACCATTCAGGAGATTAACCTACGGAAAACGTAAACTATTGGTTATCTCTGGAATCTGCAGACTAACCATTGAGACACCACTATGACTTGCGACACAACAGGTTTAGTGTAAAACTATGTTACCTCAATGCACCACAGCAAGAGTAATAGAGTCACATAATGTCTTACAATCTGAGTAATTAATACAATTATACAACAAATACCTGCTAAACCTACTGTACTCAATATTGAAACCGATTCATTGCTGTAACACTATGCTTTGAAATCAATAATCAAAATAAAGATTAAAAATAAATAATAAATACACGTATAATCAATTTTGTGATTAAAGTGATTAAGTGATTTTAAGGGAACAAAAAACAAAAACATTGGGAAAGACCACCTGTTTAACATCAAAAAAGTACAGTTTTACTACCTCTTCTGAGTCTGACAGCAGCTTCTTCTTCATACTGTTATATAGTGGAATAATGTCATAGCAACACTGGTCTCTGAGGGGAGAAAATAATTTGGTTTGAAAAATTTATAATACTTACATACAAAAAGTATAAAACTACAATAAAATGAGTAAAGAGTAATTAGCACATGACATTTTGAATACAGACTTTGCCATATATAAACTTATCTTGTCAGAAATGTAACAATGATATTTATAGGATCACATATGTATGCACAATTATTGACTATTTAAGGACCACATGACTGTCTATGCCATGTCTATGCCATAATGCATAGACAGTCAAGGCTTTAATGCCCAGTGACAGGATATAGACAGTCATGCAGTAAAAGTACCAGCAGGGGTTCAATCAGCTGTGGCCAAAATTTTTGACCACAGACTGACTATGCTCTGTTTGAAGAGCTCAAAGTGAGCGCTGCAATCAGGGATTTAAATCCCCGTTGTTACAATGCAGTGTGAGAAGGGTTGAATCACTTATCACACCAGGAAACCCATGTGTCAAATACTTTGGTCTCCGCTCTGTCAGTTGTGGACATTTTCAGTGGCTCCAAAATTTCAGCACTGCATATAGCAATTTAAATCCATAGAGAACACTGCAGCTGACAGAACATCTCATCCACAGTGATTCTCCCATTGGATCTGGTGATTGGCAGACCCCCTTATCTTTGTTCGTTGCCCAGCACTGAGCGCAATGCACTCAGCACACTACCTTCCACGTTAAAGATATAAAGCTGTCATACTGAAAACAGCCACTAGATGGAAGCAACATACCACTCCGTTTTACCTTTAAATTCCTTTTGCTACTATGAGTAGTGATATTAGCAGAGAGAGTCCTTTGGGATTAGGATTAAATTAGGGATTAAGATTAGGTTTGAATGAATATTAGTGGTAGTATTTGGTTTATTATTAGGTCTATATTTAAGATAAGTCTAAAATTTAAATTAGGATTGGTATTAGGTTTCAGATCAGAATTTGGATTATGTTGAAAGTGCAGTTTGAACACTAACTTTGGCCAGGATTTGTGACTAAGTGGCTACTACATAAGACTGAACATTTTGAATACCCTGGATTGCCTGTGTTTGCAAAAGTTTGCCATGACTGGGGGTAATTTTCACTTCTGGACTGCCATACGGTCTCAAAGGCAACATAGGCCAAGCAAACCAATCCGGCAAATTTCAATGTGCAAAATCCTGAAATGGGCAAGCGCTTTATTTGACCCTATAACTTTCCAAAACATAATGAAACCCGTACATGAGTTAAGAGTATGACATTCATTGTTAAAATGCCATGCAGAACTTGAAAAAAGAATAACATTTCTTCATTTCTTTTTAGATTTTATTCATATTACATTGTGTTTCATATGAAATTAAATATGTGTGGGTACACTCAATATAGAAGAGGTAAATTAGGGTTGAACAGACATAGCTCAAATTCTAGGTTTTGTTTCAAAACGTTTTGCCTCCGTCCTTAAGCGTTAATGTTTTTAACAACTGATATTTTTTTCACCGTGACAAGCGAAGGTTGCTCCAACTTAAACAATACTAACCAACCATTCCCACAAAAAAATAAAACAAACATATTCTGAAGCAGGATTTTTAAAGGGACTCTCATTCACAGGACATTTTTCTAAACATGCCATATTTGTAGATTCTGAACTTTAAGGTATGCATTGTTGTGATTAAATCACCAGTAAATGCATAGATTAAAAAATACAGTTGCCTAAAGACCACATGCCCACCTTCCATGATGGTTGCTGTAACAGATGCACAGGAAGAAATCCGCAAAGGATGCATCAGGCACCAATGCAAGGGACTGGCTCAAGTGCACAGGAATTTTGTCACTCAGCACTGAAAACAAAGTGCGCCAGTAAGTATAATTAAATCTACATAACTAGATCTATACATTTGCTAGCCATTCGTCTAGCATTATGTACAGAAAATGACAAAGTGACTGTTCTTAATTTGTACAACAGAGTCACCAAGTCCTTGCTTTAATTTTAAATTTCTAGATGTAGCTTTATTCTCTACCATCCATCAATCAAAGCAATTTGATCAAGGTTCACTTGATTTCCACCTCCCCTACAATTTCGAGTGAAAAAACTCAAGATATTATAAAATGTCTTTTTAGCTGTGCGTAAACAAACATTAACCAAACAATTTAACAAGTTTGAAAATCATGTTAAAAACAAAACACATGAATGAATCAGGTCCAATAAGCAAAAATAAAAAGATACTGGTACAGACTAAGTCAATTTTGGTTCCAGTCATAATTTATTTTCTACATGATTTAGTTTTGCCTTTTGTAATGCTTTGCAATAAAATGTACTATCACCAGTTTTTCCAATATTTAAACTTACTTTATAAAATGCAGTAAGACATCTGTTACAAATTTAGCAGACTTCACAATTGGACTTCCAGGCTCATTGAATGTTCGTGTGTTATGCTCTATATATCGTAACTCCCACATTAACGATGATAGACGCCTGTAAGTAAACAAGATAGTTTTTGTTAATGCAAATTAGAAAGTATAGAATATATTCAAACAAATGTATACAGAGAAAGGCAAATATTAAAATTCCCCCCACAAAAAACAGAAAATAATTCCTCCTTGCAATTGAGATAAAACCAACCTATAGAATCTGTTTTCTAGACGTTCTTTGATTGTACTTAGATCAGTTGGGTATGCAACAACAGTGCTGTATAGTGGGTAAGCTTGCAAATCCACTGGTGCCACAAATGCAGAAGCAATATCTAAAATATAGATCAGATATCCAAAGTTAAACTTTGTTTTTGTTTGGAAGACCTCCCAAAAAAAGTTCCGCAATATAATTTGAGATTACCGAGTGTCATCAGCTGGTTGATCCCAGCAATTATTCGTTCACATTCTTCATCTCTGCTTCTACAGCCCCATTCTCCATCAAGGGATCTGTAAAGCAACGAGCGAACTTCATTTTCAGTCAAAGGGACACTGTTGCCCAGTTCATCTGGAAATACGGCTAAGAGACAAAAAACACAAACAAAAAAGTGATTAGGGATAAAACAAACACGCTTTGCACTTCTAGATAGCTTCATTAATGTTGAAAACACTAAAACTTTTATGCTCTCTCCAAAGCGTCAGCTAAATTCCAATATGTCTAATTAAAATATATATAGGTTATGAAAATAAAATATACATTGGGATTGTAGTGTAAGGAGTACAAAATTCAAATAAAATCCTCTATTAGTGGATGACACAAAACATACATATAAATACACATACCTATCTCAAAGTAATTTTAAAATCTATGCATTAAAAACATGCATAAACCTAATCATGAGGCATGAGAATAAAAAAAAAGCTAAAACCTAACTTCAAAGTCAATCAAGTGTCCATCAACATGGTAAGAGATTGTCTGGACAGAGATTGTCTTAAACCCTACTTATTTATCTGTACATTTTCTAGAAACCTTTGTAACTTGATGCAGACACTATACCAAGTATCACTTGTCTAAAAGCTCCAAGTTCCCTGGAGTTCAACAGTAAATTTTGCTTACTTGAATGTCGATTATAATTGGTTTTGCAAATCATAGTCATTAGGAGTGCAGTTTTAAATGTCAATCAGGATCAAGAACATTGTCACACTTAAAAATATTCCCTGTTGTGCCAAATAGCACCAATCATTTTAACTTGTCTATTCAGTGCAGTCAAAACTACTAAAATTTAAAGACTAGGTTATTTGCTTCAATTTTATCAATATTGCCATGAAATGGACAATGCATTATTGTATTCCTGACTGAAAATACAATTATGGTAAAATAGTTATTTCACTTATGAAGGTCATAAATACACTAATTCAAATAAACAAACAATATTGCCATTTGGCAAATGTCTCATAACACAACACAAAAAACAAAAGAAAGTTAAACCCCCATTTCCCCACTCACATGTTCGTGACTCTCTAGAATACGAACCATTATCGGGTATTATTTCCATGTCCCAAGGGCTCATCTTTTCAGTATCTCCATTGTCCCAACTGAAAATAGATTGCATGACACCATTCAAATCTACTAACACCAAAATATATTTTTTTTTATTCATCTTAACCATATTCTCAAAATTTTAATAAATTGTAATTTACTTTTTTGGATTGAGTGTTCTTTAAATCAGAAGTTTACATCTAAAATACAAGAACCAAAATAACCAAGCTTAATGAAATGGTTTTGGTATACAGATAACACCCCTGCTCTCTCAATGTTCAGTTTTCTGCCAATTAAAAGTCAAATCATTTTATGCATAAAGGTTAAGTTGTATTTGTGCTTACAGTGTATGTCTTTAAGACTCTGTTGGTGTCACTTTGCATTGACACAGTTTCACTTTCATTCAGTACACAAGAGCCAAGTAAAGGGAGTCTCACAATATCCACTATGGTTATGTAATTACAGAGCAAATAGTCTGTGGGTCCTGGTGGACACGCCATTCCAGTAGTTTGAGTCAAACACTCTGAACACTTTGACAAAAAATGAGGGATTTCTCAGGCACCTACAAAGTGACCCCCATTGCACTCTAGTACTGAAATGTTTAGGTGGCAATGACTGGTGAAGAGTGCTGGACAAACACATTCAGTGTTCACATCCACTTATAGAAACTAAAGTAAAGATTTGAGTCAAACAGTCTGACCACTGAAACTAAAGAAAAATTTCTGGGAATTCAAAATTAAAGTCAAAACAGCCAAACTAAGAACATAATTGACTTGGAAACTGTTCTAATTTAGCTATTTTGGCCTAAATTTTGAAGTTTACTTTAAATTCCTGGCAGCTCTCACTTAAGTGAATAACCAAAATACTGTAAAGATTAACAGATAATTAACAGATAAACATCAGAAGCACATAGATAGGATACTATCAGAAGTATTATAGGGAAACATGGGAATACTTGCCAGACATTGTAGCACTGAAAAAGGCTGTCAGGATAGTCCTGCTGAAGAGGTTCTTGGCTTTCAATAGTTCCAAACCACCAGGCATCATCAATCACAGACCGGAAACGATCACCTTAATAAAGCAATACAGACTAATAATTCACTTGGCAATTAAAGGTGATGCCGCGTAATTTGTAAACGCCCAAAATAAATTTTTAAAAATAAATGTTTTGTAACATACACAGATCTAGTATGGAGGTCGGTTTTTACCTGGAAGATTGCTATGCACATATGTGCTGTTCTTTTCCAAATAACACTGAAAATGGCATGACAGTCCTTGCCTAGGTGCAAAACTCTTATGCCAAAATATAAATATCAAGGAAGGTGCACTCAAAGTACTTCCAGAACATTTTGGTAGCTTTATTGTGCAATTATACACCAGAAAATGTACATGCCCTGGTGTACGAATGCACAATAAAGCTATCAAAATTATCTACGATGCCCTGTGAGTGCACCTTCCTTGAAATATATAAATATAAACATAAATATCATTTGGTCTGCAAACAGAAAGGATGTTTTCATAATAAGTACCATCTGAGAAAGGCAGCATTAATCATTAGTCTTTGAAAACAAATTCAGATAATTTATTTCAGACTTACAAGCATTGCTCCTGCTAGGATATGTATGTCAACCTCTACATACCTATTCTCCACTGCCGACGCCTGGCTTCATCAAACTGCTGGCGGAGGACAAGAAAGTCAATAACATCGGGCATGTCATGATACCTAAATTTAAAGCAGACACTGTGTTATAAAAAAAGATTTAAAGCAAAATGTACTAAATGGTTACCTAAAGCTGACATTTAAGTTATATTCTGAAAAAGCTAAGAAGAGTATAGTTTTCTGCTTTGCTTTACAATATAAAGAGATAGTCCCAGGAAACTTGTATTTAGCTAACAAAATCACTCCTCCAATAACTAGATGAAGGAAGTCATATGATCAGCACATTTCTTGGATGGATAAATTCTTTCACCATACAGTGAATATATAATTTAAGTTGTATTATGAGGCACTATAATAACTGTTGTCCTGTAGGGTACATTTTCTGTGAGTCATATAGCACAAGATAACTGCACGGTTTAAAAAAAAGAAAAAAGAAAAAGAAGAAACTCCTATGACATGTCAACCACATTTACATTTAGCAAAGCCAAGCCTCTAATTTAAACAAATCCTGACCAGCATTATGAGGATAAGGTTTATGTTTTCGATATTGAAAAAATTAACAGGTGACTCAACACTGTGTTGCCACAATGTTTATTGGATAAAACTGCCTGGCACTGCTTATGTGCATTACCACCTACCTTACCTCAGTCCTCTTTGTGCCTCCTGCACAATTTTCTGTGTGTCTCATCTGTGTACATCTCCCCCTCCTCCCCCCCGCAGCCCTCCATGTGCCTCTTCCCCTCCTCAGCCCTCGGTGTGCCTCCTCATGCCTCCTCCGCATCTCATACCCTCCGTGAGCTTCTTCCCCATGTGCAAGCTCAACTCCCTTCTCTCACGTAACCTCTACCTGGTCTGACAGGAAGCTGTTTGGCGCTCCTTGCACACCCTTTCTGCCAGACCGGGTAGAGGATACACAAGCTCTGGTACTGCGGTCCGTGGCTTGGCCACGCCACATGTATTGACTGGCAGGAGGTTATGAGCACCCCTCCTGCCGGTCACTTAGAAACGGCACCCCCCGGTGTTAAATATCAGCCCTATGAGGGTCAAATAGAGTGTAATACAAGCTGTTTTCTGCATAGTGTGTAGAAATCTCCCAGGTGTTAACAAGCCCTCACTCAACATAATTTATTTGGGGACATGGCAACTGAGCTTCTGTCATGTCCATTTCCAGCGTTTGCATAGCAGAAGGAGGTATGCAGTAGACCGTATCTTTTCGGATTAGCTTTTGGTGCAGAGCTTGTTTGATACAGATATACATAAAACTTTCATTTAGTATGAACTAGCAATGCTGTAAGTACCAAATTTAGTTAGTGTAGTTAGGGAGATATATTCCTTACTTCATTGTGAAGGCTCCTCCGGTCAGTTTACCAGTGTCTGGATCAAGGAAAGCAAGTTTAAGACAGCAAAGTGTTGGCAGTCCAACTTCATACTTAATGCCAACAATTTTCATAAGTTCTTGTTCCTGCAAAATAAAGGTTTAAAAGTAAAAATAAAATAAAAATCCCTGCTGAATAAATAAATTGGAAAATAAGATGTAGCTTAAATAACTAAAAGGGTTTATATCTCACAATATTGATAGTAAAGATTACTAAATATATATATATATATATATACATACATACATATATATACACACACACACATACACATACACATACACACACACTACAAAACAAGTAATCTTTACTATCAATATTGTGATTAAGTGAACTTGTCGCTCACAATATCTGTAGAAACCAAGCTCAAATTTCAGTAAGGTATGTCAATAGAATAGTGATGAAGTCAAAGATGTTAAAACATATAAAGGATTAATAGCTTATATGTGTGCTAGCCCTTTGTTTAACACAATATACATATTGCAATTTCTTTTCCTGTAAAGTGAAACAACCGTTTGTCATAGGTACTGTTTAACGTGTAAAACAAATAACCCCAAAAACTTTTTTGAGAAACAGAAGTGGATGAGACGTGTTTGTCTGGTTCCGGTAAAATATTTAGAAAATAATTCAGGATTAATCCTCAGCAACTTTGAAGGCAAATTACATTGTCATAATTTTTTATGAACATACAACCTTTACCATTGTTGTTTTTACCAACCAATTACAAATATTTCTCTCATTTTTGTTCTTTGGGAGAGTATAAAAGAAGTTTAATTCGAATTCACATGAAAAAATTACCCGCAGTTCCATTTTATGCCAGGGTTGCTTCTTAGCATTAATTCTATAGATTTTGTTCTTCTTTGCCATTTCAACATAGGCTTCGTGGCCTTGTCGGAAATAATATACCTAGGTGAAAAATAAAAATAATAAATCAATCAATCAATCTCAGGAAGAACTATATAAACTGCATATATAAAACTTTAATTCTTATTTTTCAAAAGCTCAAAATAAGATGCAGTTCGAAGACATAGCAGGAAAACAGAAGACCATACCATGTTTAAAGTTCTGTTATAGTTAAGTTCTGATAATAGCAATATACAAAATTGCGATGGCGCTCCAACATGAGAACACTAATGATAACTCTACAGGACTGAAATGACCTGGTTGAGAGAGATTTGCAGAGATTGGACAAGATGTTCCAAGACTTCTGGGCTAAACTTGAAGCCCAAATGACACCAGCACAGCTGAACTCCAGAATTAAAGTCCGGAGTGGAGGTAAACATCACTTAGGTGCAGCACAGATCCAAGTTCCCCTCCCTGTACACCCACCTAGACTAAAGGTTTAACACTAGAGCATTGACCACGCCAGCAGAGAACGCGGGGTACACAACGGCAAAAGTCAGGATCGGCCCTCTGCTGTCCCCCTGTGCTAAAGGACTTGGACTTTACAAGTCTCCGAGTCCCTGACTCAGTGATGCAGGTCTTCTTTCAGGCCCGGGGCTACAGGGTTGTCATGTCTTACTACTGCAGTCGCCATTATCAGCGATCTCTCGGCTACTATTGTTCCTCTCCCAAGCGAAGGAATTGGCTGATCCCAGTCTCATTATTGCATACAGTTCCTTCTGCCCAACTTGTCTGTCTAACTCAGTTATTGAATATTTATCAGCTCTCATTTTGTGTCCAGCTGTATATTCCGGATTTGACCTCTTCTCTTTTATAATTTTTTCCTTGTCACCATTCACTTTTGTGGTGTGTGGGACAGGTTGCTGTGACAGCGACTTAGACACACTAGATATTTCTTGAACATTCATTTTGCATGTGTTATAGCATAATTATCTTAATCAGCAGAGTATTATAACAGGTCATTATTTTGTTTACACAATATCTTGGCTAAATGTCCATTATGTGTCGTGACTACAGTCTAGGACACAGTGGTCTTTTTTTGCATTCCAAGCATGTGTCTGCTCTCATATACAAGCTGTTAGTTTATTTTAATTTTTTTAAATGCGCTTGCTCTCGCTGTTGTGGCTTTGCAAGCCTGTTTGTACCACTTATGCACAACTAAAATAAAGAATTAAAAAAAATATATATTGCACTTAAAATGTACATTATGCTATAACTCTCACTGGAAAAACATCACTATTGTTAAGCAGCAAGGAATATGGAAAATAAATCATGAAAACTGTAAAGAATACAAACATAGTTTCAAGGACATTTAGGGCTTTTAACATTATCTATACATATCTAATATACACAATGCACCTGCAATTCCATCTTACCGACAAAGCTTGCATGAGTCTGTCTTGATAAAGTTGTAAAACGAAATGCATAGATGGTGCGTGTCAAGTTGATGTTTTGACCCTTATGATGCACTCCATTTTTAATATGGTCATACTATTTTGTTTTTGTTGGAATATTAATAACCCTATGGGATTATTACATTTTTTCTCCTGCGGTTTCTGTTTACTTAATATTACTTGGGATTGACCTGTTGGAACTCCAGAACATAGAGTACTTGGATGGTGCACTTGCTTCGGACAGGAATACTAAATGGTGATTTAATAGGCATGCTGAATATTTAACTGGGATTCAAGGCTGGTTTCTTCACTTATTTAAAGGTGAACAATGTCACTTTATTTCAAAATCACATGAAACTCAAACTCTTGGTACAAAGGGAAGGCTTACTCTGGCATACTCTCAGTCTAACTATAACTGGTTTCAGATGACAATAACCCAATAGTGTATACATTAACTAGAAATCACATTATGACATTGAAGGAACAACATGGATAACAGTGAAGAGAGGCCTTGATTTAATTTATTTTGATAAACTTTTCAAATGACTTTATATTATTTTTAATATATTGATATATTTTAAGATTATGAAAAATGGTAAAATCGAGGCCATAGTTGGTATCCATAATAAAACATTTTACCTCATCACCCATTTGTGGTACAAAAGGACAGCGCCGTGGGACAGTGTCGGTAATCCAGGCAGAGGGCAGCCATTCTTCCAAAGTTAAACCTTGTTCTGTCAATTCTCCAACTGGTAACCGCTGAAAAAGATAAGAGAAAATAAAACAATCCGCATGTAGAGAAATCACAATATCTGAAATAATTAATGCATATATTGTTCCTAGCAGCTCAACAAAAATGAACACAGCCAACTGTAGTGGATATGGTGTCAGGAATCCCCTTGCACTGTTGAGAGTTAAACTGTTCTTGAAATTTGACCATTTTTTTTAGTTCCGATAAATTATGTCACATTACATCCATGTAAACTGTTAATGATAACAACATACAGTAAAGTAGGTAATGCATGAGCAGTGATTTTCAAGATTACATTGAGCAACACATACTCCTGTCAACTGAGCCTTATATCATGTACCAGGAAATTCCTGAACTTGATTCTTTGTGGGAGGAAGGGATATTAACCGGGGAATGTGGGGGATGGGTGGTAGGCCCAAAAGAGACATAGGGTGGAATGGGTTCTCTAGAGAGAATACCCATGAGCGGGGGGTGTGGGAGGGGTGCGTCATGGGTAAGAAGCTTGTGGGAGTTAAACTGTTTTTGAATGGTATGGCTCACCTGTCTCCCAGCCACCTATAGTTGGTTTATCTTCACAGATATTGCTAAAGTGACAGAATTGATATCACTTATGCAGAAGGGGGAAGTTTCTGTGTTTGAATGGAAATCATAAGCTGACCATCACAATACTCTGTGACCAATGAATCAAGCTGGACACAACTTAGATTTCTAAAGCAGAAGAGTAACTTCTAGTTTAGCAATATCTGTGAAGTGGGACTAGAGAAATAAAAGCTACGTTCCAATATAAATATAGGTCTGACTGTTTTACCTTCTGTTTCCGTTCTTTAGTTTTCCTTTTCTTTGGCGATGCAGATGGTCCATCCTTCTCCTCAATTCCTTTCTTCCTTTCTCTTCTGCTCTGCTTTTGTTTAAACTTCTCAGCCTCTTCCTCATCCTCAGAGCTGCTCTCATCTTTCTTAATTTTAGGTTTCTGTATTTTCTTTGGTGGCTGAAGATTGATACCAGCATCTGCGGTCCAGTCAGAGTAATCACTTGAATAATCACTGGAAGAAAATGGGAATGTTGTACAAAATTAGGCAATTTCAATGCACAAATTATGTCAAATAATGTAATGTATAAATAATGTAATAATTCAAATAATGCTCAACCTTGGACATTATGGTCAAGTCTAAACTTGCTTAAACTTCTTGTTCTAAGTTTTTGGCTCATGAAAAAAAAAAAAATCTCTAGCTAATATTTCTTTAATTGAATCTACTCCCAGTGTATGCAAAGGAGCACACAACAAAAGCGTTTTTTCCTGATTTTGAGTGAACATCTCATAGCGAGATTAGTCACCATAACATTTAACAGAAAATATACTGTAAATCCTCAGTGCTCGGGTACAAACAGAAAACAATAAATACCGTGACGTAAGTTATGATTGTTTTTCAGTCTGATGCATTTAATTGCATTATGTACCCAATAAGAATATATTAGAGTGATACGTTTATAGTCTTTACTATTGGCAAAAATTATAAGCTAAATATGTGTTAAAGTCATAGGTACTGGACTTCATTTGATTTAAAGCTTCATGGTACAGCTGTGAAGATACAAAGCTAAAGGAAGTAAAAAAAAAAAATTAAAAATCATATGTGGTTAAACAGTGTACTGTAAACCTAACCAAGGCCCAGAAGCATTAAAAGAGGGCATCCAACCTCTGCAGACAGGTTTTTTTTTTTTGCATTTTCATCTTTTAAACAAGGTTACATGTGTAACAGTTTAGTACAAGTCAATATTACAGATAGAACACGTATGTCTATTTAATGAACAGTAATAAACAGTAATAAACAACACCGCTTGTGTAAGCGTTATTTTTACCCGTCACGCTTGCTTTGATTAGGACCTACAGCCAAGTCCTTCTCCGGTCTAGTTCTGGCACTGGGGTTTCCTCTGCTGGTCTATGCATTTTCAGTTATATTGTCCCAGTGCGTCTTCGTCTATTAATATCTCTTACTGGGCCATGTAGAACTGGGAGGGGCATGCTGGCTGGGGAGTTGAGTCCCCCTGTATATTGCGCTATGGGGTGTCAGGAAGCAATGCAGGAGATATGTGGCCCTGGGACTGTGGGTAGCCATGTACCTTAGCCTATGGATCTTCGCTCCTGTGTTCGCGGGTGTTCCTTTCAGCGGTTACTAGGGTCGGTTTCTGCCTGCCTGGGGTAGCCAGACTGTGGCTGGGTTGGTTATTCTCCAGGTCTGCAGACAGGTTTTAACCAGGCTGCTTTGATTCTGCAGTGTCTGCGTCAGAATAAGTCCTTGATGGAATACCTCTGCCATTTTCCTTGTAGAAGTGCTTTCCGAGGTGAGGCAAGAGTGGCAAATAACGTGCCCTGATGTAAGTCAGCACAGTGGGGACAGGATGACCCCCACCAGTCCGGAGGCAGTGTGTGGAGATATGGGTTCCAGACACGACTCAGCCCGAGGGAGTCCACTGCGGACTAGGCCGCAGATACAGTGGACCAAGGGTCCACTGTCCAAGGGTCCACTGTCGCGTGTCACAAGAATACTCTGATCGGCGCCCAACGTGTTCAGGATTAATTTGGGTAATTTCAGGAGTCACAGGCACCTTGGGTATACTACACAGAGTAGGGTAATTTAAGTGAGGATCCCCCTTCCCATGCGACTGCTTAGCAAGCCACCCTTTTCTATCTGCATTTTATATTGTTTTAACTATTCATGAGTTATCTCCAACCTAATTTTCTCTCAACTGGACACGAGTTCCTCAACATATTGTGTTATTTAGTATCAGCACTGGCTATTATGGTATTTTCCATTTCAAATTCAGTTTATTTAATTTGCCTTATAACATTTAAAGTCTTTGCATTTGGAGGCAGGCTTCAAAATGAGTCATCCCTATACCAAAAAAAGACTCATTCAATCAAGATGCAGCCGTAACTTATGATATTGTTGAGCAAATGCCATAAATTACAGAAGAACAGCGTATTTTGTACACAGAAGGGGGTTATGTACGTTGAAGTTTAGCACCAGGTAAGCTAATTTACAGTCGTCAGCCTAATACAGGGTGTTTCTTGTAAAATCACTAGAAAACGGACAGAAAAACAAGGCTTGTGTCATCTACAGACTCCTTGCATCAAAACCATGGTAGTGGTTATTGAGCTTGGAATGACCCTTTAAGAAAACAGGAATGACCTGCAGCAATGCCCACAATCAGAATGTGCACCGTCATCTATATAGCGTTACTGTTTGCAAGCACTGTTAACTCTCAAAAAATTGTACTGTAAAAAGATACAGTAAGCATAATATAATGGTAAACACATACAACAAAGGGGGCCAAATACATAAAAAGACTCACCTGGAACTACTATCATCACTGTTCCAATTTGGTTTTTCCTCTTCTTCGGAGGTTGCCCCACTAGCAGGTACTGGCTCACTTTCAGCATCTACCTCCTAACAAATAAAACATCAATGGTTAATTCTATTCCAACCTTCTTTCCATTAAAATACTTCAATTTAAAAGAAAGACTACGTTCAGCAACCAAGATAACTGAAGCTGTCAAATTCAATTAAATGTAAAATATATATTACTCAGGAAGAACATGATAATCAAATGCAAGAAAAGTCTGGTAGTATAACATCTTACATCAGAGGAGCTGTTCTCATTTTCTAGTTCTTCAGGTGGCCCTGATGGCTCCTCCAGGGCTGCTCTTGTGCCATAGTTATGCTGACTTGAATTCTGCTTTCTAGAATCCACGGAATCCAATGATAAGTCTGGGGAATGGTTCTTCAAAAATAGCAAAGGTCACATCATGATCAAGACAAAGTCTTTATGTATACAACAAAAACATCTATAAATCTATTAAATGACATCCTGAGTGACACATGTGAATGTTTTACAAAATAGTATTTTCCTATGCTTTTATTTTCAAGTTGTAAAGACCATTTGGCATCAAATAGAGCCACCCTAACAAAATGTAAAAAATGGTTGTTTAAAATGCAGAGAGCTTCTGACTTTCAGTGGAGGAGGTGACCAGTACCCAATGAAGCCCAGGAAAGCGGTCAAATGGATTAACTACTTACACTGGAGGTGCCAGGGCACTTAAAACACCTCAAAGGAACACTACTGCTCGCTGTGGAGTTTAAGTATCATTATCACGTAAGCATTTTTAGAAAAATAGCAACTTTATGAAAAACTAGTATAGTCATTGTATTTTCACTGTCAACACAATCACAAAATAAGAATAGACTAAGTAGGGACTATAGATGTTGGTTTTTGATAAAATGTGGAAAAGTGAGACTCTAAACAGCTTCAGATACAACTTGCGCCATTTCCCACTGCAGGTCACTCATGAGAACAAGCATTTCTCAATAGATGCTTATGGCATTTCACTATGCATGTGCAAGAAGATCTATGAAGGATCCAACAGTTCTTCTACAGACCCACGTTTTGTATTCTTGAACATTTTAAAAGGTATATCAGGTTCTCAGGTTTCATCTAGGGATGGAGGAACTGAGAATGCAGAAAGTATTTCCATCCAGCCACTTTGGTGCAAATGACAGTGCAGCTATATTATTTAACTTCCCAGAAAGGAACCTGTGTGATGCTTCCAGGTAGTACAAAATCACTACAATTGTAAGATGCAACATTCTCTCTTCTTTTAGCCCAGTCATTACAATGGAAAGTTAAATTAAATTAACAGTGATCCTTATTCCAATCCACTCACTTACCCAAAGCTGTAGATACACTGGTAAGTCTAGAATCATACACAACATGAAACCGAACTGGAAAGCTTTTGTAGTCAATTTAACAACTACTCTCCTAATCAAAAAGACTGACTGAATGACACAATCCTACCAGTTTTTGCACACACGTTTCTTTAATAGGCAGGAAAACCAGTTGAAGGGGGACATTTCACATCCTGTTATTGTATTGTACCACCCCTTATATGGATGAGACTAATCCCAGGATTGATGCTTCTCATTTCCAGGCAGGAAGAGACAATGGCTAACTCTAGGTAAGATATAGGGAATGTTTCCAGGTTAAGATATTACCTTTGAGTAAGACACAGCTTTATTCTCTCGTACAGTATTGTTTGCAGTGGATTTTTTCTTTTCTTCTGCTTTGTACAACTGAATTTCCTCTTCTCCTTTTGCAGTTCTCCATTCTTCTTGTTTGCTATCAATAAATAGACATAAGACTATAAAATTTTTGTATTTAAATAACAGACACAATTAACATTAGTTTGTTTCAGCTTGTCTTCTGATTTAAAAAGGAAAAGTAACTTTTCTGCAAGCAACAGTAAATATTACATGATGGGTTTAATTGTGCATTAAAAGGCAAGTATCTATAATATTTACATCCATAGTACTTTCTGAATGCTGCAAGGATCATTCCTTGAGGTACAAGCTTGTGCACTTGGCCTTCTTTTCCTAGAGAGCTGTACAAGTACATGTGCACACCTACCATGGCACCATAAATGAGAATGCGTGATTGTGGTGTGTGCAGCATCTAAGGAGTTAAACTAATTTCCAACTCCAATTTAAATTGTACTACCATGACAAACACAGCTGAGATAATTGGCTGTAGCACTTCGTAAGAATATTTAAAACACATTTATTTATTTTAAACACAATATTGTTTAGGATGTATGTGTTGCAGAGTTCTTGCTCAAATATTTTCATCTGTCTGGTTATGGAAAATGGTTGAAAAATCATAATGTGAGAGTATAATGCACAAACATATGTTCCCATATTTATGTTCAGCTTTCTTCCACTGCCAGCTTGCTTTTCCCACCCTTAAACACATGAAATATATAATAAATTATTTGTATGCCATTTAAAGGGTTTCTCCCTGCATGAAATATAATAATGTCCTATTGGCATTATTCTAGGCACCCCGCACACCCCTAGTAAACGCAGAGTATTTTAAAAGAAGAGTTACTACATGCTGCTATGCCTTCTCCATTGTGATGTCACTGGTACAAGTCGCCATGGCCCATTCAAGGACTTCTCAGAGAAGCCTTTGGAAGATATAACTGGCTCAGAGAGCATGCGTGCACTCCGAGGACACAAGGAGAGGGAAAAATAAAGGCAGGGATAGCATGGAGGATGAGGGAGGAAGGGAGGGTAAATTAAAGAAAATATCGAATGGTATTGGAGGAGGGAGGATTTACCTCTGTTTAGGAGAGAGGAGAGACAAGAGCTAAGGGGAGAAGCTGTTCTGTCTGTTGGCAGAACGCATAAAAAAAATGCACAAAATTCACATTGGGTAACCTGGAACAGAGTTATGGGCTGCCTAAGTCACATGTTCTGTGGGTTGCAACTTGTTATTCAAGTTGTTGGTTCAAGCTGAAACACTGCACAACCATACTCTTACCACCATCACCACATCAAAAAGTGGAAGTGGTCATGGTGGTTGGATTAACCCTTTAATAATAAGAACAGCAACAGCAGCAGCAACAGTAAAAACAACACATTTTAAGTAAGCAGATGGGAAATAAAATACTGTGTGAATGTTTACTATGGTTTCTAATTATATGTTAATATTTGTTCTAATACATTATTTTACCTTCTTGTTAAAAATGTAGTGTGATTAAAACTCAATGTAGAACACCAACTGGGTGGCCCACATTAAGTTTTTTAAGTTTGTAAGATAGTGTTCTGGCACAAAGTAAAACTTGAATATGGTGTGTACTTTTTTATCTGAACAGATTGTAGTTTATAATGTATACTGTTATGCTATTTTGTACAGTATGAATTCTAATATTCAGATAACAAGGATAATGAAAGTTGGCCTTGGTTATTCATGACACTGCTTGTAATTTATCTGAAGAAAGGTCAAATAGCCTTATGTGTGTAACCCTGAGAAGTAAACAAACATCTTTATCTCACATTTTTTACATAAGTGTATACAGATTAAAGGACCACTATAGGCACCCAGACCACTTCAGCTTAATGAAGTGGTCTGGGTGCCTGGTCCAGCTAGGGGTAACACTTTTTTTTTTTTTTTATAAACATAGCAGTTTCAGAGAAACTGCTATGTTGACACTGAGGGTTAATCCAGCCTCTAGAGCCTCTAGTGGCTGTCTCATTGACAGCCGCTAGAGGCGCTTGCGTGCTTCTCACTGTGAAAATCATGAACTGGCTGAATGCACGCGCATCTCCTGCCGCACTTGCGCATTCAGCCGATGACGTCGCTAGGAAGGAGGAGAGGAGGAGGAAAGCTCCCCGCCCGGCGCTGGAGAAAGGAAATATTTTAACCCCTTCCTCTCCCCAGAGCCAGGCAGGAGGGGGACCCTGAGGGTGGAGGCACCCTCAGGGCACTACAGTGCCAGGAAAACAAGTATGTTTTCCTGGCACTATAGTGGTCCTTTAAAGGAACAACGAGGAATAACTAAGAGAAGTTTATGATGCACATAACAACATGAAATCCTAAAATCAACAGCTTCAAAGGAGCATAGGATCAATTAATTTGTCAGCAATAGCCAAAGTCTGATCTCTCACAGAAAGCTCACTTCCATATTAAAATTATTAAAGTAAAACAAAACAAAGGAACAGAACATAAATATACTGAAGCCATGTGTGATCTACATATGTACCCTAAAGTATGATTGCCACGGCAATGTGTAACCTGTATCCTTGACAGATATATATATATATATATATATATATATATATATATATATAGGGAATTCTATATAGATACTAGTGTCATTAGGAGATACATATGTACACACACACACACACGGTTGATATTTAAATTAATTGATAAACTAAATACTTGTCTTTGTAAATCCATTAGTATTTCATATTGTTATATTGTTAGTTTTGTATGCTGGCCTCCACTGGAAGTTAGCATTTCTGTTTTATTGTCCTTAAACTGATAAGATAGATATAAAAAGGGAGCAATGTTGGTCCTTAGGCTTATCAAGTAAATTATATAACTTGTTAATTTGAAATACTATATAGTGTAGCAAATTGATTTTAATTGTGTTGTTTTGGTGTTTAGAGTGTGTATTAAAAAACATATTTTAAGAAAAGTCTCTTTATTTGAAATCTGCCGTTCATAAGTGTTTATATTACTGTGTAAAACAAAAAACTTTAGGGTCTTTGAAGGCTGCGTGTGTGTTAATATCAATCGGTATATCTATATTTCATACATATACAACTTTAATTACCCAACAATACTATATGGAAGATTATTAATTAACTGTACTCATGGCAGTTTCAGAAAGCATTGATGATTAATACAATTTAAAATCTTACACAGACCTGTAGACCATCTATGTCCAATATTTCACAAAAGCAGCTTGGTACAACTGGTTCAGACACTTGATAGACTTCTCAAACACTTACGTGGACACCCCTTGAGATAGTTCTGGGACTACAACTCTTCGGCTCCATGCCACAAGGTCACGTTCAGTAGCCATTTCACTTCTTGGGGCATTGCTATGCATCTGCCGAACACCTTCTATTTGTCCACTACGTCTCAATCCAATATTTGGTGGTGAATGCACTTCTGAGGAAGAGCTTATGGAAGCTGCAAGATTGTAATTGAAATCAAAATGAAGAATAAGGTTATGAAAATACTTAATGCAGCCACAAAAGACTAACCCCCCCAAAAATGCACTGATATGTTCCTCTATATAAAATGACTAATAAAAATAAAAACTACACAGGCAGACACATTTGAAAAAAAAACAAACAAAAAAAACAGGCAATAGTAAATACATTTTCAGCACTCACAGGAAAAGGCAATGTCAAAGCACTTTGTGAGATCAATGCTGCTTATGTGGAGAGCTACACTCTGAAAATGACCAATTATAAAGGATAAAGTAAAATATGTGCTTCTTGCTCTGTAATAAATTTATTATATTTTAGCAATAAACATTTATTGCGAATATTGATCCAGTGCCTCCAAAGATTTTGTTGTCCCCTCTCTCCCCAACATTACTCCAGACTGTGTTTCACCAGGTCAACTGATCACTGGAAAAATATCAGCCCTCAACTTTTCTTATCCCAGACAGGGTCCTCTTTGCACATGGAGATTCACAGATATCAAATTTCCATCTTATAAAGGCATAACACTACTGTTGGGATCGAAAAACAAGCCCAGTACCTTTTCAGCCAAATCCCACTGGTTCAAATACGTATAAACTATTTACCAGAGAGCAAACAATTTCCCTAAATGTTTTTAGTCTAGCTCCACTGCTTCTCTCATGCATCAGAGACTACTTTGGAAATAGGAATAATCTACTGAAGGAATTTTGCTAAATGTAGTTTGCTGGATCTTAGAGAAAAAGAATAGGTCACACAAGTAATGCTGTGTGCAAAAATTGTGTACCAATGAAAAAAGAAATCAGAAGCACTTGATAATACTGATACATACACAACCCACCCCTTCCACCCCTCCCACCCCCCCTTTTTAAATAAATATTACGGTATAAACTACAATTTGCTTTTAATTTCAGAATATGCACATATTTTTCAGATACTACGTGGAGTTTTCTCATATGTAACGGTTTTGTGATGTATACTGTCTGCAAATTGTAACTGAATGTTTTGTATAAATCAAGGATTATGTAAACAGTATTTCACTACTGGTTTGTGATATACAAAACCATTTTAAATTTTATAGGAAAAAAAACAAACCGATTGTGGTTGTTGTCTATACGCAAAGATAAAAAATAATATAATAAATATTGTCTTAAGAGATTTTGTTTTTGTTTCCTGCCAAATATTAGTTTACAAAGCACTTACATTGTTAGGCCATTACAGTCCCGTATATGTGTTAGTGGACATAGATTGATACTATAATTTTAATCTCGTTATGAAGGAATACAGGAATTAATTCACCAGCAAGACCTGGTGCAAGGGAGCAAGAAAACAACCTGACATATTTCTGAATTCAGAAATATGTACATACACATTATTAATAAACATGTATTATAGTGAACATAAAATATGAGTATATTAAAGAACATTAAATTCCATCTATAAATTGTGATTGCAAAAATGCTAGCAAATGTATAGAATTTCATTTACACTCTTGAATGAAAAAATTATTGAAACATTACACCAGTGGGTCAGAGGCACACATGGTCTAATGCCATAGATTGATGTCAGGTGGCTTTCTTGCTCTCTGTCCCTGTGTTACTCCCCCAGTAGAGGTTTATGGAGGTTCATGGGGTGTACTGATGCCAATATGCCGGCAGTGAAGCCTGCATGTACACAAGGGATTGAGCTGCATAGGAAAGCACACCTGAGCAGAGATCATTACTCATGCAGGCAAACCTCCATATACAATCACAATCTACCAAACTCCACACATACATATCCCACTCGGCAAAGGCCTGCACAATCAATCCCACTCGGCAAAGGCCTGCACAATCAATCCCACTCGGCAAACCAAACGCACAAGGGCACCTGACAAACCAAACGCACAAGGGCACCCGGCAAACCAAACGCACAAGGGCACCCGGCAAACCAAACGCACAAGGGCACCCGGCAAACCAAACGCACAAGGGCGCCCGGCAAACCAAACGCACAAGGGCGCCCGGCAAACCAAACGCACAAGGGCGCCCGGCAAACCAAACGCACAAGGGCGCCCGGCAAACCAAACGCACAAGCACAAACTCGGCAAGCCAACGCACAAGCACACTCGGCAAACCAAACGCACAAGCACACTCGGCAAACCAAACGCACAAGCACACTCGGCAAGCCAACGCACAAGCACACTCGGCAAGCCAACGCACAAGCACACTCGGCAAGCCAACGCACAAGCACACTCACATGTATTGCTTGGGTGGGACCAAGGACCAAGTGAAGATAACCCTTTTGAGTCTTGCTCTTGGGCCCTGTGATTCTTAGTTACTCCATTGATATTAGTGGCACATCATCACAGACCTCTTTGATCTAAGGTTAATTAGTTCAATAAGTCATATATTCCCCAAAACAGAGTGACCCAAGTTAAACCATAGATATCACAAGACAACATAAAATATTTTTTTTCTGCTACCAAATAAAAATGTATTCAATAAATTGATGGACCTAATGATGGACTCCATGCCACAGTAACCAGCAGTAAAACAATGAAATGAAGTTTACAGAAATTAGAAGTAACTAGAGGGAGAAAGTACACAAACCTTTTTTAGTTTGTTTCAACAAGACCAAGTAGTTTTTATTTACCTCTGCTTAGTCTGTTACTACTACCAATGCCAACATCTGGATTCAGCCTCTGGTCTTGTTCCTGCTGTAGTCTCTGTATCAGGCTGTCCAAAGGACTCACATCAGTGCTCGCTTGCTGACTGAGGACCTGATTTAATCCTGTGTGTAAAAAGTTATAATATTTGTTGTGAAGGGTGTCTATATTTCTTCAAATATATAATCTAAAAGCCCAAAAGAGAATTTTTTGGTTAAAGAATCCCAAAAGAAAATGTGAAATTGAATTTGGGTCCTTGGGATGCACTGTCTGAGGGACCTGCAACCCGTTTCATGTCAAAGCAGGTAAAGAAGATCCTCTACTCTGGTCCATGAGGCCATGCTGAACAGAAGGTAAAAAGATCCACAAGGGGAAAGTGGAGGGTGGGTGAGGTAAATAGTGAAGAGATTTCAAGTGGCATGAGGGTAGGGGGAGGAGGTGCCAAAAACAACAAGAGAGGAGGGTGCAATAAACTCACAATGCAGGATTGTCAGAAACACAAAGGGGAGGGGTGGTAAGATATTTAACTGGTTATTTAAAGGAACACTATAGTGTCAGGAATACAAACATATAGGTGGCTTGCCCCCCCCACTTACTCCCCTTAAAAGCAATTAAAACTCACCTTATTTCCAGCGCCACGCTGGTGACATCAAAATTGCATATTTTTAGCCAATTGGATTGGCTAAAATCAGCAAGGGGCGGAGCAAAACGCCATTTTGGCCAACCAGCACCTCCTCATAGAGATGCATTGAATCAATACATCTCTATGAGGAAAATTCAGCGTTCCCATGCAGTGCGTGGAGACGCTGAACGGCAGTGCTTCCTACTGTGCAGCACCTCCAGTGGCCATTTGGAGGTGTCCCCAGGGGCAATGTAAACACTGCCTTTTCTCTGAATGCAATGATTATACTCACCAGAACAACTACATTAAGCTATATTTGTTCTGGTGACTATAGTGTCCCTTTAATTATTTTTCTTCTAAATTTCAAGATAAAACATAGGAATTTGTCTTATATTCTGTGGCATCTTGTATTTAAAAATCTGTGTGAAAGATACATGTTATTTCACATAATACTGAAAATGAAAAAGTTCTCATTCTCAGGACAGAGGTTTACAAATTGCTTCTAATGTACCTGAAGAAGTCACCCCCATCTGAGGAATAAGTTGCTCATCCCTGCAGTTTTCTCGCCCTGGAACAAGCCGCTGATATCGTGTTGGATGAGGATTGCCATCAACATCCACCAAAAAAGGAGGTGGCATGAGATGTGGTGCCTGCTGTGTTTGTTCATCCAAGACAAAGTTGTTACCGTCACGGATGAGAGGTCGATAGTCACTATGAAAAAACATCTGATCCGCGATCTGTAAGAATTACATGCATAGGGATATATTAACAAAAGATGAAACAGCACTCCCTCCGTTATAATATTCAAGTACTTCTAAAGCTTAAGGAAGGTCTTTACATCAGGAACACAACTTCTTGTATCATTTTGGATTGTGAATGTTTCTTTCCCTCCCAATACACATTTCCATTTTCCAGATGGCAAGTGAATAAACTGAAGAAATATTAGGAAGGAGGACACCCATCCAGAACGGTTATCACTTAACTAATCCTGTAGGCCCAACCCTATGTTGACAGATAGTCAAGCAAGTATAATGAAGCAGAACAAGATAAAACCACAGCCATGGACACTATAAACAGAAAAACAAATCACTTAATGAAGCAGTGTTGGAGTATAGATCAGTGGTTCACTTTTTAGGTTCAAGGCGCCCTTACTATTTCTCCAATGCACCCAAAGTCAAAAAACATTCTAGGTTGTATATATGTACAGCGCTGCGGCATATACTAGGCCCCTAATCTTGGGAGTGGCACTGGTAGATTATTTAAAGAAACAATACAGTTACAATAAAAACTACATTACATTGAAGTGGTTATGGTGCCAGTAGCGCCGTCGCGACCTCCCAGGGTAAGTAGTCAAACTGTTTAAGAACAGTTTAACAATAGTGATGTCGTGAACGGTTCGCCAGGAACTCCGGTCAGCTGACACATCCCTGCCAATCTCTGGCAGACCCTCCCTCCCAGACCCTCCTACTTCCTGGACAGCATCCATGTTGAAGGCAGCTTCAACATGGATGCTGTCTAGGAGGTGGGAGGGTCTGGGAAGGAGGGTCTGCCAGAGATTGGCAGGGATGTGTCAGCTGACCAGAGTTCGCCGCGACATCACTATTTAACAACTTACCTGGGGTCTGTCGGTATAGAGGCTGTAGTGCAATATGTATGTGTTTGAGGGGTGCAGTGTGCATGTGTGTACAGGGGTGCAAGTCAAGTTCAGTAAGCTTTCTGGAACATGGGATTTAGAGGCCCTTTCTGTCCCTACTCTACCCCATAACAATTTCATCTCAATAAGTAGTTATGGGAGCCAGTCTCTGAGAAAATAAATAAACTATGCATTTATTTATTTTAAACAATTTTAGAACCGTTGAACCCCATATGGTAAGGCAAAGAGCCCAGGGACTGTATTTCCCATTATAACGACAACTTTAAGTTGTTATGGTGGTGTAGTGTCAATTTAAAGGTCTCATTTAAATAATAATTTTAAAAAAAGAGACTAAAAAAACAAAAAGTAATGTTCATCAGCTCTGAGGACCTACCAAGTGTTTTCACTGAAAAAAATAATGAAATCTACCCCCGGTTCTGACACATTTATCACAAATCCCAAGTGATCCAAGTTTTAATTTCATTACACTGATTGAGAAGCATTCAATTATTCTCTCATGTAGAAAAAGATTTACCTTCACTGTTTGCTGCTAATCTGTATCAGTAAATTACAAGTGAAGGAAAAAGGGGAAAAAAACTAAACTTAAAGGGTTACTATAACCTTTATGAGAGGGTGGACCTTTCCATTGTAGTATGCCCTATTGGGAACTGTGGAGAAAGTATCCCCTTTCAATTCATAGTAAAATTGGTATATAAAAAATAATAAATACATTTAAAAAAAGTGTTTTTACGTACTTGGAATCCAGCATCAAACAAAGCTCTCCGCACCACCTTTCCCGTGCCCCCTCCTTATATGACTGAAGCCCTTAATTGGGCCATTTTGCTGGCTCAGAGTGCATGTGCGCCCTTTTGGCCCGTGTGTACACTCCGGGACAATATTTAACGGAGGGAGCTCCCACAGAGAGGGAGGGGAGATCTAGCTTCCCCTAGCACTGGGGTTCCCAACCCATGGTACACGTGCTCCCAAGGCTACAATCCAGCTCCCCTGGAGATATGCAAAACAAATATCTGTAATGGCCGAACCGAGTTCTGCAGGGCCGATCCTGGGCAGTTGCCCAGGGTTTGACGTAGCCGAGCAATGTCATGCTCCGCTTGCTTGCTATTTGCGGCATGCCCTTACCCCTATCATCCTCCTTATTGGAGTGTGCATGCAAAGCATTTGAAATAACAGCAACTATATTGCATGTTTCAAACATTTTGCTAATATGAGAGGTACAATTCATCAAAATGGACTGCCAAGTGGTACTCAAGTAAAAAAAGGTTGGGACCACTTCCCTAACAGACGAACTGCCTACAAGGGGAAGATTTCTGCACAGAATTAACATTAGGCTGCACAGAACAGAGTTCTGTGTCTCAAACGTCACGTGTACTGAGGGTGTAAGGAGCTCCCAGCACACAATTAACAGTATCATTGGATGAGCAGTGTTTCAAGCAGAATCACTAAACATACAGACTCCCACCAATATAACCACTTCAAATCACTAAAACTAGTCATGGTGGCTGGAGCCAACCTTTAAAACAAAGTGTTGACTCGTGCAAAAGGATTTCGCTTGTTGTGTAGTCTGTAAAAGGCTGCACAGAACTACTCTTCTAAAGACTACAACCAAAATGATCAAACAATATGACATACACATACTGAAAATCTGAAACCCAAAGTAGACATTTGCAAACACTTCCCTCCTTTTGGAATGACAATCTGTGGTAATGATGATTGTAAGATGTACCTTATCATACTTGCTACTGGAACCAAACCCAAATATCAGAAGATGACCATGAGAGTCAGTGCAAGCAAAGTGCTGACCATCTGGAGAGCACTTACAGTCAAATACTGCTCCATGTCCTTGTCCTTCAATCTGAAAAAAAATTGCAAATAAAGACAGAGTGGTTGAGTGGCTTGAATGGTTTTATCTTATACTCATTCACAAAAGAAAAAAAAACAAAATAGGTCCCTATTAGTCCTTAGCTTAGTTTAATTTTTAGAATCAAAGCATTAAAGGATTGAGAGATATTATACAAAAGCAAACATAACTGAAATAACCACTTTGTGTAATGTGTTCAAAGGATCAATTGTGCACAATGCATAAATAAACAAAATATTATAGAGCAAAGATGGCTGTTATATATTACATAGTAATATACGCTGAGAAAGAGAGAAAATAAAAACATTTCTTTTTTATTTAAAAAATACATTACAATATTAGATTATATATTAAAATACTTAGATTTTATTTAAAATAAAATAAAGTCCAGGAATATCAACCTTTAAACTCATCTTTAATGCTGTGGATGCAAAAAAACAAAAACAAATAAATATATTTTTTAAACTGTTTATATTGATGGCCAATTCTGCCACAAAAAAGGAAAAAGGTATTTCATGTTATTGAAGCATATTAATTATATCCTTGAAAATTGCACTAGTAATTAGTATAATGAGAAAAAACATGAACTATTTGGGCAGAGAACTCAATGTCTTTATTGCTGTTAATGTAAATAACACTTTTCTTCTAGATCTTTCCTAGATCAAACGAATATAAAGAACTGCAACATTGGAATTCACACAAAATGATGAAAAAAAAATAATAAATAATTTAAAGAATCCATCAAGTACCTACCATATTAAAGTAAGATCGAATCTTAACTCCTCGAGCCAAATCCCAGACAATGACATTGCCATCATGGCCTGCAGAAAAAAGCACCCTATGATCGAAAGGGTGAGGCTCTAGCACAAAAACTTCATCCTCGTGACCCTGCAAAAGTTATTTCTTGTAAATCAAACCAAGTTTATGCTTACATTATCAAGATAATCATATAACTGACATAAAATGAATACGTAAAGGAACACAAAAGTGTCAAAAACACCATTCAGCCACCCCTAGCATCTTCGCCCTCTCTTAAGATAGTAAAATCCTGCCATAGGAAATAATTGGATTGGCTCAGACTGTCAAGGAGGCAGATCAGCAGCAGACCAGCACAAGCCAAACACAGCCTTGGCCAATCAGGGCTGTGTTGAAACAATGAGGAACATTCAGTGTCTCCATGCAGAGGGTGGAGACATTGAATGGCAGTGCTGCATACTGTTCAGCACTGCCCCAGGAAGCACCTCTAGCAACCCTCTGAGGAGTGGCCACTAGAGGTATCCCCAGGCTGTAATGTAAAGACTGTATTTTCTCTGAAAAGGCTGAGAACATGAAAACAACTATAGACTAGGTAAAAATAGATTGGGTAAGAAAGTGAGCCAAAACACCTTGCTGCTAGCCAAACAGTGCCTTCGAGAGCACCCCTTGCCCCCCCAAAAACAGCTAAGCTGAAACAGCCTGTGACCACCCCCTGGTTCGCACAATATGCAGACTCTGTATAGTAATGAATGAGCCTTGTTCAGTGGTACAAGAAATCAATTTAAACTTCAGGAACAGGTAATATGATAGCTGCTCTCTAATGATACAGAGGTGCAGGCTGTATGTGGTGAGAGCACTCTTGGTAAGGTGTCTCAGCAGCGCGCCTGTCAGTGTTTTGGCTCGCTTTCATACACCATCTATTTATTTTACCTAGTCTATAGTTGCTTTAATGTTCTCAGCCTAAATTTAATGTATATATTACTTAATTCCAACTTGTAGCACTATCTCATGTGACATAGTTGTATCTTGGTTTGACAATGTATCCATATCTCGGCTAATCCCCATCCACCCCACACTCTTAAAATCAATACCTTAATACTCAAGGACTAAATGACCCTGGCAAGACATTTAATGATGCTTATACCTCTGGTATTCCCTAGAGGCTTTTTCCAAAGAGGCTACCTTACCTCTTATACGCAGTATGATCATTTATTGCCAATAACACACCGTTTAGTTCATGGGTCCCTTTTTTGAATTGCAGCCGTTTGAGAAATATCATTTGAACCTACGTTAGCCTGTCCTTTAGAGGGCACTATCGGTCCCCTCTTCCAAAGGCTCTTTTTACCTTCATTTAAAGTAAAAGTTAGGGGTCGGTACACCATTTCCCAAATGTGATCCTAAAAATTTGCATCTCTCAAAATGTATATGAAAAGGAGCACCGTAATCACTACAGACTGTTGTACCCTTGCGCCATCCCACAATAAAGAGTTAAATAGTTTTTGAACAGTTTGACACTTATTTGGGTCCTTTGAGTTCTTGCTATCCCTCAACTCTTCACGGATATCACTAATGCATAAATTCCCTTCAGCATTAGTTATATCAATGTTGTCCCTAATTGGACATCATTCATTGGCATTGCGATGGTCAGCTGACATTCTCTGCTGTTGCACATTTCCCATTTCCACAGTGTTTTTTTTCAGAACAAAGAATTGCAGGCAAAAACTGGACTGCATATTTAAGGTGAGTTCTTACCACTGATTTACAAACAGGCAAAATATATTTACCATCAGAATATGGATGAGTTGCCCAGTGTTCGAGTTCCAAACTTTTAACGTCATGTTATTGACAGCAGTTATTACAGAGGTATCATGGCGGTCCCAGGCCACCATTGTTACTTTTAACTTTGTGATCTTGTCTTCCACTCCCTGAGTGTTTAGCCTAGAGAAAAAAAAAAAAAAAAAAAGATTCCCGTTATATGCAACATTTTTCTTCTGAACCACAGATTATATCAGACAAACACTTCAGAACGTTACATTGCTATACGTTTTTCACTCTAAGAAATATACTAAGCCAAAAAAGTTACCACTATCCTCAAACAGAAAGAAATTAAAACACATAAGATATTAAAAGGAATGCGCGCTCTCTATCTATATAATTTTTATTTTCTTTTTTTTTTTGTCAAATCAATACCTAAGTTACATGTGCTCTTCTTCTGTAAAAAAGTGTTAAAGGAGCATTGTAGTGTCTTGAAAACAGTGACGTGGCACTTTAGGTGCCGGCCCTGCTCCGACCTCGCTGAAAATTTGATTTTACCCACCTTTTCTCTGACGATGCCCCAGTCTTGTTATGGTAGGCCCCGCCTAATGTAAGCCAATTAAATGCTCTCTCATAGCACTGGTAGGCTATTGTGCATGTGCAGCAAAACTCTTTGCTGCACCAATCAGCAACTCCTCAGATGCATTGAATCGATGCGTCTCTACGTGGGATGTTCAGTGTCTCTATGCAGGGTGTGGAGAAGCTGAAAGCCAGTGCTTGACTAGGAAGCACCTCTATTAGCCATCTGAGTGACAGCCACTAGAGGTGTTTCTAGGCACCAATGTTAAACACTGCCTTTTTCCTAAAAAGGCAGTGTTTACATTGAAAAGCCAGCCGGAACAGGCTATAGACAAGTGAACTACAAGTATATTAAGCTGCACAATTCTAAAACAAACATTTATTAGTCTTCTAAATAGCAGAAAGTGCCTGCTAATGCAGATTGTTTACATTTTCTTACTACGTGTCAACAACACTATGGTAAAAACTTGTACATGTGCCATGAGAGCTAAAGAGCTCTCTATAGCATTGCTCCCTTGTGACCATGTGCTGTTTTCATGACAGAAAATGTATAGTATGTAAATAGAGTGTTTTCCATCCTTAAACTCAACAGAGAGGCTTGTGAGGTGATCAGAGATGACTAATGACTGTCATCAAACCACAAAATGCGTGAAGTGGTAATGGCTGTTAAATTGTAACCTAGGTAATGGCATAAATAGTGATATAAAATGCTAAAAGATCAATTACTTCTGTGTGCACTCCAACTGCATATTTGTGTGATACAGACATCTTGCTAACCTATACAGGATCACTGTGGTTATTGAATCTTACTAAAATGAAAGTTAAACAGAAAATATAGTCCACGAGGGGTACAAAAAGTGAGAGAAAACAGAGTAAAATATTTGTGCAAAGGCAACATAATGAATGAGCTGTGATGGGGGAAAACAAAGAGGCAAGTTGGAAGGCAAAGAAAATACTGGGCTTGTTAAAGAGAGGAAAACAGATTAAGATAATTAGGTGTGCTGGGATATGCAAACAATAGCAGGTGAGGAGTAGTATAAATTGGAAGGGGTAAAAGGTGACAATGCCCTGTGAATTAAAGGCAAACCTGTTTAGGAGGTTGGAGAAAGAAAAAAAAAATAGAAACAAAGGACAACAAAGGAATGAGGGGTAAAACCATAGGAATTGAACTTACTGATGTTTGAGTTTTGAAATAGTTTTAGTTTTCTTTGCTCAAATAATTTAAATGTAAAAAGATTATAAAGCTAGGATACTTCAGAACCTAAAAATATTCACTTCTGTGCAGCCATATGTTTTCACTTCACTATAGCTCTAAATAAGTCAGATGCCAAAAAGAAAAAAAAAGAAAAAAACACATTACACAAGCACTACTAGAATGTCTGAAGCACCTCCTGGCTGTATAAGTTAAATGAAGTACATGCAACCGCACAAACAATTTGGATAATGTACCCTTTATCAATATAGCACGCCCTTAAAAGTCAGCAACATACTTACCCAAATATATAAAGATGCTAAAAACACCTCCCATCATGAACTGACCATTCCTCATGTAAAATCAACAGTCAAAAGAGGCTTAGATGCAAATACGTTTAGTGTCTTTTTTTTTTTTAATTCTAGATTTAGGTTACCAATTTTACACATGACATCCAACAGAGAGAAAAGCTGAATGCCAACAACTGAAGAGCACTTGAATCACTATCTTACCCTGCTGGTCGAGTGGCCATGTCTAGTAAAATACTTCTCCATTCCCTTTTCTTGTAGTGCCAAATGCGAGCAGTGCCATCACGGCTTCCACTTACAAATCTTTAAAATAGACAGAAGATAAAGTCACACCAGGGAAACAAATACTGGAGAAAACAATATAAAAGACAAATACTCTCATTTTTATTATTTCAATTTACTTTGAGCACAGTATAAACTATTGCGAAGTAGTTATCGCAACAGCAGAATGCATTGAATGGTTTGCACAAGTTCTAAAGAAGTACATTTTGGCATACATGTACAAGAGTTTAATAGAGGGACCAATGTGACAAACATGAAATAGAGAAGTGATCCAATTATTTCTTAAAATACTGGCTGCAGACAAAGCATACATTTAGGAAGGAAAAAACCATAAACACAACAATGTTACAATTGTAATCAGTATGAAAAAAACTGGTAATAGACCTTTTTAGTGCTTCTAATTCATTATGGTAATAGAATTACCATTGTTCACTGAACAATAGTGCTGGACAGTTTTGTATTCAGGTTTTGTTTTTATTGACATGCCCTTCCACATTGTACTGATCTGTGTTTCCTACTTTGAATCTTTAGAGTATAAAACTAAGTGGTGACGGGAGCCAATTTTAGATCACTAATTCAATACAATTCTTTGCAGTCTTTATTGCATATACACACACATACATACATACATACATATACATATATATATATATATATATATATATATTATACACATATACACACACACACACACACACACACACACACACACATATATATACACACACACACACACACACCTCAAAAAAATAAAGGAAACACAAAAATAACATCCTAGATCTGAATGAATTACATATTCTTCTGAAATACTTTGTTTGCGGACAACAAAAATCACACAAAAAATGAAAAAATGGAAATCTAATTTTTCAACCCATGGAGGTCTGGATTTGGAGTCAGACTCAAATTTAAGTGGAAAAATACACTACATCAAAGTTGGATCAGCCTGTAATGTCCTTAAAACAAGTCATAATGAGGCTCAGTAGTGTGTGTGGCCTCCACGTGCCTGTATGACCTCCCTGTGCATGCTCCTGATGAGGTGGCGGATGGTCTCCTGAGGGATCTCCTCCCAGACCTAGACTAAAGCAGCTGCCAACTCCTGGACAGTCTGTGGTTTCAAATGGTATGCCATTATGGGGGTAATTCTCATTCCTGGGCTACCACACCGTCTCAAAGGTACTAATCTGGCAAATTTCAATTTGAAAATGGAATGTTCTATATTTGATCTTGTAACTTTCCAAAACACCATAAAACCTGTTAATGGGGGTACTGTTGTACTCCTGAGACATCACTGATTACAAATATGTGCATTTTTTTGCAGTAATACCCAACAGTATGATGACATTTACAGCTAAAATGTGAGGCGGAACTACAATTTTTTTTTCAAAAATTAAAATTTCTCACAGTTTTTTACATTTTATTCATAATAAATTATGTTTCATATATAAATATTTGATATGAAATGAAAGCCCTGTTTCTCCTGAACAAAATTATATATAATAAGGGTGGGTGCATTTAATATGAAAGAGGCGAATTACGGTTGAACAGACATATAGCGCAAATTCCAGTTTTTGTTTACGTTTTGTTTTGATCAGAACGTGTACTATTGACTCCGTCCTGAAGGGGTTAAGGACTGAGCCAAATGTACACGTTGCGATCAAAACAAAAACAAACAAAATCTGGAATTTGACTATATGTCTGTTCAACCGTAATTCACCTCTTTCATATTAAGTGCACCAACACTTATTATATATCTTTTTATTCAGGGGAAACAGGGCTTTCATTTAACATTAAAGGACCACTATAGGCACCCAGACCACTTCAGCTTAATGAAGTGGTCTGGGTGCCAGGTCCATCTAGGATTAACCCTGCAACTGTAAACATAACGGTTTACATATGGGTTAATCCAGCCTCTAGTGGCTGTCTCATTGACAGCTGCTAGAGGCGCTTCCGCACTTCTCACTGTGATTTTCAGTCAGAAGACGCCAGCGTCCATAGGAAAGCATTGAGAATTCCTTCCTATGGACTGAATGAATGAGTGCACGGCTTTTGCCGCGCATGCGCATTCAGCCAAAAAGGGAGGAGAGTCCCCAGCGCTGGAGAAAAGAAAGGGATTAACCCCTTCCTCCCCCTAAAGCCCGGCAGGAGGGGGGCCATGAGGGTGGGGGCACACTCAGGGCACTAAAGTGCCAGGAGAACAAGTTTGTTTTCCTGGCACTATAGTGGTCCTTTAAATATTTAGGTATGAAACATAATTTAATATGAATAAAATGTTTTTAAAAAACGGGAGAATTTTATTTTATTTTTTAAACTTTTTTTGGGTCTACGTGACATTTTAACTGTGAATGTCATAATACTGTTTGCTTTTACTGCAATAAAATACACATGTACAGGTTTTATGGTGTTTTAGGAAGTTACAGGGTCAAATATAGCACATTACATTTTTTAGTTATACACATTGAAATTCGCCAGATTGGTTACGTTGCCTTTGAGACCGTATGGTAGCCCAGGAATGAGAATTACCCCCCATGATGGCATACCATTTGCAATAGTAGACAACCGAAGGTATTACAAATGGGGTATATGTCCAGTCTTTTTTAGTAGAATTTCAATGTGAAAAAACTGAAATGCATGCCTTATATTTGACTCTGTAACTTTTGAAAACACCATAAAACCTGTACATGAGGGGTACTGTTATACTTGGGAGACTTCGGTGAACACAAATATTAGTGTTTCAAAACAGTAAAATGTATTACAACAATTATATCGTCAGTATGCCATTTGTGTGTGAAAAATGCAAAAAATTTCACTTTCACTGATGATATCATCGTTGTAATACATTTTACTGTTTTGAAACACTAATATTTGTGTTCAGCGAAGTCTTCCGAGTAAAACAGTACCCCTCATGTACAGGTTTTATGGAGTTTTCAAAAGTTACAGAGTCAAATATAAGGCTTGCATTTCAGTTTTTTCACATTGAAATTCGCCAGATTGGTTACGTTGCCTTTGAGGTAGCCCAGGAATGAATGCTAAAAGATTACTTAAGTATACACTTAGAATTTTAATATATATGTATTTAAATTCTACGTGTATACTTATGTAATAATTAATATATATATATATATATATATATATATATACACACACACACAGAGATATAGATAGATAGAGATAGAGATTATAGAGATAGAGATAGAGATAGAGATAGAGAGAGAGAGAGAGAGAGAAAGAGAGAGTCATTTCAAGTGTATTTTGTTACCAATATATATTAATAACAAAATACAGTTAGAATGGAATATATATATTTAAAAAAAAGAAAATAAAATTTATTGTAAATAAATATATATATTAATATATATATCATATGTAACTTCATTCTAAGTATTTTAATACTAATATATGTACTTATATTAAAATACACTATGTATGACGTTACATATATATCTATCTATATCTATATATGATGTATATAAATTATATAATATATGTATATTTAATTTATTTTAAACATGTTTAATAATAAAAAAATTTACACGTCCCACCAGCAGGGGGACTGTCTGACAGCCCAGTCTCCTTGTTGGCAGATCCACAGCAAGCTATAAGGGGCCATGTGATCATTCTTTGAAAGCAATCACAATTGCCCCTAGGGGGCCTGATTTGCTATGGGAGGGCTGTCTGGGCTGTCAGGCAGTCCTCCCGAAGTGGATTGCAAGGAAGGAAAGTATTCCCGAGGCTCCAGGGCAGCAAGCCGTTATGGTTCTATGCCGCCACAACGGCTTTAAAGCCCATTTAAATGGGGACGGCATAGAACGCCGTAACGTCATTAAGGGGTGACCATACACCATGGCCAAAACAGTCCAGTCCTGAAGGGGTTAAATTAAATTATAAAAAAACAAATGGTTGCAATTATTAACTCTTTCTATGCATAAAGCTCATTTGGACAACTTTGCATAGTTAAGATTTTACACTTGCCAAGTTAAAATTTAAACCTGTGAAGTAGAAAGTCACCTTTTGCGAATGTAATATGGACTTGCAGTAGCAAGGCCTGTACAGCAACATAGGACTGAGTTGAAATGTTAAAACGGCACGGTCATGCCGAATTTAGCTTTCTTTAATCTATTCCTCTTCTCTCCCTCTCTCAGGATCTGTTCTTCATTTCTTCCTGTCTGCTCTAGTTTTCTTTAAAACCCAAGACAAAATAGGGACTACATGTCTTATGGAGGTTTCCTATGCCTGACCATCTCTGACCAGCGGAGGATCAAAGAATGCTTCATTTCCGGTGGTCAGAACAATTTTCCCACAATTCTACCTTTCCTCAGTGTTCTCGCGAAGCCTCCTTTCACTTTTCCCCGAACAGCCTTTCATTTTGACAGAACGCTGGCAAAACTAACGAAATGCGTCCTAACAGAATGAGAACCTTTTCTCCATGATTTTTGCATTAAGCTATTTTAGAGGTGGTTCGTAGACCTTGTACAAAAGTCACAATTCAGATTATATACAGGCACAAACACACTTTTAATCTGAGTTTTATTAAGAAAACTCCAAAATATTTCTTCACATATTTGGCATTAGCTGTTTGTAGTATTAGATTTGTGTATTTTATCCTTACCGGCTACTGGTGTTTGAAAACTGGATGCTGTCCACCTTGTCCTAGACAGGAAATTAAAATCAATCACTAAAAATGTTACACAAGTGCAAGCAAACGGGGCAAAAAAACAAAATACATTATGGAAAAATTGTTCTGTGGATGCCTAAAAATGCTACGACATCAAAAGTTCATGTGATTTATATATGTCTCCAGGATCTTAAAATGGCATATAGATACCTTTGTATGACACCAAGTTACTTTTGACTTGACCTGACTGAAAAAGCAGCTTTTCAGCCTTCACCTGTTTCTTCTGAGTTTAATCTAGTTACTTTCTTTATCTATCTAGAATTTTTTTTATTTTATTTTTTTTTATGTGAGTGTTTGAGAGTTATCCTACAGAAATAAAAATAAATAAGTCAATTGACTACCTCACTATAAAGTGGATATGTCACAAAAGAAGCACCTCATGGGGCTGAAAAACAATTAATGGCAACTTTATTGGTGAACACAGATTAAAGAACATCCAAGCACAATTGTGACACAAATCACAACTTTGCTTACATAGTTTCTAACAAACAAAAATCAAAAACGCAAAGTTGCATGGGCTTATAAAAGCATAGTTCCTAAAATTCTCACAGAGGTTGCAGATCCACTTTAAAACAAATTTGATTGAGGCACAAAAAGTTAGGTTATTATGTACTGAATAAGTGAAGGAAAAACAAAGCAAACAAAATAAAACATAAAACACAAGTAGGTACAGTTTGTTTCACTTGAAATATCACAGCGTAGAATAGATTTTGTGATACTGCCTTCAAACCGAATACTCACTGTATGAAACTCAAGCTCAGAAATTTTCTCTGGTTGGCCTGACCCAAAATAATAAACTCTAATGATGTGATCAGTGCTCCCTGTTGCCAGAAACATTCCACCTGAAAGAGAAATACAAATAAATCACTAAAGTGAAGCCTTTCCCAAGCTCAGCTTAGCGAAAAGAAATCCTTTTGTTGTATTGTCCTGCAATAAGCCAGTGAAGTGAGTGGCAGAAAACAGAAGTGCACTGAATACTAAACATTAACTTTAGCTTCTAAGCAAATTACAGCCCTGGAATTTGGAGAGGACTATATCAGCAATTGAATGCAAGATTTTATCCAAACACTCCTTTTCACTATTCCAACATGAAGTTTGACGGGATCATTGCAAGAGAGCACAGGAGCTTTGATTGTGCTCCGTGCTGCAGTAACACACAAGGGAATGTTAGCGGCCCTTACCAGAGCTGAAAGAGGAACAAATCATCTGAACTCCAGGTCGAGGTCGTTCTGTGTATTTTATGGGTCGTGGGCTGCAGAAATAAAAAGGAAAGTAGAAATTGAAGCCTTAGTAACTTCGTAAATGTATTTATATAAAATTCAGACAACTTTTGGCAACACAATAATAAAAATAAAGAATTCAGCTAACTTATTCCATATTCATTTCCAGCCACAGTACATCATGTACTAAAACAGACCAGCATTCTAAAACAGACAATGACAGTTTCAGGGGCATCCAATTTGAAGGAATAAGTTGGCATACACTATATGTAAAACTGCAATAATCCTGATAAATGACCTGTCAAAACTTGGCATGCTATTATGCAGGGACAATCAGCACCTAAATGAAAGAAACAACTTTTTAAGTGTACACCAATGTGGGTCCTGTGATAGATATCTGTATATTCCAATAACCCTTTTTAATGGTATATTCCAGACATCAGTACTATTGTATAGTTTTTGGCATAATAATTAGATGCATTTTTTACATAATCACATGGGGTGTGATGGATTTATAAGAGAGAGGGGCACAGATGTTATCTCTGAGTAGGTTAACTATAACATTTCCAATCTGCAGAGATACCCTATCAGTTACTGCCTGATCTGCACATTAAACCTTGGAGCACTGCTTTAAACATGTTCAACACTTCAAACTCCACAAAGCAGAGAGATTCATGGTTGGTTAAGCGAATGGATGATTAAACGTCTGTGGAATTGCCACAAAAAAAAAAAACTGCAGTAAATTTAACAACCAATTTTATTTTAAAAATCAGTTAACTTTTCAAATTATATATTTATATTTTGCTATGAAGAAAAAAAGGGAAAAAAATTACAGGTGAAAATTCCACCCTTCAACCAAATTATTATTATTATGATATTTATAGAGCGCCGTCAAATTCCGCAGTGCTTTACAATGGGTGGACGAACAGACATGTAGTTGTAACCAGACAAGTTGGACACACAGGAACAGAGGGCTTGAGGGCCCTGCTCAATGAGCTTACATGCTAGAGGGAGTGGGGTAAAATGACACAAAAAGGTGAGGATAGTATTAGACTAGTGACAGTTGCAGAAGAGGAAATGCAAGTTTTAATGTACAGATTGCTGTTGCAGGTAGCAAGCAGATAACCTTTGATATGATCAATGGAAGTGAACCTTAGACAGTCTGTGTTGATGTTGCAAAAAAATGAAATGAAAAAAATTGCGCTTTGGCTTGTCTGTTTCAAATTCTCTAAATGCTGTCATTATAGTGACAATAACAGAATAGCAATAGTGGTATAAGAATTCCAATGATATGTCCCCACTCAGAAAATAGGCTGGTACTTATTTTTTAGAAATTAGACAATTTTTATGCTTATTTCTTATTTCATCTGCGGTGCATTTAGTAAGATTCGATTAGAAAAAAATTCTAATAGCCAGCATAGAAAAAGCTGTTGTATTAAACACAAATATCCAAAGGAGTGCCAAAGAAGGTCAGACTTGACAAAACACTCAGCATGCAAAAACAAATAAATAAAAGACATTGCAACACAGAAAGTGAGAAGCAAAAAAAATGCTCTTACTTCTCAGCAAACATTTCTGGGTCAGTATTATTACAAAACAAGCAAAGAACCTAAAGTAAATATGTAATTAAGTTCTTAAGACAGAGCAACAACAAATAATTGCCAATAACAGAAATGATTTTTTATAGTTGTATTTAAAGGTTTACCACAACTACAGTGACCACTTCAGTGATTTGAGGTGGTCATGGTATTTCAAGTCTGTATCTGCAACATTTTATTAAGAAACAATGCGCATACACATTAATGCAGAACTTTGCTGCTGGAGGTAGAACTACACTTAAGGCAAGGTCAATACCATGAAATACAAGTTCTGGGCTCCTATTTTCAGTACAGTGCACAGATTGCATTTGTAGCATGCTGGCAACGGACAATCCATGGTGGCACTGCACTCCCAACTATGCCACCAAAGTACTATCACGGGAGAAAAAGAGTGCAGGCAAAGTTGGCATCATTGTAGGATAGGTTTAGCCTTAATATTCTTTGTAGAGTATGCTAAAGCACAAGAATCCGCATATCCATTTAAAGATAAAAAGAAAGAAAAGGGTAATGCCTGTGGATATAAATAAATAAAAAATGAGACACTCCAAATGGAAGGGTAGACTTGTAAGGGAAGCAGCAAATTTTTGATAGCAGTTACTAGATCAAACAACTTGGGATCCAGTAGTAAATTTTTTCATAGCTAAATGCAGCTATGGTTTGTAGAGCGTACAGTGGTAGGATCTCCACTTCTGGGATATGCGTGGTATTTCAAAAACCTCCAATGGTATAGTAACAAGGGAGACCCCAATCGAAAAAATAAAAATTGCAACAAAATATAGTGTTCACTGTAGCTTTAAGACCAATATTGAATATTGTAATATAAGATATGTACACTCATGCTTAGCTGAACAGACTCCCTGCTCAATGTGTAGGGCACTGGTGGTATAATCCCCACCTTGGATTCTTTTAGTCCTCTTTCAGGCAAAAATTATCCCAGGAACCAACCTTTTCAATTGGGGTCTCCCTTGTTACCATACCATTGAAGGTTTTTGAAATAATCACATTGCATACATATGTAGACTATTTTAGTATTTTTAAAACACATTAGGTGGAATAATTACTAGAATAGACACAGTCTTTAAATACAGTTGTTATTGCCCCTTCCTCCAAAAAGCACCACACCAATATATATAGATATGATTCATCGCAGTCATTACTGCAGCAGAGTCACTGGGTGAGCTAATCTAATTGGAAGAGAGTCACATTTTTAATTGTCCGGATACCTTGCATTCTGGCTCCTGGAGCACGCCCTCATGGAGGTCAGCAGACAACATGTGACCTCTCTCATGGCTCTTCTGATTTCCACAGCGGTCTTTGACTCCGCCCCCTTAAATGATGCACCACATGCGTACAGTCGTCATAACACCGATGATATCACGCAACATTAGTTTCTGCAGTCCTGCACACTTCGGGGGCGTGGCTACCTACTTATTGAGCCATACTATAAATAGCGGTTATGGGTTTGGTTCTATTCCCGGTTTGTTCTATTTTGTTCCAAATAGAGCATTTTGTATTTAGTACCATCTTATCTGTTTTAATCTAGGCGATTACGGACTTTTCTCTTTTCTGTAAACTTTGACTCTGCTATTGACACTTGCTATTCTTTATTTCTGGTTTCCCAGAACCCGGGCACTTTATGTAACATTTCTATTTAAAGGGTACACTATATTTTTTTTTAAGAGTACACACTGTGTGTTGGGTCTCACTATACTGACAATTAATGTCTCTATTCATTGTCATGTTTTCAGCACAACACCAGACAAGACAAGATTACAGGTATATAAAGACTGACAGTCACTAAAATAAGATTTATAAAAGCAACACTAGAAATTCACATGCAGAACCCATATTCAGTATATAACAGTACAGCACAGATCTTGATGTAAATTATCTTGGTGTGCAAATTATAGAGTAAAATGTTAGTATTTACACCTGACTAATAAAGGAACAATGCATTAATGGAACTAATGGAACATTTCAGCTATGAAGAAAAGGTTAACAAATTTAAACCGCTTTAGTTTAGAAAAACGTTGCCTCAGAGGGGATTTTACAAATATATCCGGGGCCAATACAAACCATTGTGTGGAAATCTATTCACAAACTGGACTTTACATAGGACACACGGTCATGCATTTAGACTGGAAGAAAGAAGATTTTGTCTAAGGCATAGAAAAGTTTTTGTACAGTAAGAACAAGAAGGATGTGTAATTCTCTGCCAGAAGAAGTGGTTTTAACAGAGTCTGTTCAGATGTTCAAACTAGATGCATACTTGCAAAAACAGAATATTTAAGGATATCATTTTTCAATGTAGGGTGATGTAGCTTCTTGATGCAAGGATTAATTTGACTGCCATTCTGGCGTCAAGAAGGAATTTTTTTCCTAGTCTGTTGCAAAATTGGAAGTGCTTCAAACTGGGGGGGGTTTTTGCCTTCTTTTGGATCAACAGCAAAAAACAAATGTGAGGAAAGCTGAACTTGATGGACGCAAGTCTCTCTTCAGCTATGTAACTATAATCTGATTTTTATTTATTTTTTTAAATTTACAAAATGGAGCTTTGTGTACAATTTCAAGAAGCAGTTTTGGTCTAAATCCTCTGAAGGTATCAGCCTTCACCACAAGAGACGTGGGAAAACCAACATAACTGATGCCATCATATCATACTGAATGGAAGCGCGCACACTATACACACACACACTGAAACATCGACTTGAACGTTGTGTGAATTTGTAATTGCTCAATAAAGCAACAGATAATTTACTTTGAAAGACTGAGTGCGCTCTACTGGTAATTTTATACACACACACACATTATATATATATATATATATATATATATATATATATATATATATATATATACACACACATATATACATATATACATATACATATATACACACACACACACACACATATACACACACACACATATGAATTATTTATTTTTAAAGCGCTCATGTTGTACACACACCTCTGAGAAATCACAATTGCATGTTTCAATTGAATTTCTTCCTAAGACCTTCTTTTCGTGATAGTCTTTACATTCAGTGTTCATTATCACACAAATGCATCTAATGAGAGACATTAAACTGGCGAATTACAGGAATTGTGGGATTGATACAAACAGACAAAATGTTGCACTCGTGAGTCTGCAATAATATTTAATGCCCGGTGCTTCTGGTCAGCAATAATGTAGATTAGGACAGCACTCCAGGGACTTTGAAAAAATAAAATAACTTATTTACTCAATTAAAAAGTCAGCTTCATAAACAAAAGGTTTTGTTACTTGAGCAAATAAAAGTTCTATTTTTTTATTATATATTACATCCTTAGAGTGCTATCCGAACACTAAATTCTGTATAATACATATATATATATATATTTTTAAATCATTCAGTCCCTTTAAGTGAAGTTTTAGCATAAATTTAGAATTTACAGTAATATTCTAGCATGCACAGTAGAGAGTTGAACAACACACACGTCACAGCCACATGCTTGAATGTAAGATGTAAGAAACATAGCAGTAACATTGTAGTAACTTACTTTATTTTCAGGGTTCCAGCATCCCAAAGCCAGAAACAAATGGTACCATCAGCCCCAGTGGAGGATAGGTATCTCTTAGATCCATTACACAATGGAGAGAACTGAAAGAAACAAGCAGCACTAAGAATCAAATTGCTTCAAATCCAGATACCCAAGGGTTTAATTATTTTTAACGTTTAACTCAACCTCTTATTTGGATCCCACTGGACCTGTCTTTCAAACAAAGCTTTTATTTATTCCAAACTCATGGGGAAATTGACTGCATTAGGTTTTATCTTCTCACTTGTTAAAGAACAGATGGATTTTTTTCATCCCTTTTGAGAACAAGGTTGTCTATTATATCAACTCACCACCTTTCTCCCCCACTCCTCCCCCCGGAGTTTTATATTAATGAGTGGTTAAATTATACATATATGTACATATCTATTTTCTGTAGACAAAAGGAAAATAGACCTGCAGGGCTGCAACACTCCCAGCAGAGCCCTTGGGGGATGTTTTTCCTTGGCCAACTTAAAACAAAAAAGTGTAAACCTACCTTTGCAAAATAAAATTACAAATACAAATAATTCTACTAAAATAAGCAATATCTGGAAATGTATGTTTACTGGTAATTTAAATCTGTGTGGTCAAAGTCCATGATACTCCAAACATTGTTTGTTCTGCTATAGGAATGTATGTTTTTATTTGTGCACAACTTGGTCTGCCCTTAGGTAGTGTTTTTTTCCCTGCTTCTTGTGCCACTAGGTATCGCTCCCCCGATGCCAACTATCCTCATTCATGGAGGTATTCATCCTATAATCCAAACTATAGCAAATGCCTCGTAACTCCCATTCTTGCCAAAGTAGTCAGATTCTCACCTGCCACGGCAAACCTGGTCAGTGTCATTGAGATGCCAACAACCCGCCACAATGTTAAGTGGCCAACTTCCACTACAGCCCAATTGATACGTAGAGTCTCCTATCATTTCTTGGGATCTGGCAGGTCCCCACCAGTCATTAAAGGGTTAGTCCATCCACCATGAACACTTCTGCTTTTTGAAGTGGTCATAGTTGGTAGGAGTTTGAATGTTCGGTGTTTCTGCTTGAAACAATGCATATTTAGCCTTGTCTGATGAAGCTTGTTTTCTTTTAGATCAGGTGGATGGGCAGGTGTGTGTGCATCATTTATCTGGGGAAGAAATAGTATGTACTATGGGAAGAAGGCAGGCTGACACAAGCAATGTTATGCTCCATTCTGCTCGGAAACCTTGGTTCTTGACCTTCATGTGGAAGTTACTTTGACACATACCACCTACCTGGAGATTATTGCAAATCATGTACACCTCTTTATGTCTTTATGACAATGGTGTTTCCTAATGGCAGGGGATTCTTTCAGCAGTATAATGCACCCCGTCACACAGCAAGAATTGTTCAGGAATGGTTTAAGGGACATGACAAAGTTCAAGATGTTGCATTAACCACCAAATTTCCCAGGTCTCAATCCGATCCATGGAATCTCCACCGCACAACTTGAAGGACTTAAATCATCTGCTTCTAATGTCTTGTGCCAGATACCACAGGACACGTTCAGAGATCTTGTGGAGTCCATGCCTCAACCATAGACACAATGGCACTCACTCTTAAAATGTGACTTGCTTAACTTCCAACAACTGAATGCATTCAAGGTTAAAGCAGAAAATAATTCAATTCAAAATAGAGACACGGGTGCTTACAAGTCTTTAACAAAAAGCTGTATTAGCATGTATTAATCCATATACATCAGCAGGTGTGTCAAAGTTTCAGACCTGACCTTGGTCAGGTCTTGAGAAAGGATCGAAATGAGCCCAAAACATTGACACATCTGTTGATGTATAAGGATAATACAGCATTTGCACAGACAAAATAAAATACAAAATAAAAATATTATCACCGAGTATTTAATCACACTATTCAAAAAGAATACTAGCAGCTTTGGGTTTTATAGATTTCTGCATATGAAAACTTCCTATATTATATATAGCTAGTTAACACACGTATCGATCACTCCCACCTACCCCCCAATGCTGTGAGATTTTATACCTGTAGTGAAGTAATGGACCCACTATGTCCTTGCAGTATGGCTAGTGGTGCACATGTCCTCAAGCACCAGATTCTAATCATCTTGTCACAGCTTCCAGCAGCAATCATCGTATTTTCATAATTCACAGCCATGTCAGAGATTTCAGCAGCATGCCCTCTTAATGTTGCAAGAAGGCGACCATCATCAGTAGCCCATATTTTTACAAGACAATCATCAGAACCCTATGGAAAAAAAACATGCTCTCCTTAATCATTGGGATAATAAAAATGTAAAGACTTTTGACCTGGTTCACAATAACCAATTACAATATCAAAGAGCAAATTGCAATACTGATATAAATAATAATATTCTAAAAAAGGTAAAGAAATGTCAACTCAAAAGATAATTAAGGTTATTTTCAAAATACAAATCTGACAAGTCTTCTGAAAAAGACCACTTTCCTGTCAAACAATGTTTATAGATAAAGCTGGTTTTCACATCTATTGTAAAATAAAAAAAAATAAAAAAAAAATTCAGTAAGGCAAGAAACAACACAATGTATTTTGGCTGCATAGGTGCTAGAGTGTCTGAAGAGTACCTTTCTGCTACTAGCATATAATACAGAGAAACTGTGATATTAAAGGAACACACCAATGCCCAAACTGGCACACGCACACAAAAAAACTAAAATCACTGTTTAGTAGATACAACACCAATTACTACATGCATAAATTGTTCATGTATGTATTCATTGAGGGTATATCTTAAAAGATCATGCAATGGCTGCAGATTCCCCTGGAATAGATTTTCAGTTTCTTCACAGGGAAACAATCAGAGATTTCTCGTTGGTGCGCAAGTCTCGTCTGAGGTCTGTGTCAGGGAGGCATGCCTGCCACTTCTGATCGCTCAGGGAAGCTACCGGAAGGAGGCTGTAAACCTCCCTGGTTGCTTGACAGCCCAGGGAGAGGCAGAAGGGTTCCATAATTCATTTAAAAGAGTGCTGATTTCTCATAGGGTAAACTAGGATACTCAGAAAGTGAATTGTTTTTGGAGTGTGGTGTGGTCTTTTAAAGTGGAACTTCCATGATGTCATAAGTACCCCCCACACCCCCCATACACCATATTTTGAACAGCTCTTTAAACTTCCAATACAGTCGTTCTAGAGCCAGAGGTTCCGCAGCAGAAACTTCAGTTCTCTCTCCAGAGTTGATACTATATTAGAAGGAAAAGCTGTCTAACCATCTTGCATACATAACATGAAGATGGATAACCAAACAAAATACGGTGTAATTTATTGATAATGCAAGTAAAATATTTTTAATGGCTTAGAAACTAAATCTATAAATTTCTGCAGATCAATTATTGTACTCTATTTTATTGTATATTCTCAAGAGAACGTTCAGAGGTACGAAATATGTAGAGGTCACACCAGATAGCATGACCTACGAAAAATCTAATTCGATTCATACTAAAATACTCAAAGTATAAGCGCAAAAAAAAAAAGAAAAGAAAAAGAAAAGAAAAGTCAAAATCAGTGAATATGTTTTTCTGTGTTTTTTTTTTTTTTTTTAAATTAGCGATGATGTTTTGGTATTCTTATTTTCTTCCATATAATAATGGTAGAGGGAAAAAAGAGACAGTTGCTTACTGTGAATATCCTTCTACCAGTCCGATCAAATGTTACACAGTACACTGAAGAAAGGTGTCCTAAAATCCTCTTGTGCATTTTCATGTGTTGGTAAACTGCTGTTGGAACAAGGTTTTGACACTTGTATTTTCCATTCAGCTTTCTTGCAAAAATTGTGTTTGCTAGAAAAAGATACAAACATATAAATTAATAAAATGCATTTTAATACCTGAACACAAACAAAATTTAGCTGAATAGACCTGAACAAATGAAGCTGAAGTAGCAAGTAGGAAATACTTTAACACTTCTGCACCCCTATTTTTGATGAATTAATAAAAAAATGTAAAAATAAAAAAAAAAATTTCAAAAATGAGCATAAGCACCAAGGAGGTGGTTCTATGCCCCCTCCATTTCTTGTGGTCATGCACGATGGTATGAAAGTAAATAAAAGTAAGCAGGTAGCCATGCCAGTGCCTACCTGCTGCTTCTTCCATGTCCCACTGCAGAACAATCTCCATTATAAATGAGATAGTACAACATATGCTTGTGGTCTACATTTTCCTTAATTCCATTTGGACATCATTGAAAATGCCATCTTTATAGAATGGCTAACTATAGCTTTACATTTATGACCCAGTTCCACCTTTAAACTTACATACCAGTCTCTTCCTACCCAGTTCCCATCTGGGTGTTGTGGCATTTAAGACCCAAGACAGTTGAGGACCCTTTGATATTGAATCTGAATTTAGACCAACAACCGTTGCATTGGTGAATGGTATAAGAGGGTGCCAGTCTGTGGCCATAGTCAATTTTTGCCAGTAGAGATTGGCACTATGCTAGGTGACTGCTCAATCACGGACACAACATTCAGTTTTGTGCCTTAATGTTTTGCCAATACTGGTGCCAATTATAAATCTTTGCAAAAACATTTGGGTTATTTAATAGCTGGCATAAATCTCAGTTGCAAATTTGACAAACAAATTTGCTTTGGTTAATTGCCAAATCAGATTAAAAAAAAAATAATAATGATATATATATATATATATATATATATATACACACACATACATACATACACAGACACACTTTCAATTTTTTTATTTCATTTATCACAGATTCTGCACTAATTTGGGAAGAATAAACTTGACTTAAATAAGAAGTTCTTCATCAAACATTCTCTAGCTTAACAAATATAAACTATACATAGAAGAGCCTAACAAAATGAAACTATTGTGCAAGAGATGCATGTAATTATTTCCAATATTCACACTTTTTCCTTGCTATGCAACTTAAATGAATGCTCAGAGCTGCAGAAAATAAGATCAAAAGGACAGACAGAGCTTAGCTCAGAATAATTCCTTGCTGGGAAATGGCGTCGGAACAAAAGTAATACTATGTTAATTAAATGTACAATGAGTCATTGAATAGGGTAGACTTTTCCCCTCAAATCTTGAATCATTTACAGGCATTTGCCACTACACAGTTAACAATTTACACAGCTCAGAGATTCTATGATCAGTTCTGTATTTTTTTTTCACATGTCCCTAATGACATAAATCATTAAGCATTGGTATCAGTTTAAGAAATTGTGACAAATATACCAGAATACATTCCCCGTGACATTTACAACAATCAGGAGCAAAATAATTGCATAAAAGGTTTTAGTTACAAGACAGTCTCACAAGATTTAGTGTTAGAGCCTTACAATAAAGTGGCTCCTGGACCTGTTTAGATTTCACATGTAAAACGTATGAAATCAATTATGTATTTAATTGCTGAAAAAAGCATTGACTTTAATAGAAGAGTTAAAATTAAAAAGTTACATTATAGTTAGATAAAATGTGGCAACCACCATGGAAACCAGTGGAACCAGCAGGCACATTCCATTGCGGACTACTCCCCTTTTACACTTTTACACCATGTTTTAGCATAACACTTTGACCAAGAGAGAAGAAATCTGATGCTGGTGACATTTATCAGAGTAAGAAACATTGAGGTATGAAATGTGTATATTTTAGTGTCATTGTGGGTTCACCTAGTTTGCCATGCCATTATTGTGTTTATTATGTTTGGATTTTGTAATAAACTGCATCATGTATACAATGGTGCTCATATTTCATTTTATATTTCATCTCACCTATGCTTGGAGGACTTCCAAAATTTATGGGTTCCTCTGGAGGTCGTCCACAATGTAAAGCTGCAAGAGCCGAACCCTTCCATACCACATTTTTACAGCCTACAAAAAAGAAAGTGTGAAATTGATTAAGCCACAGTCAAACAGGATATGGAGAACCACCATGTAAGAGTAACTATTATTGGGTCAACTAAATACAACTCCAAAACATATACAGTGCCGGCTTTCAATTCCATGATTGGACATAAAAGGATCTACATTTGTAAGCATGCAAAATATTAGATAATCTGTAAAAACACAAACCATAGTTGTAGCGGACCCCAGGTAACCCGACAGATTACCTTAGCCATTGCCTTCCTTCAGCCGTTCAGGAACAACTTTAGAATATAAAGAGACCCATTTCCTCCCCCAGTAACTGGATGACACACAGCTCTAGAGGTACAACACTGACAATGCTTTTTTGGTACAGGCTTAATTTATACACAGAGGCCCGCAGGGGGTCTCCATACTATCCAGTACAAATTCCTCAGTCCCAGGTTGGAGGGAGATGGTTTATACATAACCATGTCCTGCTCTTGGAAGTACCAACAGCACAACATTTATAGACAATAGGACACATTACATACATGGGGGGAAACTTAAGGGCTCTGCGCCACCGGGAAGGAAAAGGGGTACACACTTAAAACATATCTCTTGATATCCCCGGTCCCAACTAGGATCCCTGCAAATAGCGGGGCTATCGGATGTACAGATTGATAAAGACCTCTGGGCTCGAGGCTCTGTACATCTGCAAAATTAGTTCCACGGATTGCTTGGTTTAGGCGGCCGGTCAATTCAAATTTCGCGCCTATACCAATGACCAATCAGGGGAAAAGCCCGAAAACAATTCGAGACAATCGGCGCTCATGGAGGAAGTGTTTCTCTGCCCAATCAGTAGAAAGAGCGCGAAACCCGTTAGCACCAATCAGTGCTCGGGAAGGAGAGGTGTTTCATCGCCCAATCGGGAGAGAGGGCGCAAAACCCAGTTTAAATGGGTGCTCCTTCTCCTATTGGTCGGCAAGGACTTCCAGGTGGCCAGAGGGATTCAACAGCTGTGAACCGACTCACAGCTCCAGGGGTCCCACTGGGGTACGGGTATCTCTCCGGTGGATACCTCCACTTAGGTAGCACCGGAGAGAGCACTCTGGGCAGCTACGAGTCTGGCCTCGCAGCTCATGGGTAGGGAGAAGCAGTGATTATGGTTCTTTTAGGAGCAGGTAGGGTGATCCTGGACATGAGGACCTGAAACCGTGCAGGCATGTCAGTTCGGGATACGAATGTTCCCCCTGGCTGGCGTTCAGCTATACGAACTGGCAGCCACCCAGGGAAGCACTCCATAGCGATTTTTCTTGTGGTTTTGGAACGCTCTAAATGGGTGGTCCCTGTTCGGGAGCCGAACGACACACGAAATGGATAGAAATACATGGGGGAAACACAGAGAAAACACACAATACAAGCGGTGGGCATGGTACTCAGTGACGGCGGTCCGTCACAATAGTTATACTACATTTTTACCTCCATCAGCTTCTTGTACAAGTTGTACCTATTTAGGATATTATTTGGTTTATTAAATGCACTATTCAACCCACTGTCTGCATAATTTATTAAAAATGTGACGGGTAGTGAAGGTCACTTTGGTGTTTGTTAACCACACTGATTGTGGGCACATTCATGATGAGTGCTAAGATTGATTTGTGACAATCGCACAAAAAATAAAATTAAAATTAAATATCGTGGCACTCAAATATGCAAAACAAATCCTGACGCTGACTACAAAGAGATCTAAACAGTTTTTAAAAGCTTGCAAAGAACCGGATTGGTTTCAGAGTGAATCGAACAGATTTATGTTATGTAGCCCTAATACAAACGAGTCTCACTCACAGAAATAAACAGTGAAACTTCGTACTTATAACAGCTCTATCCCCTCTTCCCACCAGTGTCCAAGAGTGTCTCCAATTAAAAAAAAAAAAAAATTAAGCTTGGGTCAATGAGTTATACAGTGGCCACGTGGGCTCCAAGTCTCCTCCCTTATTCATGGAGAAAAAGACTTGGTGTTTAAATGCAAATCAATAATTCCTTCCCAATACCTCCAGCCTCCTTAAATAAATAAAAATTAACCCTTTCAAGCTAATCAACATAGTTAAAACTTCTCCTTACTTCCTCCTACTCAGTGTAAATTCAGGTACTGGCACAATATCCCCAGAAAATACACAAGTCATGGTTATAGGCAAAAATATTCTTTATTAAATATGGAGGAAAATCTGTACTTATTCTAATAGTAGGGAATAGAAGGAGCTTAAATGCATATTAGGGGCAGTCCAGACAATGGAGATAAACAAGCAACCAATTAGGTGGGTCAGTTCTTCATTCACTTAAGGTACAAAATGTAGCAGATTTTGTCAGAACATAAACAGCAAATTTCAACCTCCAATTAGGTGAAGATTGATAAAGACCTCATTGGTGTTTGTGGTTTAGGTTCTAACTTTCCAAATACATCTGCTACATTTTGTACCCTGAGTACCTGGATCACATTGCTTTTTACATTTATGTATGGGGTTTGCCAGCCTCAGGTCCAGCTGTGCACCTGGTTTAATTTACTAGATGAGTGCAGATTCCTCCCTTCCTGGTTACAACTTAGTTCTTCAATTAACGACTGCATTCAGCACCTTACAAGCAGTCGGAAGATATCATGCCCAAAACTGGAGTTGATAACTTTCTGAGGACTTTGGCAAAAAGTATGAAGAATAATCTCCTGATTAAAACTTAATGGTAGAATAAACTTTATGATGAAAAGATGGATGGAGTCTAAACACTTTAAAAAAAAAAAAAGAATGATAGGGAGGGTGAACAAGTTCCGCTTTGTTCAAATAATCCACAGTTGTGGAATTGTCTAATCTGATCATGTTTGTTTAGAAGACTTTTCGAATGATCTTTACAACCCGGAGGTCTCCTGTGGTGTGTTCCCATAAATTGTAGAAGTATAGCAGTCTTCCTCCTACTGGTCTGACATCAGAACTTGCTCTCTTTAGTTTTAGGAGGGCACTTGGGTTTGTTGTTAGCGCTTGATTAATAGTACGGTCTGTTATAATTTCCTATTCCATCTCTCTTTTTTTCCTGTCTTAAGGTAGTCTTTTAAGGTAGACATTTGTCTTAAGGTAGACATTTGTTTCAGGAGGTCATCGAACTGAGACCCAAAAAGGCATTCCTGCTCAAAGGAGAGCTTCCACAATGATTGCAGAATCTGCTATCCAATTGTATAACCATATTGGCCTTCTGGCAGCGGCAAAAAGGCACATGGTTTTGGCTGCAACTTTAGGGCTTCATAGTGGAGACAAAAAAATTAAAATAAAATAATAATAATAGCAGAAGTTGTAATGGATCTTCTTTATGATCACCCATACAAGTCTTTGCCAAAGCATCAAGCCACACATGTTGAGCTCAGGCAACTAAGACTTAGATGCCTGTAATTTTTTTTTTTTTTTTTAGAACAACCACCTTGAGATAGTCTATCTTTAACTTATTCTCATGCAAGTTTACATATAGTTTTAAAATGCTTAGTGATGAACACTTTCTTGGCCAGATTTTGTCACTCAAGACACGGACGTTTTGAAATTGAAATGGAAAGGAAAGGCTTTCAGCTTTTCGTGTCCGTGTGCTTCATTCTGATCATCCAAAAGAGAAGAAACATCCCTTACAAGTTTATGTAGATTGTCTTCCTGAAAAGAGCATTCTTCTTCAGAAGAACCTACAGAATCTAGCCACCTATGATCAAATTTAAAAAAAATTGGCTCAAAACAGCAGATCAGATTGCACATATGTTAGCTCTCCGCTTTCACTTGGTGGACACAACAAGTTAAACCATTCGAGCAGAACGTCAGCAAGCCCTCTTGCCCCTTTCCGGTTCACAGCACAGACTTATGCAGAAATGATAAAAGCAGGCACTAGGTATGCATTCCATGGCTACATCGAGTAAAGAGAGAGGCCCAAGAAAGGAGTCCTGCTTCCTACGATGAAAAGAGCCCCCACAAGCTATAGCTGTTTCATCATGTCAGGAACTAAAACTAACGTGCAGAGCCTCCCTGCACCATAACAATTTCATTCTAATTAAGTAGTTATAGTGCCCACAGGTTCCCTATAGTGTCCCTTTAAGGTGTATAGAATTGTGACCTTTTGATGATGGGGAATTAAGACACGTGCTTTCAAAAGAAAACAACAGTGATCTAGCATGTTATTATATGCATTTTTTTACATACAAAATTAACACAAAATATAAACTACATTTGAATCTGTGGTAACAATAACCTCTTTCCTGTGGTCCTAGACTATAGCCAAACATTTATACACTTTGGAGAAAATATAAAAACAGGATATTTGATGCAATTAGACAGGTTTTTGGAACAGGGCTTTCACAATCATAATAAATATGTACAATGTACACACACATTTAAATTTACGCAACTAAAATGTAGACGATTTCTAAACAAATGTGTTGTAGACACATTTCTGAGAATATTATTGCTCTGGATCACAGTTATACACCTGACATACCAATCATACGGAGCTCCTAGAAAAGAGGGAAACAAGGATTTGGGCCTGAAATAGGGGCTGCCCCGCTTAAATAGAAACACTTGGGAGGTACATATCTAGTGCAACATTTGGATATAGAAGCATATATCGTCAAACCAAATAGCACGTTTAATGCCACAGATATAATTTAGCAGAATAAAGATTCTCATACTTTTACTTGTACGCAGTAGAGACTGGCGGCCAGCTCCCAGAAGAGTCAGTACTCCAGGGACACTTTGAGGAAGCTCTTTTTCGAGAAGAGGTCCTACTCTTTGACATATTTGCAATAAATGGTCTGGTGCCAAGTGTCGGTAATATTTTACCTGTGAAAGGCAGAAAAAAAAAAAAGAAAAGAAAAAAAAGTTTATTGAATATACATATTTTTCATCTCAATGGTCATATTTCTCCATCCATGATATATACAATCTGTTTGACAAGAAAATGGTTTAAATTTGCTGTGCATTTCAATTGCTTCATGTTGCTAAATTAGCAGATTACAGGCCAGATATTTTCCTGAGACTTTTTTTTTTATATTCCTTAAGGCCAACTTAAACCTGGCTTATCACAGTCAAACTTTTGTTCTCATCTCATTTAATTTGTTACTAAAGAAAGCACATCCATCTTAAGGATAAATATCCATCAGAGATCTAGATACCACCTGTATGTAGAAGTGGATATGAATGTTTTTACCTACACCTTTTTGCTACTTCACCGATTAGAATAGAATGGCTGCAAGTGATTTAACCAAGCTCCAAGTAGACAGAGCATCATTGCATACAGCAAGTAGAACTTCAAAATGGATAACAGATTAAAATGTATAGCTAAAACTGTATACTTCAATGGGTAACTCTGGAAAAATTATTTTTTTTAGGTTGGAATAACTCCTGCCTGCCGATCCCTCTCCCCACACCTGCCAAAATCTAAAAGAAAACTTTGTTAGGTTACTCCACCTACAAAAGGCATGGCAGTAGGAGAACATGGGGTGGCTGGAGACCTACAACCATTGAAGGTCAGTCACCAGCATGCTGTGTGTGCTGATGATAGAGAGATTATATGCACAGAATTCAAACTAATAACCCATAACTCTCATTCTGCACATATATACTCAAAGTAGAAGGACAATTTGAAATCACTGAAGTGGTCATAGAAAATTCTTCAACCAGGTAGATACTTTTCCTACCCTGATATTAGCACTTAAAATCTGAAATAACAAAAAGAAAATTCCTTTATGTGGTGTGCTAGAGAGACCTCTAATTTTGGATAACCCATAAAAAGACTTGCAATACCAATACAAGTCCAATAAACCAGAAGGCATTTCAGACAAAAGAAGGTCCCTCACGAATATATATAACACCAAAAAACAAATAAATGCTTTCCTAAATAGATTTGAAGATGTTGGACATCCTCATGCAAAGCGTGAAGTCATCCAGCGTTGTTTCAGAGAGTTTAAGGAACACTAAGTTGCATTCTAACACTATAATGTCCCTTTTCATCCATGTAAAGGGTTAGACAAAATAATTTAACCCCTTAAGGACCAAACTTCTAGAATAATGGGAATCGTGACGTGTCAGACATGTCACGTGTCCTTAAGGGGTTAAACACTTACCTGTCAGCGGAGATATTCCTTGGCGCTGTGTTGGGCTCCTCCTCCAACTTCACTTCAGGGTTAAGGGAATAGTGACATTGCACCCAGACCACTTCAATAAGATGAAGAGGTCTAGGTGTCTATAGTATCCATTTAAATGAAGGAATTTCACACATTCTCAAAGTTTCTGGATTAAGATTATGGTCAGGAAGCTTTCTTTCAATCATGTGCACAGGAATTGAAACCTTAGCCATTAAGACATACTGTATTATAATCATTAATATGTACAAAGCAGTCAAAAATTTATTTGTTTTTCTTTTCTTAAATAAATGTTGCCACAGCATTACTGCAAAAAAGGCATGACTCACATCTCAAGGAAGAAATAAGTCTATGCTTTCACTTTCAGTCTCCCAGTGTTTTGCAGTCACCCTGGATGATGTAATCCAATTCTTCACTTGCAGGCAGACCTGGTGGCGCACCTACAATACAAAGCCCTCACACACCTTCGCCTTCATATACAATACAGTGTCCGCTCACTCCTTGCAGCCCCCCTCCCTTAAATTAGGGTTGGCTGCTCTCATTGCAGCCCCCCTCCCCTTTACTTACATTAGTGTTGGCTCACTCCCCTTACATTACAGTGCCAGCTATCTCTCAGTGCAACATTCCTTGCCCTCTCCCCTCCACATACATTGACAATTTGAGCTCTCCATCTTTCCTTAGACTCCTTCCTTACACTCAATGCAGAAGATATTTGATTGGATCAGGAGACCCCTTAAGGATTACTCGTGGTGACGACAGAAGGTGTGGAACTGATCAGGGAAGTCTTGGCCATGCACTGCATTATTATTATGTACATAGTGCCAACAAATTCCACTTTGCTTTACAATGGGTGGACGAACAGAATTGGAATTGTAACCAGAGTTGGACATACAGGAACAGAGGGGTTGAAGGCCCTGCTCAATGAGCTTACATGCTAGAGGGAGTGGGGTATAGTCACACAAAATGTAAGGATAGTATAAGAGAAGTAGATAAGTACCTCTTTACATTACCCCTTTTCCATTTTCTTAAATAAAAACTTAGAGAAGTAGGAGTAAGTTTTTATTTAGGAAAGGGGGGCCGGGGGGTGTATGTTTGAAGTAACCCTTTCAGCATGCATTTAAGGGACGCATCTAACCAAAAAACTGGTAATTGTTCACTCATATGTAGTTAAATCATAAACTTACCCACATCAAGGGGATAAAGGGGCTTTGCAATGAGCCACAAATCTCAGCATATTTAGCAATACCCTGCTCACATCTTCAGCAGTAGAAATGTTTACAGCAGGTTACAACATACCAATGGACTGAAATGTAAAAGTAAAATAAAGACTTATCTTTTCTGCAACCTGCTATTCAATCATGCTGCTAAGAGTGAGAAGGCAGGAATTGAAACATTTAGAAAAATTATTTTCTAAAACTATAAGCCTAGTTAAAATAAATTGAAAAAATAGGTAGTGTTGCTATGAGTGTATACATGTAAAGGAACAGAGTATTAATACACAGAAAATAAGGAAAATGAAAATAAAATATGAAAAAGTAGGTCCTTGGAATTAGTGACACTACAATGTTCCTTAAAATTTGATTAAAAATTAAATTTAAAAAACTTTTAACATACAGAATGCAGCCCTATCCTACCCCACATATTTCTACGCATACACACTTGTGAAAGAAATTTGACTAGCATGCATAGTTTGTGAATTTACCACTCAAAAAAAATAATTTAAAAAAAAATAAACATGTTCGGTAAATGGCAGGTTTGTGTAGTAATTATTAATTTTCTAAAAACTGAAAAAGAACAGAATATCTGTACCAGTTATCAGTAATCAGATTGAAACGTAACCAATAATCAGTATTGGGTCTTAAATTTTTTTTATTTATTTTTTTTAATACATATCAGTCGATCCCAAGAGTGAATGACACACTCTTCAACGGTCTAAAAGTCAACATAATAACTCTCTCACAAGATCATAGAGAAGTAGAGACTTCTAGAGCCTAAACCTACAATTCCAGCACGTCAATGCAATTACCAGATATGCTTTAGAAATAATAAAATATCCGTAAGCCAGCAGCTTGATAAACTAATGATAAACTATTTACACGACTAAATACAATGTAAAAGGGATATATCGTGCCAAAAGTGAACCATGTCCCCAACGTAAGAAGTAATGAGGTTAATTTAATACCAGTCAAATGTTGCAATAACAGAACACTACCTGCTTGCCTGAGTCATCTGGGGAATCAGGCCATGTATTTGCAAATTCCGATTCTATTGTACAGCTGAATGAAATTTCAGAGAATGAACTTAAGGAAATGGTTACATTTTTGTAGTAAAAACACTCAAAAATGTCACGTTGTACACTACAAGCTAAGGCTAAAATACACTTGTCACTACAAAACCACCTACTGGTTGGACTCTGGCAGGGATGTGTGTGCATGCTTAGTGTTGCAGGATACCTAGTGCAGTTTCCAGAGGACTAATTGCAGTCATTATTGCTGTGGCAATGACTTAGAAGCGAAGGATGACAAAATAAAAATACATTGTAAAAAATTAAATTAAAAAATCACAAATTTTAAGTTATTACATTTTGGATAATTTCCCTAGGATGCAAAATAGGTAAAATTATAACTGCACAGTACAAGATTTAAATGTTTATCACAGTAACGTTAGGGAATCTACACATTAAAACTTTACTGCGATTACGGCACATCTTTTTTAAACATGTGAAATAAAGAGAGAAAAACCTCCTTGTCATATCTCTCATATAAAATATACCTGGTAAGTATGAAGGATATTTGTGCAGCATATTTATCACTCAAAGCCATGGTATCCAAGTAGAGTGTCCACTGGTAGATTGCTATAGAGCTTTACAACAGTATAAATGATGGGAGGCTTCATATTTTGCTATATTGCTCTTTACTGAACTCCATAGCAGCAAAGATTAAGCCAGCAACAGTTTAAAAAACAACAAACAAAAAAGCAGATGTAACAGGGACTGCACCCTAAAGGACCTGCTCTCTTTCCTGCTCCAGTCTAACATACACAGGTCAGAGTTTCTTTCATGTACAATTTTTTGTTTATTTTTTCTCTTTATGCTTGTTTTCACTGTCAGTTTATAATTTTACTATGTTCTTTATTATCTTGTTGCTATTTATTGTTTTTCCAGACATTGCAATTATTAGCTCAATCAACATGTGAACTAATTCACATATATCAATAAAAGCACCTCATTAAAGAAAGTTTTTAAGTCATCACCCCTCACAGGTATTTTTTGAAAAACTAGACGGCAGAGGGGCCATGCCACCAGCCGATTTTGGCCCTAAGGCCTTAGAAGTATCTAATCTGAAGATTTCTGTCTATAGTTTTCCTCCAGACTCAGTTTTTCATCACAATGAATAGCTAAAAGGTGACAGGGTACTTGTGGACATGGCAGAGCATAATCTTTACCAAGTAAGTTTGCCAGTTCTCAGGGGAGAGAGGTTAATATTTTCCAGAACTTAAAATATTTATTTCGATGCTTGGATACTACAGACAATTCAAAGGTTTCATCACTAGAGTTTTTTCCGCTCGTCTGATCCAGACATCTGGCCCACAATGTCACCTCATCAATGCAGAAATAAACAACTATACCATTGTGGCCATCCAGGGGTCACCAATCTAGGACTGCTTCTTCTGCTGCATCTTCTTAGTTAAGAAAAAAGGGAAGATCTTCATTCAGTCAACAATCTAGGTCTTCTGCGTGTTTTTGTAGTATACACCACATCAAGATGGAAGACATGCATCTACTAAGATGTTCTACAACCAGGGGATTGATTCATGCGTCTAGTACTGAAAGAAAGACTTATCTGTCAGGTTCTAGTAGGCTCCCCTTTGGACTCAGCTTGGCTCTTCAAGCTGGTGACAACCCAAATACAATCTCAAGGTGTTCGCCACCGTCTTCACAATATCTTTTCTTTGTCAAGGACTCTTTGCTGACCATTTTCTCAAACTGTGTGGTTCGTCTGGAACCAAAACAAATCTGCCCTGTCTCCTAACATGGTTGATTCTTGGCTCAAAGATCAATGCAGTCATGAGCAAATTTAAACTAATCACAACAAAGATTTCCATGATTTGGAAGTAAATCTGTTGTGCTCTTTGACAGAATTCTGTGTTCCTAACATTATAGTGCCCTCTTTTATTTATTTACTTTGATTGTTTCATTTAAAGTCTTGCAGCACACTCCCCTGCTTGCAGCATTATCCAGGTCAAATACAGCATTAATTCTATAACCTTATACCATGTTTTTTCTCCTTTAGTAGTTTTTCCACATATGATCATGTACTTTCTTCAGTCAGGTTTCATTGCTTTGAATTAATGGATTATATTTTTGTTTTAAAATACATTTTATGAGTGTAAGCAACTGGTAAGTCATTTTTGTTGTACACAGTTTAAAACATTTAAAGGGACACTATAGTCACCTGAACAACTTTAGCTTAATGAAGCAGTTTTGGTGTATAGAACATGCCCCTGCAGCCTCAATGCTCAATCCTCTGCCATTTAGGAGTTAAATCCCTTTGTTTATGAACCCTAGTCACACCTCCCTGCATGTGACTTGCACAGTCTTCCATAAACACTTCCTGTAAAGAGAGCCCTATTTAGGCTTTCTTTATTGCAAGTTCTGTTTAAGATTTTTTTTATCCCCTGCTATGTTAATAGCTTGCTAGACCCTGCAGGAGCCTCCTGTATGTGATTAAAGTTCAATTTAGAGATTGAGATACAATTATTTAAGGTAAATTACATCTGTTTGAAAGTGAAACCATTTTTTTTTCATGCAGGCTCTGTCAATCATAGCCAGAAACAAAATGATTTAACGCCTAAATAACAGTGAATTGAGCAGTGAAAATGCAGGGGAATGATCTATACACTAAAACGGCTTTATTTAGCTAAAGTAATTTAGGTGACTATAGTGTTCCTTTGATAACTACACTAAAGCTACCAGTACCTGAAGCATTATAAATGGAGTATTAATTGACATTTGAATGTATCGCTTTACTGCAACAAATAAGAAAACTGATACGAGCTTGTGAAAAATCATCATGCATGGCAGGACATCCTCTTTCAAATAAAGACTTTCTAAACCAGTAACATTCTTTAAATAATCCCTCAAGACTGTTCACAGTCTATCACAGTGAATTAAATGAATTGTGTTCAACAGTCACACAACAGACCTCTGGATCATGTGGGGTACAGAAGCCCAAGGACATTTTAAATAGGAACAGTCACATTTTCACTCATGATATAAATTAAATCTAAATTCCATAATTCTATCTTGCAGTGAATTGGGGCCACTGCAAGGTTTTTAAAAAAAAAAAAAAAAATAAACAACTGTGTTCATCTATATTTAATAAATACAACTCTTGAACAGGCACCAATACTTCTGTAATTATTTTAACCAAAAACGTTGCACTATATTCCTTGTTATTTTAAATTACAAATTATGTAAATTAGTTAACCCTTGAAGTGGCATATGCACACGACACACACACCTATGGTACTGCTGGACAAAATTCCAAGCGCTGATCTCCTTACATAATTTCTCCCTGTGAGACAGTGTGCACCCAAGGCATTATGGAACAACTTCCTCCACAAAGAGTAACAAGTATTGGTTAAAAACACACACACAAAACCTTTCAGTGTGCCCCTCACAGCACTGGAGAAATTACCTATCCGCAGCACCACATGGAGGCTACTCTGTCTCCTGACTTATGCTAGAAAAACTGAATTGAAGGCACACACACAAAAACAAAAGTTTGCAACATTAAAAGAACACTCACGGGGAGAGTGGAGGATAATCAACATCACCCCCTTAATGACATTATAGGGCGAAAGAATAAAAAGCCTCACCACACAGAGCCCTAGATTGCCTGATGACAGGCTCTCCTTTGAGAGGCCCACGGTGCGGGTACCTCCCAAAATGGCACCCAAGGAGAGAGAGGAGTCACAGGGAGACAAGGAGATGGTGGTCTATCAAGAGAGACTCTGACGATGACTCTTCTCCCTCTACAAAGGGTGATATCAAAAAGCTGTTGCTGGATACGAGGTCTGAAAGGCCAACCTCATGTACACCCAGAAAGAACTGAATATCATTCACCAGAAAATCACAGCAGTGGAAATCAGAGAGCGTGCAAGGGACTAGCAGATACAAGGCACCAAGGACCAGGTGGACGGATTGTCCCGACAGGTCCAAAGGTTACATCGAACAGTGACTTCATTGGAAACTCACAACAGATGTAGAAACATCTGCATACTTGGAATTTCTGAAGAGATCATCGGGGAGGCACTGCTGCAATCCATACAAAAGCTAATTGCCTCTATGGATGTAAAAGAAGGTGCGGACCCTTCTGTGTTGCGCTCAGCATTCCATGTAGGGAAAGGAGCAGCAGCTCAAACCGGGGCCCCCTGTTATAGTCATCAACAAAGATATTGTAGTCTATTCCTCCATCATGGCGTGCTACAGAGAGCTGGAAACCATACATTTCGAGGGCTAATCTGTGGGGACCTCCCATTTGCTGACAGCTGGCCCCAACTGCCAAGTGAAAAGATCATGCAATCAAGTACAGATGGAGAGCGGACAACTCTATCCTGGTCCTTCAGAGATGGAGTACTAACCTAGTCCTCCTCAGCGGTCAGGAGGCTTTTCTGAAGAAACTATTTCCACCAATTAGACATCAAGAAGAATCTGCTGTTTGGCAGAAAGGGAATTCGACATAAAGTGACTCTGGGGAAGACATTTTGCCGAAGCGAACAGCTGACCTATCACCACAGCCAACCGCCCGTGACTTTGACGATACGTTGCTGAGTGAAAGTATTTATAGTTTAATTTTTACAGTTTATTTAAAATTTTATTGCCCACTTAGTTATATGGCAGAGAAAGCAACTTCGATTTTTATTTTAAATTTTTTTTCCCCTCGGTTCACTATTCACCAGTCATCTGATAAGAGATGATAAAGGTCTATTGTGAGGTGGTACTGCGACATAGCAGCTACTGTCTCAATAACTATGTTCGTGAGTGCATTTTCAGCTTCTGCTCTTGTCTAAATTCCCATATCCATATTCCTCATTTTCTTGCCTGTTGAACATTACAGAACAATGATAATGTTGTACAGTGTGTGCACATACCCAAATAAATAAAAAATGTATAAAAAAAATTAAAAAAAAACCTCACAAAACTGTTAAACCGTTCAAAACAGTAAAATGTATTACAACGATATCATCAGTGAAAGTGAAGTTTTTTGCATTTTTCCACACAAATGGCAGTTACATTGACGATATAATTGCTGCGATACGTTTTACGGTTTTGAAACACTAATATTTGTGTTCAACGAAGTCTCCTGAGTATAACAGTACCCCTCATGTACAGGTTTTATGGTGTTATCAAAAGTTAGAGTCAAACATAAAAGACTTGTGTTTCAGTTTTTTCACATTGAAATTCGCCAGATTGGTTACGTTGCCTTTGAGACTGTATGGTAGCCCAGGAATGAGAATTACCCCTATGATGGCATACCATTTGCAAAAGTAGACAACCCAAGGTATTGCAAGTGGGGTATGTCCAGTCTTTTTTAGTAGCCACTTAGTCACAACAACAGGCCAAAATTGTCGTTCAAGTTAGTTTGTCAAGGGTTTTTTTTCCACACACAAACAAATATTAACGCTAACTTTGGCCACTCTGCACTTTTCAAGAGTGGAAAATAAATGAAAGAAAAAAAAAATAAAAAAAATAACCCACATACTCTGCATTCATTAAACACTGCAGCAAGCCAATGTGATTTAAGGACAACTGTCACCATAACATTGGTTTTGTTTTACATATAATGTAAAAAAATAAATACATTTTTATTTATTTTTTACACATATACTAAAGGTATGAGTTTTTTTCTCTTTCAACATATATTTCATAAAAATATAATATATACAAAAATACAAAATACCCCTGCACTCCAACTAGAAAAATAAAAATAGTACCTGGTGCTCTGGTGGCTTAGTCATAAACAAAGTGAAAATACCGGCACTCAAGGTTTTCCAGAAGATAACTTCTCCATTTATTGCGGAAGAAAAATTCGATGTTTCAGCTCCACTGGGGAGCTTTCATCAGGACATATATATATATTAACAGATCACCTGGCACTCCGACTGGGTACCTCCGTTGAAGGATGCTCCTAGCGAATCTTGAGGATTTCAAGCACTCTAGCCAACACCACAACTACCGCAGGCCAAACCTCCTTCAGAGCGAAGCAGGAATGAGCTCTTAAAAGAGCTTAGGAGTGATTATAGCAAGGGAATACGCAGAGCATAGCAATCCCTTGTAGCAGATTCCCCCAATAAGAGACAGTACTCCAAATTGAGGGTGAAGTAGAACTGTCTAAAACTTTATTTTACTTGGGACTAGCCCATATGGTCATTACATTAACATTGCTGTGAAAACTCAATAAAATTACAAAACAGTCAAATCATAGCAGGCAACATACAGTGACTTATTATAACATAATTACATATTTATAAATGGGTGGGGAAGACCATAATTAACACAAAATGTCTCAACTGCATGCAGAATTAGCGATATGCAAATCTACCCAAATATGCAAATTACCAGTCTTGCTATTCAGGTAGTGCATATTACTGTTGCTACCAACAAAGGGCACTACACAAGCTCCATAGCCAAATCCACCTAGTTGGTAGCAATCCTCAGCAGTACAGGAGAGCAGGCAATACATCCCAGGGGCCATAGTCACATGGTAGGAGGCTGGCAATCAGTCTTCTCCAATGCCCAGTTGTGAGGCTGGTTCCGTCACACACACATATATACACACATACATACACATATATACATATATACACACACACACACACATATATATATATATATATATATATATATATATATATATATACACACATATATATACACATACACACACATATATATATATATATATATATATATATATATATATGTATATATATGTATATATATATGTGTGTGTGTGTGTAATTAAAGGCACACACAAAACAGTTTGCAACATTAAAAGAACACTCACGGGGAGAGGGGAGGACATCACCCCCTAGATGACATTATGGGGAGCAAGAATATGAGGCCTCACCACACAGATGACCATTTACTTTATTAATTTATTTCAATATTGTAAGACTTGTTTTGCAAATACCAAATTGATAATTTAAAACATTAAAGGAACACTATAGTGCCAGGAAAACAAAGATGTTTTCCTGGCACTGTAGGGTTATTAGATCCCTCCCCTCCCTCTGAGCCCCCTTCCTGCTAGGCTGAAGGGGTTAATGTAACCTCTGCTAATATCTGGCTTCAAGAGAGGGCTTTGAAATGAGACAAGAGAAAAATGTAATATATATCAATTAAGAGAGTGAGGGAATACATACTGACAAAAATTTTTATAAGAATCACACAAAGGAGTACGTGTGCAGATGAATTACTCGATTATAATATTGAATATTTTGCTATAGTGGGAAAAAGTTAAGGTAAAGGGAGAGAGAGAGGTTAATTGGATGATTGACGGTAGATGATTGATTAATAGACTAATTGGAAACGTCTAATTTGCAAAGGGGGGAAAACTGAGGAGAACTATATGCTTGGTTTTGATAATAGAGAATGGAATAGATAATAAATATAAAAAGGGATATAGAAGAAATAAAAAGATTAAATGCACTTAGATGACCTAAGGTTTTTGAAAATATGAGGAATTTTTTTAGAAATTGTTTGATTTTCATAGACTCACTTACAATGTGTTTTGGTGATATTGCCGTTGCTTTTTTTTCTTTATTTTATTTTTATTTATTTTTTCTCACAATTTGTTGGTTTAACTACTTTAGTAGAATAATAAAATATTATAAGAAAACACTTATAAATATTTAAGAAATGGGGGGAGAAAGGGGAGGAAATCTAACACTATAAATATATAAAAAGGAAAGATAATATATAGCACTTTTTATAAAATATCATCCTTGGAAGTAAAGGAAACAATAGTTAACACTTCGATAATATAAGTTTAATAAATCTGCACAATATTTAACTATTAAAGAAGGACGAGAAAGGGGCGATTTTTTTTTTTCCTTCACAATAAGTGTGATCAACTTGCGAAATAATAAAATTGTTTGACACTAAATTAAGGAATTATACATAAAAGGGAATCAAAGTTGGTGCAAAGGGAGAAGAAAATAGTCATAATAAAAGCTATAGTTAATAAAGATAATACACAGCAAGTATTATAAAATAGTTCATTCTGAAGTTAAGAAAATAATCCTAGCATATAAATAGATAAGTTAATAAAGCTGCACAATATATAACATAGAAAGAACTTCTTTTTCTCCCCTACCCTCTCTCTATCCCCTTTCATATCCCTACTCGTTACATTGTGATGTCCTCTTCTGAAATCTGTTAGACTGCATTTCGCTAGTCTGAGGTGAGGCTTAATCCCCATATTACTCCAACAATAGATGGAGTTTGGATGCCACACCAAAGGGAATAGGTTGTGGATTCCTGTCCCAATCAAAGGGGGTTGGAGACGGAATGTCTCATGTATTTGTACATGAGAGATTATGGTTTTTATTATGTTTTGTATGTTGTTGTTTTTTTCGTTGTGTTGACTGTACCGAGACTTTGTCCTATTCTCCTACTCTTTCCCAATGGTTAAAATTCTGACGCTTAATGTACAGGGTTTAAATAATCCACATAAAAGATCCATGGTATTTGAATATATTAAAAAAGAGGGAGCAAAAATAGTATTGTTGCAAGAAACTCATTGGTTAAGTTAAGATACAAAAAAAGATTTATTCCTAATACTTTTAATATCAAAATATGTTCATTAGAGGATAAATTGGAAAAAGATTTATTCCTAATACTTTTAATATCAAAATATGTTCTTCATTAGAGGATAAAAGAAAATGCAGGGTTGCCTTTCTTGTAACCAGTGATATAGACACACAGATTATGTATCAGGACATAGATAAAAACGGAAGATACACTATAGTAATATGTAAAATACAAATTGAAGTATATACAATAGCAAATTTATATGCACCTAATGTTAAACCTATTGGTTTCATACAAATGGTATTAAACAAAATAGATAATATTAAAAAGGGAAAGGTCCTTATAGGGGGAGACTTTAATTGCATTATGGATACAATGCTAGATAGAAATTCACTTGGAGGGGTTATCCAAAATAAAAAAAGTAAAAAAACATCAAACCAGCTTAAACTCTTAGTATGTAAATATGGTTTGTTAGACATATGGAGAATTTACCACCCCCAAGAAAAGGACTTTACTTGTTTTTCAAAAGTTCATTATACATATTCAAGGTTAGATTTATTCTTGGGTACAGTAGAGATATCACTTAAGATAAAGAAAGTTCTAATTCAAGAAGTCACTTGGTCAGACCATAACCCGGTCATATTAGACCTTAATATAAGCCCAGATAATAAAATGAGGAACAGTTGGAGGCTAAATGATCTCTTATTAAAAAATCCTCAAGAAATAGAGAAAGTAAAAGAATTAACAACATTTTTCTTTGAAGATAACCAAAATAAAGGTACATCAGATGTAATAGTATGGTGCACCTATAAGGCAGTTCTGGGAGGGCATTTTATCAATATTGGATTCAATAAATAGTAGAAGTTCTTCATTGACAGACCTATATATTTCTTTAAATGCTTTAACAAGGCTCAATAAAGATAATCCCTCCAAAGAAATGAGTGAGAAAATAGAAAAAATGAAAGATAATATTAAAGAAATTCTATGGCAGCAAACCTCCAAAAAATTAGAACGCTTAAGAATAAAATGGTATTACAGATGTAACCGGGCAAATAAAATGCTTACAAATAAAGTTAAAGGCTATAGAATGGCAATGATGATACAGAAAAATATAATTGAGGAAGGGCCACAATTAACCCCAGAAAAAGTTGGTAAAGCATTTAACTCTTTCTATCAAGAGTTGTATAATTTGCCTAACCAACCTAACAACCCAGAAACATATTTTAAAAATAAAAAGATGAAACAGCTATCTGCAGAACAGGTTAACAGTATCAACAAACCTTTCACTGAATTAGAGATTAAGGAGACAATAGATACGTTTAAAAAAAAGAATAAAACCCCAGGCTCAGATGGCTATCCTAACATATTCTATGAGCAATTTAAGGAAGAATTGGTGGTCCATTTGAAAAATGTATTTAACAAAATTGTGGAGGAAAAGGTCATCCCGGAAGAAATGCTATATGCAAATATAATCCCTATACATAAGCCAGATAAACCACCAGATCAGGTAAGAAGTTATAGACCTATTTCTCTGCTAAATTCGGATATAAAGATATATGCTAGCATCCTAGCTAACAGGATGCAAACTGTCTTATCTGACTTAATTCATAAAGATCAAGTCGGTTTCATAAAAGGTAGACTCTACAGCAATAGTGTGAGAAAAATAATTGATATTCTAGACAGCACTAACGACTCAGGAGTCCCATTTCTGGCCCTGTCATTGGACGCAGAGAAGGTCTTTGCTAGGGTCAGGTGGGACTTCCTGATGGCATCTATGAAGGCTTTTGGTTTTGGTGGATGGCTAATGGATGCTGTAATGGCCTTATATTCCTACCCAAGGGCTAGAACTATACGGAGAGGTATATCTGACTGGTTTAAAATAAGCAACGGGACTAGACAGGGATGCCCTCTCTCGACGCTGCTTTATTTGTTTTATATCGAACCTCTAGCCTGTGAAATTAGGGAAAACCTAAAGATTAAAGGAGTCAGAATAGGTCAAGAAGACTATAAATTATCACTATATGCGGACGATCTCCTAATCTCCATTACAGATCCCGTACCATCATTGGATGAATTGATGAAAGTTATAACCAAATTTGGAAATTACTCCAATCTCAAGTTGAATGTAGATAAAACAACTATATTAGCAAAAAAATCTAAGTAAGGAAGATAGAGAGAAGATTGTGAATAAATATGACTTTGCTTGGGCTACGAAATATTTGCAACATCTAGGTATTAAAACAACAAATAATCAATATAAAATCATAGAGAACAATATTCTCCCTATGATGAAACAAATAAATAAACAACTTAAAGACTTAAGAACTGTTTTAATAACTTTATATAATGTTTTTAATAACTTTATATAATGTTTTAATAACTTTATATCTTAGAAAGCGAACGCTGATGATATGTTCATGGAGTTGTTTCTATATTTCCCTAAGGTTGTTTCTATATTTTGCTTCTCTATATAAAGCCATCTTTTGGCTATTAATAGCGTATATTCAATGCTTTCCTATGGACGTCCAGCGTAAGTTTAATGTGATTTTCGCATTGAGGATTGTGGAAGCGGCCTCTAGTGGCGGTCAGGGAGACAGCCACTAGAGCAAGCATATCAAACTCAAAGGCTAGCAAGGGCCAAATAAACAAGGTTTAAGTTTACGTGAGCCGCAAAGAAACAAAAATTAAAATTTTCATAGAAACGTAGGTTTATTTTGAAAAGTACAGTATTAAAAAAAACCACAGTGACCCCCTCTACTAAACCCCAGTCGCCCCTAGTCTACTAAACCCCTGCCCCTGTTCTCACTCACATAAACACTGACATACACACAGAATCACCCCAACACACACTAACTGGCAAACAGGCTCCCTCACAGACAGCCATATTATATATACACAAAAACTTATTTTTAATTATTATTTTAATTTAAATTCTTCGGCCTGGGTTGGCAGGCAGGTCCCTCAAATTGCAATCATGAAAATTACTTAATTAGGTAAAGATATTACATAAATAGGCACGTAGAAATTTAATATATATACATATTTATATATTTATACATAGATATATATATCATTACATTCTAAGTATTTTGATATAAATATATATTAATATCAAAAAAGTTAGAATAAAATTACATATAATTTGTTTTAATTATTAAAAATTATTTTGATGTTATTTATTTTTCTTAACATTTTAAAATATATATATATATATATATATATATATATATATATACACACATATACATACACACACATATACATATATATATATATATATATATATATATATACACACACACACACACACACACACACACACACGTGTGTAATTTAAATTAAAAGTGTATTTTTATATTAATATACGTATATATAAATATAAAAATACACTTAGTATGACATATATATGATATATAGATATAATACACACACAATATAAATATATATATATAAATATATATATATATATATATATATATATATATATATATATATATATATATATATACACACACACACACACACACACACACACACACACACACCTTTTTTATTTTTTACACTGATTGCTTTATTTTTTAACTTTATTTTTGATTTTTCACTTGCAGGAGACTGCCTGTATGCACAGACAGTCCCCCTGCAGGCAGATACACAGGCACCTATTGCGGCCATGTGATCGAGTGATCAAGTGGCCGCGGGGTCCTGATCTGCCGAGGGGAGACTGCCCGGGCCGACAGGCAGTCCCCCAGGACCGGGAGGAGCGCTGATCGCCGCTGGGGGACCGACGGCGGACAGGTAAGTAGCCCCAGACCGTTATGACCGTTCAGGACCATCATCGGTCCCCCAGGGGAGTTTCCCAATGACGGTCCAGAACCATCATCGGTCGTCAAGGGGTTAAGGACTGAGGCAGTTGTACAAGTTGTAATCAAAACGTAAACAAAAACTTGAATTTCCGCAATATGTCTGTTTAGGCGTAATTCACATCTTTCATATTATATGCACCCACACATATCATTTTGTTCAGGAGAAATAGGGCTTTCATGTCACAACATAATTTAATATGATTATAAGTTATAAAATAGAGAAATTAAGAAATGTTATTTTTTTTTAGTTCTGCATGGCATTTTAACTGTGAATGTCACAATACTGTTACTGCAATAAAGTACACATATTTGTATTCAGCAATGTCTTATGGTGTTTTGGAAAGTTACAGGGTCATATATAGCACTTTACATTTTTCAGTTTATACACATTGAAATTTGCCAGACTGGTTATGTTGCCTTTGAGAGCATATGGTAGCCCAGGAACGAAAACGACCCACATAATGGCATACCATTTGCAAAAGTAGACAACCCAAGGTATTGCAAATGGGGTATGTCCTGTCTTTTGTAGTAGCCACTCAGTCACAAACACTAGTGAAAAAGGCAAAAAACTAAATTGAACGCTAATTTTGGCCAGTGTTTGTGACTAAGTAGCTTCTAAAAAAGACTGGACATATCCCATTTGCAATACCTTGGGTTGTCTACTTTTGCAAATGGTATGCCATCATGGGGGTAACTCATTCCTGGACTACCATACAGTCTCAAATACAACATAACCAATCTGGCAAATTTCAACGTGAAAAAAATGAAATTCAAGCCTTATGTTTGACAACACCATAAAACCTGTACATGGGGGGTACTGTTATATGGGAGACTTCGCTGAACACAAATATTAGTGTTTAAAAATAGTAAAACTTTTCACAACAATTATATCATCAGTGAAAGTACAGTTTGTGTGCGAGAAATGCAAAAAACTGCATTTTTAGTAACGGTGTCATCATTGTGATATGTTTTACTGTTTTTAAACACAGGACGATCCCTCAGCGCGGTGGACACACAGTCATACTTAGAACCCACAGCCCCCCCTTCTGGACTGGTGGGGGATATCCAGGTCCCTGCTGGGGAAAGCCACCTACTCCCCTCAGCAGGAAGCCTTGCAGCAGCGTGACACGTTAAAGCGGACTCCAGAGTCCCCCGCAGCATTGAGAGGACCCAGAGTGTCTCGCACCGTGCTCCACTAAACGGGCCGACTTTGACACAAAACTAGATGCGATATTTGCAGCATTTTGGTGCAAACTGTCCCACTGTATAAAACAACACGTAACACAGGGCAGTCAGGGCGCACGGAACCAAAGCCAACATACCACACCCAGAAAGTTTACTAAGCCAGCTTCAACCTAATCGATCTACCAAAGCCCCCCCATCTGCTGAACCTGAGATACAAACAGCCGCCGAGACTGCAGACGCTTCCTTCAGGCTGATGGCCCAAAAGGTACTTCATAGCACACACCGTTCATACACCCCAGGGTGACTCCGAGCTCCGGTAAACTTGAAGGCTCACGGTCCTACCGCATGTAGTAGGGGAACTCATGGATACAGGGCAGTGGCCCTCATCACAGCATGAGCTTGAAGAACTGCAAGAATACGGCACCTGATCCCACAACAGGTAACCCGTCATAACCATCAAAGCCTCTTGTTGAGTCCCGAAGTGGAAAGACAGGGCACTAAGATTACCACAGAAAAAGACTCTTCCCCCAAAGCCTCCATGCAGCGTGGGCTGACAGAGCCTAAAGGACACAATGCTACTTAGCACCACAGTGTTAGATCACTCTTTGCCTGCACCAACTACTCTAATTTAGTACCCAGTGGTACATATAAGTTGTATAACATGCTTTCCAATCGTTTCTAACATTCCTTATCTGTTTCTCCCCTGACTATCTCTCATGTTTATAAAATTATAAAATTGTGCTGGACCAATCTATTACCCCATATGCAATATGTGATGCCATGCCTGAGGAATGTCGTTGGGGTACCTCAAGCCTGTTTGTATTATCTTAAGCACTGCAAAAAAATAAAAAATAAACACACTTAAAAGTTTATCCAAAAATATTAAATTGATGATTAAGTCAGCAATGCTTTTACTCGTCTGGCCTAAAATTTGAAATTCACTTTCAATTTCCACGTTAGTAAATAACCCTGACAGTGTTTCTATTTCTTGTCTTCATTTGCAATGTCTTTTGCCAAATATTTAATATATAAAATTTGAAATATAATGGAGCAGCTAAAAAAGAAAAGCAAAAAAACAAAAACACTGTTAAACATTATAGGTGATATTATTCAATAATTTAAATTCCAGAGAAGTTGCAGTTCCGATCTACATACATTTTAAAGGGTTATATTTGCAGGATCATTATATCGACAATGCCTGAGGGAACATTTGGTTTTCAATTAAAGGAATACTCCAGGACATGTTATGAGTAATGTGTACATGTTATTAAAAAAAAAATTATTAAATTACTATAAGGTTTTAAGAACACACATATAGCTTCATGTATGAATTAAGATTCTCACGACTACACAAAGCATTTCATTACATTTGATGGAAAAAGTTCTCACAGTGCAGTCTGGTGTGGGATGAAAAGATTCCTTCTAAAACATATCAATGAAGATGTTCGATAAATCTTGACAGAAAACTACAGCTACAAATAAGCAGGGCCGGACTGGCCCACCGGGATACGTGTGTGTGTGAACTTGTATGTGTGTGTCAGTGAGTCTGTAGTAAACATGTTTATGTCAGTGGGCTTGTCTGTTGGAATCATGTGTGTGCATCCGTGATCTTATCTGTAGTGAACGTGTGTGCGTCCGTGAGAATATGTAAGGCTATGTCTTGCCACCCCAGATGATGGAGTAATATATTTAGTAGTAAGAATGATACTATGTTTTAATCTTTCTGAATAAAGAGGAAGTGTTATTTGAAGACAGTGAGTGCTGCCATTCTTACTCCTTTTTGGATATAAAAGCCCCAGGCTGAGCATCCGGCAGGTATTTATATTTATAGCCTGAGTGCAAGGAGATAGAGAGAGATATACATACACATACATACATACATACATACATACACACACACACACACACACAAGTCACAATAATCACACAATACACAGCACAATGCCACAATGACTTATGGGGATGGCATAGATTTATTTTTTTCAGGGCTGCTTTGTATCTCCAGTCCAGCCCTGCAAATAAGCTTGTGTTAGCTATATGCAGAAGAATGTTAAAGGGTTACTCCAAACAAAAACAATGTGTTTTCATAAAACACTAGTTTTGGTTAGAGTAACCCTTTCTAAGGTCACCCACTCCATAAAAAAAAAAAAACATGGATTGACCGAGAGAAGGACAAAAGCACTAAATAAGTGGAGACATGCCACCATTGGCTTTTTGTCACCATACTGGCATACCCTTTAAGTTGTTATTGACATATTTAAAAGTCGTGATACTCCAGCCATGTTCATCCTTTTAACTTTCAATACCCTTATTTAAATGCTAAGGGTTTAGGCTTCTTTGGACATCTATAAAATAGTTAACAGAAAAACAACAAGCTGTACAACCAATGCAGTGATATGCAACATTTAAACTGCTACCAGTTACAGGGATTAAACTCACTGCATTGTAGGCTATGATTTCATACTCTTTAGGAAGCAGGATTTATTTTTCTTGCAAACCATTTGCTTCTTTCTTAGTAGCAAATCTGTCTCAATGTCTAGATTCTATAAGACGTGAATACATTCTAGGCTTTGTCATGTATGATTAGCATAGAATAAATATTCCAGGAAATGCACTTGACAGTGGTGGGCAGCATGAATCATTGTTTAGTTTGGGAAATAAGGACAAGGTTTCACAACTAATTAAAAAAATGCATCGGTCATGCTATGCATGAGAGGTATAATCTATATTGTAATATACTATATAACTGGATATTCTATAGAACCAGATATTCTAAAACTTTCCTCACTTGTGTGGGCCATTTTGGAATATGAAAAAACTAGCTTACATTAGCTACAGTAGCAGTTACTGCGGCTCCGGTGAACTCTCCCATGTTGGTCCAGGACAGGCTTTCCAATCTGTCCTAGATATGGTCCTATCAAAGACTTCTCACTGAGAGTCTTGGGGACAAATCATGCATGCACAGTACTAGGCAAAAATACTATTCAATAAAGGTTCAAAAAAACTTTGTAAAGTAATAAAATGTGAGCAGGCTATTGCTTTGCTGCAGAGGGATTTGGATAAATTGGGGGACTGGGCACTAAAATGGCAGATTAAATGTAAAGTAGAGAATTGAAAAGTTATGCACTTAGGGGTTAAGAATGCACAAGCAATTTACACCCTAAATGGTAGTGAACTAGGGATAACCACACACGAGAAGGATTTGGGAATTGTTATAGACAACAAATTAGGCAACAATAGGCAATGTCAATCTGTAGTTGCTAAGGCCAGTAAGGTTTTGTCATGTATAAATAGGGGTATAAACTCTCGGGATAAAAAGAGATATATAATTTTGCCTCTTTATAAATCACTGGTAAGACCACACCTTGAATATGCTGTGCAATTTTGGGCACCTGTCCTAAAGAAAGATATCATGGCACTAGAAAACGTGCAGAGACGTGCTACAAAATTGATAAAAGGAATGGAGCATTTTAGTTATGAAGAAAGGTTAAAAAAAATAAATCTGTTTAGTTTGGAAAAACGGCGCCTGAGAGGGGATATGATAACATTGTACTGGCCTCGAATATATTTGTATAAACCTTTATCTGAAAATCTATTCATAAACAGGGCTATACATAGGACACGAGGTCACACATTTAGGCTGGAAGAAAGGAGATTTAATCTAAGGCAAAGAAAAGGTTTTTTTACAGTAAGAGCAATAAGGATATGGAATGATCTGCCTGAAGAGGTGGTTTTATCAGAGTCCATACAGATGTTTAAACAGAAATTGGATAAATACTTGCAAAAACATAACATACAGGGATAGAATATCTAATTAGTGGGGTAATAGCTGCTTGATCTAAGGAGACATCTGGCTGCTATTTTGGGGTCAAGAAGGAATTTTTTCCTAGTTTGTTGCAAAATTGGAAGCGCTCCCGACTAAGTTTTTTGCCTTCTTTTGGATCAACAGCAAAAACATATGTGAGGAAGGCTGAACTTGATGGACGCAAGTCTCTATTCAGCTATGTAACTACAGTTTAAATCGGGCGAGGCAAGAAACTCTCCTGGCTGCCTAACAACCAGGAAGGTGCAACAATGATGCCGACTTCTCTTGAAATGAACCCTTTTATACAATAGTCCTGTAGGGACAGGCATGTTAACCCTACAGAACTTCAGCAAACTAAAGTTCAAGTGCTTTGAGTGTTCCTTTAAACTGGAATGGTCACTCCCTATGATTTTTAATATTAAGTTTACGTCTGTTTAACTATTAAGGGAATTGTAAGGTTTGAGAAATAAAATCTGTAGAAATCCACACCTCTATCATGCCACTGGGTGCCTCCATCTTTGCTCCCTGTTAATCTTGTTAAAAGCTGTGTCCTTTGCAAGTTTGCATAGAGAAAGCATATTATGGAAAAGAAAAAAAAAAAAAGTTCTGTCTAGGTGATTTTCAAAGTTTTATTTGTGTAAATGTGTGGTGATGGTCCTTCGTTACAAAAATTATTTAAAAAAAAAAAAGGGACAAACTTGAAAACGAGAGACATCTCAATGTATCCTTCCTGGTAAAATATTTTATAGATAAATAAATAAAAACTCCCTTCATGCAAGTAAAGGGTACAATATATTTTGCTATACTCCCTGACCAATGACCAGCTGTACTTTAGACAAGGTGAGAAAATGTGTTCATCTTTAATTGCTTAGCATGAAACATGTGCTGACTTATCACAAAGGAGCAGGCGGCTATCCAAGGTGCACTCTGCCCTTAGCCAATTGCATTCCAATAAAAAATATTGCTAAAAATGGCAAGGCATGAGTGGTCCTAGAGGACTGGATTGAGAAATAGCTGTACAGAGCTTCAGAATGCATGGACAAGGAAGAAACACCATTACTTCACTCCTGCAACATGACCTCTCAGAACACACAGGGCAACAGCAAACAATTATACCGTTTAACTTTTACAGTGCCTGGTGTACCCCCTTGTGGAACCCCATGAGCAAAAAAATAAAAAAAAATAAAAAAATCCCACTTAACAGTGTTACAGTCATTGAGCAAAATAATAGAATGAAGAAAGTGGCACTAAAGGGTTCAAGAAATTTCGACAATTTGGAAAACATTCAACTGCTTATCTCCTGGTTTAACCCCACTCCCAATGGAAGCAGATAAAAGCTGTGAGGCTGTTACAATATGAACCTGCTTTCAAACATCAACGAGGACCAGAGCTGAATTTCCACTTACCAATATATAATTTTGAGCCCTGCTTCGCTTATCTCTTATTTACAAAAATACTACATTTTGTTGAGCATTTTGACTTCAAGCACACTCTAGATGCTTCCATCTCAAAACCATATTTAGTAAATAAATCTCTATGTGTTTAGAGGTAATATGCATATAAAAAAGGTATTTAAAAACAAAAAAAAAAAAAAAGTTTAAAAAGGCAAGCAAGAAGTGTGGAGTGCTTACTGTGTAGCAGATAGGCAAACTAATGAACTCTTTAGCACAAAATTGTAAGCCTATTTCTACATGTTACATCCCTGAACAGACTTCTAAACATAAAAACAAAACACTGAAGACAAAATCAATTTATGCATAATATATATATATATATAATTACACACACACAAACTGGTGATTTATGAGTACTACAACATGGTCACAAACAGCATGACGTTTACCTGGTCAGAAGTGACAAGAGTCTTACAGGTAATTTATTTGACTCATTCTGTACACGAGACTCAAAATTACTACTAACCTAGTGCCAATGACAAACAAAAATTAATTCAACTCTGGCGTGTGCAAGTGACTTTTATTCCCCCTTTATAGGCAGCAGCTACTTGTGCAATTCAGTGAGCGAACCATGTGCTGTCTGAAGCAAGACAAATCTGGTTGTTGCATAGTTTCAGACTAAACAGCCCTGGACCTTTATACCCTCTACCCATTCTGCCTTTCTTTTCATATAGCAGGCAGCGAGATGGAGACTGGTGGTAGAGTGCTCCTTGATGTACACAGCGGAAGTCTGACTCTACAACATGGCACAAGTTAGCCGCAAAGAGAAAATTCACCCCAACCCTCCTTCAAAAACACAAATTTTAGTTAATAGTGCTCTTTTCTCTAATCTTTATTTTTAAGTTGCATTGCATTCCATATAAATCAGTTAAGCTAAACCTAACAGTACCAGGGTCACATGTTTAGAACAATGGAAGAATTGCCCAACATGAATGTAAAGCATGTTTTGCAGATGCCTAAAAAAACCACCATCACTTACAAAGAAGTAACAATTCTGCTTTAAAACTGCAACTTACAGTTATATCACCTGTAACTGCTAACAATTTCCCCCCCCAAAAAAAAAAATCAGAACAAAATAAATTCTGGTGTACTGTTAAAATATGCCTACGTACCTTCCACCTTTTGTAAAATTTTTATTTATACTTATTGTTACATACATACAGGCTATCAAAATCAAACCATCTGTCCTAAAAATATATTTATTTTTATTTTCTCAATCAGAGAACAGGAAATCACCATGAAACAAGAACGTATAACGTGCTAATGCATGGAAAATGATGAAAGTCATTAAGGGGTTATGGACGAGGCACTTGGAAAATTCTTTTACATGATAAGCCTAGTATATCATTGGTCATTAAAGTAGTTTAATTTTTTTCGTGCAACTGCTTTCATGGTCCTCCCCAAAATCACGGTAACGATAAGGATCTCTGGGCTCGAATGAAAGAAAAGCTAAAGCTCATTGAAATCTCCAAAGCATGAGCTTCCCATTTTATAAAATTATATCTATTCTCAATATTACACTTTTTGTTAAGCTTGTTGAGAAATACGATGTTAAGAAGCTAGAATATCAGTGTTCTGAAGGTACACCAATGCTGTACAGTGCTGCTTATTTTTGGCAGGTTTTAATACCATAAGGAGCATTGAACTGGTGGAGTGTGGTGATCACCTTGCATGCACAGTAGGACCTAGATGCTTTGGATTGATACATGCTTGTTATATCCAAGACATTAGCTCCTATGTGAAATTTACACTTTATGACCGCTATAAATTCTGAGTAATGTTTCCACCAGAATTATGATGCAGATAATATGCCAGTTGCCTCTGAATGCTTTGATCATCTGCTTGCACCTCTATTTACTTTAGTTTCAGGCTCACCTGTGTGTATGCAGGCAGCTGTAGATTTGTAAAATTCACAATTTTTAACTGCAGTCCTTTGCCGTATAACAGCATAATGGCAGTTTCATATGCCACCAAAAATAATCCTGTTTAAATGACACTCCAATAATTAGTTGACTTATTGTACAACTAAAATGTTTTTTTTTTTTGTTTTTTTTAAATACATATATTTCACGTGAGGTTTTATTGGTAAAGGGTTTTCAATTTAAATAAGTTTTACAACTCTTACTGCAATGCATTTAAGGGAAATGAAAAAACAGGCGACTAACATTTATGAGATTCCCCCTTTTGTGATCTGTAAATGACTCAGGGGGAAACTTAGCATACTGTAGTTTTATTTATTTATTTTTGCGTGTTACTTTTTATTCTTAACAATCCTCTCTGCAGTGAGGGAGGTCAAGTTTAATGGTTTTACATTAGCATTATGAGCAAGATGATAATGGCTGAAACTGGCTTTGAAATGGAATGAGAGCATAATATTGTATAAAACTTACACATTGCCAAACTTACATTGTCGCCTAAACCCTATAAAAAAAATAAAAATAAATAAATAAAAATGCTCTCCACAATTTCAATGCATACCCATGGCAGTTGAGCTGACAACTTATGGCCTCCATAAACATTATGTCTGACACCCTAGGAACCAGAGTACACGAGTCTAATTTGAAAACTTAGTGACTTGAGTACAATTTCACAATTATTTTTAGTAGAAATTAAAGATTGCATTTGTACTGAAATTAATAGTTTCTAAATAAATACCGATAAAAATAGTGTCTTACAAAGAAACTGTCACATTTTTTAAAACAAGCTCCTCCCCCATTGTACAGCGCTACGGAATTTGCTGGCGCTATATAAATAATATTAAGTACTCTACCATCTTAATAAATGCTTAGTGGAGGAAAAGAGTGCAGTGGTAGTAAGAACAAAACAATGATGATCATGCACACTCAGACACTGGATTGGGTAAAAAAAAAAAAAAGAAAAAGAAAAAAAAAAGAAATTTTTTTAAAAAAGCATATATGCTTTAATATGCTGAAAATATGCTCATTCAGGTATTCTTGCCATAGTGCTGCCTATGCAGAATTAGAGGTTAAATGAACACTCCATGAACAATAACCATTACAATTAAAATGATAAAAACACACAAACATTTTATTTTTTCTGAAGAGTGATCTGATACTTTAAAGTCATCAGGTGCAGCAACATAAAATCAGCTAGTAGGATCAAAATTGTATACAAACAAATCAGATTTAAAAGTGACAAAATAAATTTAAAATAGCAGCAACAAGTTATGCTGCTTTCAATATGTGTTTGCAACAAACCACAGATCAATTACTGCTACAAAATACTTTGATTCTTTTTTGCACAGGTTTGAAGCAAATGATAATCCATATATTTAATCAATATGTGAAATTGACACTTTTTGTTTACAGTGACATTCCTTTGCATTAACTATAGTTCAAAAAACTAAAATGATCAGTAGTGTAATATGCAAAACACCCAACTAATCATTGTCATGTCATAGACAGAACACACAGCAAAGCATACATTGCACACAATAAAAAAAAAAATAATAAAGAACAGGAGTTAGACTGACATCTGTCATATACTTAACCACTTGGGAAACAATAGTAAGGCAAATTCTTTTGGATCATTAAAAAGTCCAGCATGTCATTGGTCTATAAGCACACCTTAATAAGTTGGGGATGTCCCTTTACAAAAAAATAAAAAATCTAATGTACACAAAAGTAGCTGTATAAAATTATAATTTCTCCCCAAAAAAAAATTTCAGTGAGAAAATAAAAGTGTATTTTCAAAAGAGAAAAAAATATAAAAAGAAAAGAAATGAGTGCTTGGCCAGAGGAGCAGATTTTAGCTGAATAACCAGTTTGTAGCATGCTTGCAGTGATCTCAGTTATGCCTGAGGCAGCCTGTGTGTGTGTGAGTCTATATATGCAGGAGGATCTTTGCATGGAACAGCAGCGCCCTCCCTCCTCTCTCTCTCTCTCCTGCTTCTAAGCTGTAAAGTCCCTCCTCCATTCCTTCTCTGCACAATATCCATGACGTCTCTCTTAATTCCTCTCTAGCACAAACACATTTTCGGGGCTATTTGCAATGAAAATATAGACCTGTAAAAATGTCATGCTATCACCATTTTTATTTTATTTTTTATTTCTGCACACAACAAAAATTCCCTACTAACCCGATGCACCTATTGTGTGGCTTATTGCACGCAGTATACATCAGTATCATTCAGCAAAAAAATGCGGGAAATTCAATTTTATTCCACTGTGCGAAAATATAAGGTAATAAAAAAACTTTTCCTCGGCTGAAGGAAAGACTCACCAAATTTTGGTAAGATCTGGGGTGTTCTTTCCCAGTCCAATCTACCCTTGTTGGCAGCAGCTGCAATAGAAATAGATACAGAGAGGGGTCTGTTACAATTTACACACTTCCTGGTCAATTCAGATCAAAAAGTACTGTTATATTTATATTCATTTTTAAATGGAATCTTGGATACACTGTTACAGCTGGTGAAACGGGGGCATTCTAATCTCGTGATCTGCTCTGAGCTTTATCTCCAGGACAAGGACCTGAACCCCTCATAGCAAAAGAGATGGGGGGGATTGTTAAAAAAACAGGACAGGTTCAGATGCAGCCCCTAATAATAAATAAATCGCACCCACGCCCCCTACAAAACGATGCTTTGATTGGGAGGGGGAGGAGCAGTACAAGCAGATCCTGGGAATTTGTTTCCTCTGAGAGATGGTATTTTGGAAAATCCTACGACAAAAGCTATGCGAGGTGGTGCTGTGAAATTGAGGGGAGACTGTACACCCCCATAAGGATCACCCCCTTTTTATCATTGTGATACCATCCCCCCAACAAGCTTTTCCTTACATTCCCCATGCAGCTCACCTCTTTATCCTCCACTTCTCGGATCAGAACCTGTAAGAGAAGAGACATAAAGGTAGCCATCAGATCATGCTGCGTGTGATGGGAGTTGGGGTCCAGGCAGGGTGATATTGGGGCTAAAAAGACAGGGGTCCCACCCCCTTCTCTGGCTTATTCTGTACCTGTGCTGCTTGCTGGCAGGGTCCATCTTCCAGGAATCTGGCAATGAGGAAATAGAGCTCTGCAAAGACACAAACAGAAATATCAGGGTACACGAGTGACCCCCCTCACAGATAGACATGTCTCTGTTACATATTGTTTATTAGAGATGGTGGCGGGGGGCAGGGAGGATGCACATACCGGATTTGAGCTCGGTGCTGTGCTGGCTGGTGGTGGAGGAGGACATGTTGGGGTGGCTGGGTATCCCCCCTCCTCCTCTTTGGCTTGCACTGCCTCCTCCTCCCGCTACCGCCGCCGGAGCGGATCCCCGGGCCCTGCCCCTGGAGCTGTCAGGGTCTGGAGCAGGAAGGAGAAAGAGAAGCCTCCGCTCTCCACCATGCAAAGCCAGGCGGAGGGAGGAGGAAACAACAAGCCGTAGAGAGGTGCTCTCACCAGATCCTTCCGCCCAGCGCTGGAGGAGAGAAGAAAAAAAAGTCCCTTCTTTCGCCATAAACATCAGACTAACTTTCATGTTTTTTCCCTCTCTGCTCAGGAAACTCCCGGATTTTTTTATTTTTTTTTAAGATGTAGGCAACATAATCAACCCCTTGTCCACATTTCTTAGAATTACTCAAAGCAGGCCTAGTTTTCCTTTTGTTTTAAATCTAATGTTCTTGTTGATTCCAGCATCTTCTTGAAATAAAATGACTAATGGTGGGTTATCAGTTTATTCTAAATAAATTGTATGTAGGTTAATTGTGATACTGGATTAATGTTCCCAAAATGGAGTATGCATAATATTCTATAGTGAAGATAAAAATATTTAAATGTATTTTGTTCATATTCCTTTTTGTAATATGTAGATAGCTGCAGTATGTGTCATTATTATTATTATTATTCTCGCTATTTATATAGCGCCAACAAATTCCGTAGCGCTTTACAATATTATGAGAGGGGGGATGTAACTATAAATAGGACAATTACAAGACAACTTACAGGAATGATAGGTTGAAGAGGACCCTGCTCAATCGAGCTTACAGGAGGTGGGGTAAAAGACACATTAGGACATGAAGCATAGATGCAATTAAACTACAGTATTACAATGGTGCCTGTACTTTCATTATGAAAATTAAAGGCATTCTATTGTAAGTTGGCTGTATAAAATTAGTTTTTGAATACAATAACATTTCAAGCATCTACCTACTTATTTCACCCCAAAATGTATTACTTCAGACTTGCATTCACCAGTTCATTAGTCTACTTTACATTTAAACTCTTCATTAGTTCCCATCATTTAAATTTCTTTTCTTTTTATGTTATATGCTTAATACAAAGAACTTAATATCTGGGCTATCCCTAAAAATTTGTGAACTGTAAATAATATTAACTGACAGAGCCTGTACTGTAATAGTTAAGAGGAATGGCCTTACCCTCTAATATATTGTACTGTCTTTTATATGAAAGGAATATTGGTACCGGTAAGTATATAGAGAGTGTTCGTTGACATAAGTACTTCTAATATTTCTTTACATATCTTTTGTAGCGCTCATCCTTTTTATAACTTTGAGTGTAAGATATCTGAGAAAGCTCTTTAACATTTATGAAACAAATTGGGCGGCTTTCTGTGTTCTGTCACTCTTGTGTTTTGGCCTTCTGGTATTATGCTACGCTTGGTAAGTAATAAAGTTGTAATTACTTTTTCAAACCTTGTTTGTTAAAGGACTTATTTTGGGTGTCCCCCTTAGAGGCAATTTGGTTACAGATTTCATAATTCATTCAAGCTCTATACTAGTATGCGTTGTGCTGCTCACAGGTAGAATTTAGTTTTTCATTGCCACAGAGCTCTCTAGTACTTTATTAATACCCTGGATATCGCTACCAAGCACCCCTGTTCCTTTTTGCCTTTTGATACTAAAGCAGGGGTTCCCAATAATTTTTTCTTGTGGAACCCTTTGACATAGTGTACAAATATTGTACAAACAACATACACACACACACACACTAATTTTTCTAGATAGTAAACTGATTGTAGTATTTAGGAGCGTGTGCTTTTGTGTGTAGAGTTGGTGTTTGAATACAATTTTAGTATTTTAATAGTATGGTGTGTTTGGATGTAATGTTTGCACTTGGGTGCATTGGTGTGTGTTTAAATGTATTGTTGGCTTTTAAATACAGATTTGTGTGTCATATTGGTGCTTTAGTGAAGGATGTATTTGTATATAATTTTGGAGTTTGAATTCAGGGGTAGTTTTGTTCGTAACGTTTCAGTTTGCAGGTATGTGTTGGCATGTTGTATTTGTGTTTGCTGGGATTTATGGACATACATACACACACACAAACACACACATACATAAAGATGCACACACATTGGCACATTCATCCTCACTGACACACAGATACACACAGTGGCACACACACACACTCAGATGCACAAACTGATACACAGATAAACACACTGACATACAGCTACACACACACTGGCATATACACACACACACAGATACACACAGTGGCACTTACACACAGATATGCACACTCTGGCACTTACACTAAGGCACCTACACACATACTCAGATACACACACACTGACCTAAAGATACACACATTGACACACTGGTACATACAAACACTGACACATCAATATACACGCTCTGGCACATACATACACACTGAGATACACACACTGACACACAGATCCACTGACAAATACACACTCTGACACATACATGCCCAGATACACACACTGGCACCCAGATACACACACTGACACACTTTGGCACATACACCGGTCATGATTTTTATATTTGGCAGTTTTTGTGGTTGTAGGGTTAATTTAATAAATTGAAAGAGATTTTGCAACCCCAAAAATAAACTTTGATAAATCTCCCCTGAATTTATACTAGCTAACTGGGTGATGGCTGAGTTTACACTGGCTAGCTGGGGATCCCTGGAGCTCCGTGATGGCTATGCTTAGAGTCTTAGCTGTTTCAGAACTCCCCTTCCTATGATCTTTGGTCAGCCATCACTCAGTCTTCCCATTCATGTTGTGTATTTTGGGAGGTTTACTCAAAAGCCTCTCTTTCACTCCCTCATGGTCAGCACAGCGATCCCATGCTTGCAGCAGCTCACTTCCCACTCTTTCCCTCTAACATGGCACTCTTCATGTCTGGACAGGCTGTCACTTCCTCCCAGCATGCATGACTACAGGGGCCAAGTTGCGCTCTTAAATGGCCGGAGAACGCCATATTGGAAACGCTGTGCTATAGGTTTTCGCATGGTCACTTGGATTGCTGCAGGCAGTGCAGGGCTTTCACCCTCCCATGTGGCTTCCTTCTCACCGGGAGCAAGTAAGCTGGATATACTCTCTATGTATATGGTTCCATAAATCCCTTTCCAACATTAGGACATTCCATGCAGTCCTCCACAGAGTAGGCTTTAAAGGGACATTATAGTCACCAAAACAACTTGAGCTGATTGAAGCAGTTTTGCTGTAGAGATCATGTCTGTGTAACTGTATGTCCCTGTAGTCTCATTGCTCAATTATCTGCCATTTATGAGTTAAATCACTTTGTTTATGCACCCTAGTCTCACCTCCCTGGATGTGACTTACACATCGTTGCTAAACACTTCCTGTAAAGAGTCATCTTATGTGTATACTTCCTTTATTGCAAATTTAGTTTAATTTTAAATTTCTTATCCCCTGCTCCGTTAAAGGAAAACTATAGTCACCTAAATTACTTTAGCTAAATAAAGCAGTTTTAGTGTATAGATCATTCCTCTGCAATTTCACTGCTCAATTCACTGTCATTTAGGAGTTAAATCACTTTGTTTCTGTTTATGTTTCTGTTTTACTCACATACAGGAGACTCTTGCAGGGTCTAGCAAGCTATTAACATAGCAGGGGCTAAGAAAATCTTAATTAAACAGAACTTGCATAGGGCTCTCTTTACAGGAAGTGTTTATGGAAGGCTGTGCAAGTCACATGCAGGGAGGTGTGACTAGGGTTCATAAACAAAGGGATTTAACTCCTAAATGGCAGACGATTGAGCAGTGAGGCTGCAGGGGCATGTTCTATACAGCAAAACTGATTTATTAAGCTAAAGTTGTTCAGGTGACTATAGTGTCCCTTTAATGGTGTGCTAGACCCTGCAGTAGACTCCTGTATGTGATTAAAGTTCAATTTAGATAGCAGGATATAAACCTTTAAAGCAAGTAACATGTGGTTGAAAGTGAAACCATTTTTTAATACAGATTGTGTATCACACACAGGGGGGTGTAACTAGGACTGCAAGGACAGAAATAAAAGTGATTTAACTCCTAAATGGCAGAGAATTGAGCAGTCAAACCTCAGAGGGATTATATATACACCAAAACTGCTTCATTAAGCTAAAGTTGTTTTGATGACCATAGTGTTCCTTTAACGTTGTGAGGATGGCATGGAATGTCCTGCAATTTTAGTGTGAACAGGGTTAATTTTCTGCTCACATCTGAGAGTCCAAGGTATCCAACAATACCTGGAGCACTCACCTGTCAGCTGTGGCCATTTGTGGTCACCCCAGTGTCAGCTGTGGCCATTTGTGGTCACCCCAGACTAACAAATAAGCTTTAGGCAGTGCGTATACAGCTCTTTAAATGGGGATCTAAATTCCAAAGACGGCAATGCAGTGTGAGTTTTGGTTAAATATCTGCTCACACCAGGAAACCCAGGTGTCAATAGATATCTGTCGTTCCCCTCTGTCAGCTGGGGCCATTTTTAGTGGCACCAGACTGACATTTGCACTGAAAGTCAGCCAGAAATTCAGCTCTAAAATAGTGATTTAAATCCCCATAGATGGAAATTTAGTGTGAGAATGGTTAAATTTCTGCTCACACCTGACTGAGGTATGAGTGATTACTTGGGGTTACCCTTTGTCAGCTGGGGCCACTTTTAGTGACCCCTGACTGACTAGCTGTAAGCAGCGTCGAAAGTCAGCACAGCACACAGCCCTTTAAATCCATTCAGAGTTGTCGCCGCAGTAATTCTAGGGTTGCAGGCTGCTGAAGGGAGACATAATGAATACAATAGAGGAACATTTCAGAAATGGTTAGTGCTTATCAATTCTTATTACAATGCAAAAAGGTAAACCCCAAATGTGCACTTAAAGTGCTATATAGGGCTCCCTCTATTTTTTTCATATGCATGCACAGTCTGTAATCTCTGTAACACTCCATTTCCTCTCTCAAATCATCATCTTCTATACTTAAGAGCCCCAGGGCCGGATTAACATGGGGGCTGATGGAGCTGAAGCTCCAGGCCCATGCCTTTTAAAGAAAAAAAAGTGTGTATGTGTGTGTTTGCCAGATTGGTTTGCTGGGTCTGTGTTGCCTTATGGTAGCCCAGGAATGTGAATTAACCGCATCATGGCATACCCTTGTATGTAGACAACCCAGAGTATTCAAAATATGGTATTTCCAGTCTTTTGTAGTAGCCACTTGTCACGAACGCTAGCCAAAGTTAGCGTATTTATTTTGAATACCCTGGGCTGTCTACTTTTTCAAATGGTATGTCATGGTGGGGTAGTTTTCATTTCTGGGCTGCCATACCGTCAAAGGAAACATCTAGAAATCTAGAAAATGGCAATTTACAAAAAAAATAGAAATTGGCAAATCTTATGTTTGACCCTGTAACTTTCCAAATCACCATAAACCTATACTTGAGGGGTACTGTTGT